AATTTTTCATAATGATAATGTTGATTATCATTATAATTTTACTAATAATGTTCGTCAATGTCACCTTCGAATAACATTGAAGCCTCTCCATAGCACTGTCTTTGTTAAAAAAATAAAAAATTAAAAGAAAGAGATTCTGAAATATAATGTTGGCGTCAACATAGACAAAGTCTCGTTGTCACATTGGTATACAAATTTTAAAATATTTTGTCTCTAAACATATATAAAGACCCATTAATCTCTATGTTGCTAAATTTGACTTGATGTTTAGAATTTCTAATCAATTAAATATTTACTTTTTCACTTATTAATTGGTAGAAATTTTCATTATCAGAAAATCATTATTGTCTTGCATACAACCGTCGATGGATGAATTTTCGTTTAATGTTAACTCAGCATTAATTAATATATTAAATATATTACATGCAATTGTAATTTTGGTTTTCCTAATACTGAATTTCCGATTTTTTTTTCATTTTAAGTTTCTTTATATTTATAGTCTATTGATATTTAGATTTTGAAAAAAATATTCAATAACTCTTTTGTTTATTATTTTGAAAAATTAAAATTGTTTTAATTTTTTTAATTTCAAAATTTAAAAATCAAAATTGATAAAATATTTTTTTTAATTATATTCATTAATATTCAGACATTTATTAATAGTTTTATTAACCCTTCTCGTTCTTTCCATCGTGATGAAATTATTGAAAAATTACTCTCTATTTTTTACTATAATTTTTCATTATCATTTTATTTTATTATCTTTTTTTTCTAAAATATATTTTAAATTAAAATTATAAAATAAGTTTTAAATTTATTTTCAATTTTTTAAATTAAACTTTAAAATTATTTTTAAATACTAAATCAAATAAATTTGGTTAAGTCTAAATTGTTAATATTTTTCAATTAGATATGGCAATAGAATGAAACATTAATTTTTCCCCCATATCCCATGAAAAAAATGTTTGAAATTCACATTACTAGTAGATATTTACGCAGTTTCCATAATGTAAATGATTATTTAGTTTTTTTTTGTTTTTTTTTAAAAGAAGTCAATTACATTAAAGTTAAGAAAAAGAACCTTCATTATACTCTATGAAAAAAAATATTAATTATTTTTTAAAATCTTAGTGCCTAAACCTAAATAAAATTATTAACAGTGTAATTAGATGAATTTATACTGATTATACAACATCTATCATTATTTATAAATATTTACAAATATTTTTCTTTTAAATAAAAAGTAAAAAATAAATTAAAAATATTCATTAAAAATATATTTATACTATAAATAATTTAAAATATATATTTCTATTAAAAGTAATTTATTTTAAAATACATTAAAATAACTTATTTTATATATAATTAAAATGATTTAAGTAACTGTTATCTTTACTTTTCCCAATTCCTATTGACCCATCAAGGTAAAAGATAACAAATAAGAAATAAAAAATATATTATTGAAGTTACATGAGAAAAGAAAGGTTTATTATTATACATCAGAATTTATATCAATACTTTTTAAATCGAATTTGCGGTTGAATGGGTAAACAAAAGAGTTCAAGGCTTAAAAATAAAATTTCAATAGAAGATCCCAATAGAATTTAATAAAATAATATTTATATAATATAATAAATATATATTAAATTTATTAGTAATAATAATTTTTAATAAAAGAAATAAAAATAATAAAGATTACTCATAATATAATTAAAAATTACAAATATATATAAAATATATTAGAAAGATAAGATGAATGATTATTAAAATAAAATAAAAATACAATAAATTATACATAACTAATATAAGATAAAAAAATTATATATTTTATAAAATAATTTAATCATAATTTTTTTATCAACACAATCCAAAATCACAATTATTTTTTCTCAATTTTTTAATTTTTTTTAATTTAATTAAAATTTAGTTATTTAAAAACAATAAATCAATTTTTAATTTAATTTCCAATTAAACTAGTTGAATTAACCAGTCCCATTTTTAAAAAAGTGTTATCTATAGTTTCATATAGTGTTTTAACTCATTTATTAATATTTCCCTTTCTTTTTAATTCATAGCCAACTTATTCAATAGTATTATATATATATATATATATATATATATATATATATATAATTTTTAATTTTAATTATCTTAAAAATATATTATAAACAATTATATATTTATTAAAACATATAATATAAATTTATTAAAAGAAATCATGAAAAATTCGTGGTAGATATAATTCTCTTTCTTTCTTCAACTTTTACAATGACTGGAAAACACTAACCAATGTTTGAGATTGATGATGGCTGCTGGTTGGACACTAACTTTGCTCCCCACAACACAACCACTTTCATTCATTCTCTCACATTGCATCAATAATTTACACTCTCACCATCCATTAAGCTATAAAATTAGACCATTAACTTCCTATTTGATTTAGGAATGATAATCACAAACTAAAAGGAGAAGAAATAATTAGAAATAAATAAATAAAAAATAAAATTGAATATTTAAAAAATCTCATATCATTTAAAAGTTCAGTTACAAATATTATTCTCTCTTAAAACCTATAGACACCTACAAATTCTTATAAATATATTAATCGATCTCTTGTTGGTGTACAAGTGTCACATTAAATTTAATATATATTGATTAAAATTTTAAATAGTTACTAACTATAAATTAATTACTTATTGAATTAAAATAATATTCAACTAAGTGGAATTAAAATATATATTGTACTAAAAGTTAACACGAAATCTCATTAAAAATTTATTTATTTTATCAGGTTAAATTAGACATATGCATGGTATTTTATTTTATTTTGGTTATATTCATTTGAGTCCCTGCTTTTAAAAGGTTTAATTTGATTTTTTATGCTTTAAAAATGTATTAAAACAGTCCTTGTGATTTTAAAATTTTTTGGTGCAATTATTGGTGACTCTTTTATACTTAATTTCATCCTAGGAAATTTGTTTCATTGATTTGGGCAACTTGTGAATTTATCCACCATATTTTCTAAAAATTTACCTTATTATCTCATATTTATAAATAGAATGATAAGACAATTTAATAAAATATTTTTCCATGTCTATATTATACTGATAATATACTTAAATTTTAATTGAAGTGGAAAATAATTATAAATATTTTTATAATGACAATCTGTTATAAAATAAATCTGTTGAATTTTATAATAATGATTTTAAAATTGTAATTATAATTAATTAATACAAAATCTTATATGAAAGTTAAATTCTATATAAAAAATTGTTACAAAAGTTAATCCAGTTGGTAAAGATTCCACTCATGTCTCAAAAAGAAATAGTCAATTATTTAAAACATAGTGAAGAGGGCAATTGTTTCTTTCAAATTAAGTAAGCAACTTATTTTTGAATAAACTAATTTCTTATTAATGTCACTAATGACACATTATTAAACCTTAAACAATGCATTTTGATGTTGATAATCAAGCAAACATTAACGTCAGAATCATTTTTTTTTTCTTCTTCTTTTCACCTTTTGAATGTGCAATTCATAAAATAATCCTTGGGTTGCATGTCGTAAGCAAACATTATCAATAATTAAAAAAAATTACTCACTTATTTAATAAAAAAAGTTTATAAAATTGAATTACAACTTATAATTCAAAAGTGAATTGGAAAAGTTAACTTTATGACTTTTTATAGGTATTATTTTTCTAATACAATCTTATTTTAGTTACACACTAAATGTGAATATATTCAAACCTTAATTTGTAACATGCATGCTGAGGATCAATACCAATGAGTAAAGCTACAACCTTTAAAAAGCCAACCAATAGATGATTGATCATGTACCAAAATCTAATCTTTGACTTGAAACAATCTTGAATCTCATACACTCAACTATGTCCTATCAAATGATGGAGGAGGAACAGTTAGTTATCCACTCCACCATACACAGAAAAAATGCAGTGGAGGATTGTGGACCAGGATTCCTTTCCTATTGAAGAAAGATTCTAGTCCAATTTCATCTGCATAGTTACATTTGATTCACCACCATAATCTCCATATCTTGGTCCAGTGTCCATATCTCTTGTGCAGCAGTTAACAAGGTGAAGTCCACTTCTTGAGGAATTAGATTCCTAAAGAAAGTTTCTTTCCATTTATTATTTAATTTAGACTTTCTGGGTGTATAAAATTTGATATTGAGATACCCTACACATTTTACAACGTTTACATTCTCATTTCTATTCCCAGATTTGGGCATCTCCACCTACCTTGGATGCCTGCATAATAAACAATGCACGGTTGACCAAAAACGAACTCAGGAAGCTATGGCTGCAAAAGAAAAAATAACTTCAAGTTTGCTTTGACAATATCAAATGTTTCCAATTTGATTTTGCTGGTAGTTCTTGATTTATAAAGTTATAGATTTTGTTGAAAGGTATTTTATTTCATCCACAATAGTACAACTACAGGACAAAAAATTTACTAGTTACACAACAACAAAGGAAGATTATCTTAACTTCTTTATGCCATTATCTTCTTTAATAATCTTACATAAATTTTATCTCTCATATAGTGTCTGATTGTAACAAGACAAAAAATAATAATAAATTTGTCACAGGTAACCTTCAACTAACCTCACCTTGATAAATATCTAACACTGGTTGCTACAATCGTTTTTATTTTCTTAACCCCAACATGTTTTCTGTGTGTATAAGTAGTAAAAGATGTGAAAATAATAGCATAGAGAAAGACAAGTACCTAGTGGCTATCTTTTTTTGGCTACTGGCATTTGGTCCCAACAAAAAAATTGTTGTCTTTCTTTTTAAACACTATTTATCCAACCTTCAATCACTTTTTCTCTCAACATCCATAGTAAAAATTTCATTTTTGTTTCATATTCTTATATTCTCCATCTTCTGCAATTTTACTCAACCATCATTATCTATTGTGTAGTTCTCTCAACTCTCTCGATCCTCGACATCATTACGAAGCATCCTTGTGAAAATGTCAGGATCCAAGGAAGAAAATCCTGACCTTCTTCCCAAGTCAAAGCCACAGGAGGAACATGGGTTTGCCATGGATTTTGATGTTGGTTTGGAAAGTCTGTGGCCCTTGGATCATATATCTTTGCTCTCTAACCCCGTGTCTCCTTTTCTCTTATCCACTATCTCTGAACAACCTTTTTCTCCCGTCTGGGCTTTTTCTGATGTTGAAGATGAGAGGCAAATCAGAATTGCAGCTGCAGGTATCATACTTTGATTGCCACAGTTTCTATTTTGTTTTTCTTTTGGTTTGTTTCAGTTTGGATGTGGAATTGGATTTTGGAGTTTTCTTCAGCTTTCAGGACTTGCTTCATTTCAAGTTGACTATAACTTGATAAACGCCCCTGAACTTTCTTCAATTTATTGTGAAATTTAAGAAGATTTAGAATTATATTTTTAACAGATTTTATTTGGAGTTTGTTTCTCTATTTCTTGGCGTATAGTTTATGTAAATTGAAGGAATTTTAACTTGTTAATTATCATATACTGTTATCGAGGCTTTATTGTATTGTTGAGAAAGTAGCATTTCCAAATCCAATGAAGCCTTCATGTATCTACCCTCTTGGTTTAAAGATGAAATTTCTTTTCATCTCCATCTTATAAATTGGTTAGTAAAACTTTGAGCTCAAAAATGTGATCCCAAAACCAATCTCAATGTAGTTATCGCATTTTTAATTAATTATGAACATAGAAGTGCTAGATATAATAATATTGAGCTAAAAACAAGTTTTCATTGTTCGTTCCTGTGACATCTATGCTAAACACGAACATTGTAGTTTTCCATGGACCTGCAGTTGTTTTGACTGAAGCTACTACTTTCAGGTAATACAATTGAAAATCCGGTTGAAGATGATAACAACAAGAAAACTGTGTCACCACCCCTTGTAGCTGTGCCACCTTCAGAAAATCCAGATGGTTATTGTTTGATCAAGGAAAGAATGACACAAGCACTTCGGCACTTCAAAAAGTTGACTGAACAGAATGTTCTTGCTCAGGTTTGGGCACCTGTGAGGAATGGAAACCGGTATGCACTCACAACTTCAGGCCAACCATTTGTTCTTGATCCACATAGTAATGGACTCCATCAGTATAGAACAGTGTCTCTGATGTATATGTTTTCTGTGGATGGAGAGAATGATGAAATACTGGGACTTCCTGGTAGAGTTTTTCAGCATAAAATTCCTGAATGGACTCCCAATGTTCAGTACTATTCCAGCAAAGAGTATCAGCGCCTGAATCATGCACAACATTACAATGTTCGTGGAACCTTGGCTCTACCTGTGTTTGAACCTGCAGGACAGTCATGTGTAGCTGTACTGGAGTTGATAATGACTTCACCCAAGATTAACTATGCTCCTGAGGTTGATAAAATCTGCAAAGCCCTTGAGGTTGGATTTTTTTTTTAACTGTACTATTTATTATAGGAGAAAACTTAAATACAATACTCTAGGTAAGTGTTGCTTTTACTATTATCCAATTATAGTTGAAGTTATATTTCCTGTATCTACTAATTAAAACTCGTATTTAAGATTATCCAAATGAAATTTCAAATTCTAATTAAATAACAGTAGAAAACAACAGTTAGAGTATTGTATCTAAGTTTTGATCTTTATCATAAGTGCATGTTTTGGTCATGTTTGATTACTTCCATATCTCATGTTGGGAAGTACCAACAAGGTAAATCAAGGGTGTCATGTGTCCACTTCTGTTTTGGTAAATATCACATTATCTACCTCAATTCATGAAGTACAATTTATATATATGTTGAACAAATTTTCATTTTGGGATGTCTCACATTGTCTACCTGAAGTGTGAATTGGATAACTTCACATATTAGTAATTGATTTTAAGATGAAATATGATATGCCTACGATGAAATTCCTTTACAATGTCTAGATTAAACAATATATTATCAGCTAGGCACCTCCCACACTCCAATAAAACTAGCTAGAAAAGGTTGTTTTACAAGAAGTTTTATCTTCTTATAATGGGATTTTTTTTGGTAAATATTACCTTGTATAATGATTCGTGTTATCTTTTGAGGGTTATTATGATCTGAAAATTGTAAGTTAACTTTACTTTTAAAAGATGAATAAGTTAACTTTTAAAAGATGAATATACAATTCTTAATTCAACTATGCAGTTTCACAATGTTACATTAGTGGCGTATGTTTCTCTGTCCATATTGTGTCTGATGTTTATGGTGATATGAACCTCCTTTGTACAAGGACTAATTTAGGATCTTTAGGGTTAGAATTTTGTAAGAAATTTAGGAAATTACTGAGAAGGTGGATTAGAAAGTGGTGAAAATTTTAAGGTTGGACAGTATTTTTGAAACGTCGATATCTCAAGCTATAAAACTTTGATTGAGATGATTCAAAAACGAGGTGAAAGTTCTCATTCTAAATTTCAATTTAGGCTCAAAAAACACTATATTTGGATGAGTATAATAAAAGTTATGACTACGAAACAAATTTGGATAGAATTGGGTTTTGGTGAAAAAAGGATAAGAGGTGAATGTGAAAGGTTGAAGGAAAGAATCACTCTTCCCAAGGGAGGCAACTCATAAAGGATACAAAAGTCCTTTGATACAGCTAAGGGTTCTTGATCACTCAAGAACTTAGGAGAATTACTCTCAGAATAAAACTGAACTTGTTTTATATGATAAAAATGGTTCAGCTTATATAAAAAGCTTTTGCTGTTAGAGTTACAAAGACTAAATAAAAGAAATAAATCCTAATAATAATCCATTAATATAGGAATTGAAAACTACTTAATGACTAATTGTAACTAAAATTATGGCAACCAAAAGTCAATCAGTTATGCATAGTCTCCCAAAGACTGATACCTAAGTTTTCAATTGGGCCCTTATTACAACTTGAAACAAACCAAACTAAAGCTCATTAATTGATTAACCCAAATTTTGTTAGACAATTTTACAAAGATTGAGTCATTATTTAAACAAACTTAAAGACTGAAACAAAGTGACGCATTAGTCCTCCTCCATTTGGGCCATGATGCAATTCACAACTTTGATCTTTTCTCCTTGAAATGTGGGTTTGTATTCAAATAATATGGACAACATTTGTTAAAGAGCTTCCTTTGCTTTCCTTATTCTAACCCTTTTCATATGTCCTTCAAGTGGATACTTGCTCTTGCTCATGGTCATGTCTCCATCAGTTCGCGTCGGAATTGATGGTTCATAATTAATTGTTAATACATTCTTAAAAATTGATTTTGGCAAGGTAATTGCCATGAGATTATTTGACTCTTGGTACTAACGTGTTGGACAAATGCATGTGATTACAAACATTTTTTAGATTCCTGAGTTACCTGCTGTCAGTTTCTTTGCAGGCAGTTAATTTAAGGAGTTCAGAAATTATGGAGCATCCATACAATCAGGTCGTTTTCTACTATCATACATGATGCATCTCTTATCTTGTTTATTTTCTCAAAAGATAAAGATACATGTATGTTGGTCTGTGACTTCTATCTTACCCCTCTATTATCACAGATATAACTTGGCAATTCTTTTAAACCAGATTTGTAATGAAGATCGCCAGTACGCATTAGCTGAAATTTTGGAGATACTGACAGTTGTGTGTGAGACTCATAGTTTGCCTTTGGCACAAACTTGGGTTCCATGTAAGCATCGGAGTGTCTTGGCACATGGTGGTGGTCTTAAGAAAAGTTGCTCAAGTTTTGACGGTTCTTGCATGGGGCAAGTATGCATGTCTATAACTGAGGTAGCATTCTATGTCATAGATGCTCATACATGGGGTTTCCATGAGGCTTGTTTTGAGCATCACTTACAACAAGGTCAAGGGGTTGCTGGGAGGGCATTTTTGTCTCACAACATGTGTTTCTGTGGGAACATTTCTCAATTCTGCAAAACTGAATATCCCTTAGTACATTATGCTCTCATGTTTGCTTTAACCAGCTGTTTTGCAGTATGCTTACAAAGCTCTCACACAGGAAATGATGAATATGTGCTAGAGTTTTTTCTGCCTCCAAGGATCACAGACTTCAATGAACAAAAAAGCTTGTTGGGGTCCATATTGGCCACGATGAAGCCACGTTTTCAGAGTCTTAAGATTGCAGCTGGTGCTGAATTTGAGGAAAATTGTTCAGTTGAAATTATAGAAGCAAGAAAAGAAAGAGTTGATTTGAGGTTTGAATCAATTCCAATTACTCATTCTTCTAACTCACCACCTAGACATGCCTCTCCAAATATGGGAGAGAAGCTGCAACTGGAGCCACCAGAGCAGGAAATAATGGCAAACTTTGATGCCATAAATGATGGAAGGAGTCTTGGTGATAATACAGGTGGGCACATTGATCAGAACACTTCCTTGGAAGCCAAAACCAAAAAGAAACCCTCAGAAAGAAAACGTGGAAAAGCTGAGAAAACAATTAGTCTTGATGTTCTGCAACATTACTTCACTGGAAGCCTTAAGGATGCTGCAAAGAGCCTTGGTGGTATGTTACATTCTCTAATTTAACAGTCATTAGAAATATTTTTGTTTATCTCTCTACCAAGGTGCAAGCATGCTCTACTACAATGAAGCGCTCATGAAATATAGTAATTATCTAGCAACAATTCTTCTCTTACTATATCCAAGTTTACTTACTACTTTCTAGAAACAGAAAGTTATAAAAAAGAATATACTATTAATTATCAAAAAACACAAAACTGGTTATTGTTTATTGTTAGCAGCTTTCATTTTTACTAGTAGCAGAAATTCTTAGATATACATATTGTTATGCATGCAGTTTGTCCTACTACAATGAAACGCATCTGTAGGCAGCATGGGATATCGCGTTGGCCATCTCGAAAGATAAAAAAGGTTAATCGTTCCCTATCCAAGCTCAAGTGTGTTATTGAATCAGTCCATGGTGCTGAAGGAGCATTTGGTTTGAATTCTCTATGTACTGGTTCAATTCCCAATGCGGGGGCTGGTTCAAACAAGTTCAACAACCAAACCTCGTTGACCATTAGGCCATTAGAACCTAAGATCAATGAAAATGATTTTGATGCATCTAAAGCATCAGAATCAAACAAACAGGCTGGGGTGGAAGATCACTACCTAGGTACAAGGGCACAAAATTTTGAGAAAATGATTAATGAAAAAGTTGTGGCCATTCAGGAGATTGGCACTAAAGGGACTACCAAGTTTAGCGCTAGGAGTGGCTTAAGTGAAGGAAGTGCAAATCCTTCTCCTCATGGTTCATGCCAAGGTAGTCCTCCAAATGAAATATCACCTCCAAAATATATATTTGTAACAGGCAACAGTGAGCAATGTCTTGTGTTAAGGGGATCACTGGGGTCAACACTGCACTCAACTAGTACACCGAACCGTGCAACTGCATACGCTATGCCTAACTTTTTGGAAACAGAACCTCAAGAACCATTTGAAGGACAACTACTTGAGGGTGTTGGTAGTTCTAAGGACTTGAGGAATCTCTGTCCTTCAGCACATGCTGTTTTGGAAGATCAGGTTCCTGAACCTTGCAGGATGAATCCTCAATGTGCTGCTGATTTGGCTTCTGTGCCACACATGGATACTCTCAATAATAATAACATGACACCTTTTGCAGTTAGCAATGAGGTGAAGAGTGTCACCATTAAGGCAACTTGTAAAGAAGATATCATAAGGTTTAAGGTCTCTTTGAACTGTGGTATTGTGGAACTGAAAGAAGAAATTGCCAAAAGATTGAAACTAGAGGAGGGAACATTTGATATCAAGTATATGGATGATGATCATGAATGGGTTTTGATAGCCTGTGATGTAGACCTGCAGGAGTGTATGGACATCTCAAGATCATCAGGCAGCAACATAATCAGGATTGTGGTGCATGATATTCTGCCCATTCTTGATAGCTCTTGTGAGAGCTCAGGACATTGGAAAGGTTGTATATAGTTTGGTCTGTACTTAGTTATTTAGAATCTTGTATTTATAAGGGATAACTTTTTCTCAAAAAAAAAAAAAAAAAAGGGTCTTAGATTTGTGCATATTGCAATAAATGTAAAGTTGGGTTTAAGTTCTACAAGTTCCTCTAATAATCACTACCATCCAGTATTAATTGATACAGCCACAAGAGATGAAAAGAAAGGCTTCGATTCATTTGTGGCACGCGTGACGTTAACTCTTTTAACATTAAACTATGTTGTTTATGACATTTAAAATGTAGTGGTACTGTTATTTTGCTGCTCAAATGTGTAATTTTGCACAACTACGTTTCTGACCGTGAATTCTTGTTTACAACAATCCGATCTCTTAGGTCACCTCAATTGAACTACTTTTACCAAAATGTTTTTATTAAAAATTGCATGTATAAATACTATAGTTATCCAATAATAAACCATGTTCAATAAGATTTTTACAATGATTATTATAAAAAATAAATAAAAATGTCGTTCATAATAACTTGCAATTAAATAACATTGTAAAAACCAATTATACTGTCATAGTCCACATTATTTACTCAATTTAATGGGCAAACGTCATGCATGGCATTTGGCTGAACATCAAGTATCTAATAGCCCAACGGAAATTATTTCCAAAACTAATTCAAAGGAACAAAAATGTTTTCAGCAAGAGTTTGAACAAGTTGTATTTTTCATGTCAGCCTGTCGGCGAACTAATAAAACAAAAGTTCAGAACAAATGTAGAGACATTGAAATCAGTAGGACAGTTGTGATTAAACTTTAGTTTTGTTCAGAACAAGGATAATCCACAAACATTCATTTCTATGTCAGTCTAATTTCAAGTTAGTGTGGAGATAGGTAACAATTGACACATGAATAACCTAACAAAATCTGAAGCCTACACATGAGCAACAAATTACATTTCCTCTACAATTGTACAAACACTTTAAAAGTATCTATCCGCAGAGAAGTTCACATCCACCAGAAACTCTGATGGTTGGTGTAAATCCAAGGAACAAAGACGAAAATGATGTGGCGTGATTTCTTCTTTGAAAACATTGAAAGCGAGGTGCAATGGGAATCTTGTGTCAAATGGCTACCTAAATAAACCAGTTTGCAACTGTCCTAGCACTGCTACTCAGATCTATTTAGTCTTGAATCCTTATACACCTTGCATTTACCAGAGAAATTTTGTGTTCTCTATCTTCTCAGAAAAACAGCTCCAGAGTATGATGTGCCATAAAATAGGGCAAGGAAGGAAAGAAATTCATGATCAGCCATTGGACTAATCCAACAAATCTAAAGCAAATAAAACTGTGAATAGAGATAGTCACGAATTTTATAGTAATCTTCACACAGAGGACCTTCAATAACAATTTGCTGAGCACCAGAACCACCACCCTATCAGAATAAAAATAAAATATGAAAATAAAAATCATCTCAACATATCAGAATCTTGATCCAACCACTGAATATAGTCTCATCTATATTAAAGGAAAAATTACCAGTTTCCTAAGCTTGCAGAAAATTAACAAAAAGAAGAAGCACTTGCCTTTTGAGTTGCATCCCCAACTTTCCGAAGAGTTACATATTCACCACAACGTAAAGCTCCACCAGCAAATTCCACCTATAAAGTTAAATGAGTTATGTTATGATACATAAGTAGATATTCAATGTTGTCAAGTTTCAGTTAAAGAACACAGTACACAGCATTTTCACCAATTTTTAATTGGCGTAAAAATCAATTTCCTTTAGTACAACGATCAGCATGTCTGCTAGGACAATGAAGTGGAAATTACTTCATGTGCCAACGGACAATCGGAACAAGGAGGCATTGGCGACAAAAACTAATCAAGTACCTGAACACCCTTGCTGGAGAGAAACTGTTTGATATCTGCCAATTTCAAATCACCAACAAGAACAGATTTATGTGGAGGAGCTGCTCCAGAAACAGGGAGCAGAGAGAGCGTGTCATTTTCTGTTTTCCCTACTACCGCATCAACCCAAGCTATTTCATAATCTCCCAACTGCAGTTAAGTTTATTTTCATTATTCAAAACAATGAATGCCCACCTAGTGGAATAAAGTTTGATTGTCGCTATTCAACATGACAAATAAGAGGCAGTATATTAAATGAAACAGTTCAACAAAACATATATTATTTACCTTTTTGAAGAGTACATTACTCATTAGCTTCTCAGATAGTTGAACCTATACCCAGAAAGGCACCTGATTAACATTCACATCATGTAAATCTGTTTTGGGAATGTATGAAATTTGACATCATTGTACCTTGTAAGCACATAAATCAGAGGTAACATCAATTGTCTCATCAATTTGGGGAGCATAAACGTGAGGACAAACATGCTTTAGGCAGTGCTGCTTCAGATGCTCTGTAGCTTCAGCTGATCCATGCACCAAAACCTTTTGGAAAAATAAACAAGTATTCATCATCATGCATGGCAATAGACCAAATTAATCCTTAAACCAATATCATATGCCAGTCAGCTAGACCATAATTGCAAAAATGCTAAATAGTAAATACTATGAGGGTTATACATGCACAGATTGCTTACCATGCCATGTGTGGCAAATTGATTTGGTGCATGTCTCCTGATATACAGTTCCTTATTCCTACTACAGCCTTTGATAATTCAAGATAATTCTCAGTTAAGTAGGTATTTAGCTTCTAATTTTGAGTGAACACTAAAGTAGTCTGTCAAAGATTAGTCTATTAAATTTTTCGTGAACAACTAAATTAACAAGTAAACTAATTTGCCAAGCACAAATTAATCCAAGGGAATTAATTGTTCCTTTGTTTTAAAATGTTTATTTTATGTGTCTAAATTTGACATTCATGAGGGATCAATTTGTATCACCATTACCTTTTACAGTGATTAATTTGAAGTGACTTTAACAACATTTAAGGACCATAGGAACAGGTCAATATTACTCAAGGGCAGATTTGCTCCACCAAGGCACCAACATCTTTCCGGTCTATTTGATATTGGTAGATTACTCTCATTTAGTTTAAGCTTAAATCTGATTTTGATACTTATAGTTTCTCAAATGTATTATTTTGGTTCCTATAAAATTTTAATTGCAAATTTGGTCATCCAGTTTTTCAAAATTAAGCAATTTTGCTCCAGTGTTAATATTTCATCTAACTGCTTACAAATGCCACATGTTTATAAGTGATAATAGTGTCAATTACACATTTAACGTTTGACAATATTAAAGTTTCAACATAAAACTAATTGACAATATGTGAAGTACCCTAACAGATATTTAAACCATACTACATGATATGAAATAGACGATGTGGGACTTCCAACATATCTCCTTCAAAAAGCTTGTCGGATCAGGAAAATGATATTTTAAGGACAAACAAAGGGTACTTTTGATCCAAAACGAAATGACAACTTTTTGCCTCAAGACAATAATTGGAAAGAAGTTAAACTTTGACTCTTATACCATGTTAAGGTTTCAACATAAAACCAATTGACAATATGTGGACTAGCCTAACATATATTTAAACCATACTACATGATATGATGCCGGCGATGCGGGACTTCCAATAGACAACTAACTTCAATACAAATTAATCTAATGGATATGTTAACAATTGAATGATATATTAATTGAATTGCTTAGTTTTGGAAAACTGAAGGACCAAATCTGCAATTAAAATTTTATAAGATCAAAATTGCAAATTTGCACAAACTATAGGGACCAAAAGTGGATTTAAGCATTTAGTTTACCAAATTACCATTCTATGTAAGTTTTAATAATATCTAGGGATAAATGTGTTTATGTGCAATTTTTAGCAACCATATTGCATTTCCTGAGAAAAATTAACCTCATTGGGAATTGGATAAATCAGGTGAGAAAACTTGAGGTGGGACCATTGAGAAAAGGTTTTCTCTCCAAGCTAGAGAAGTAAATAGAAAGGAAAAACAATCAAATGATAAAAATACCTTTATATTGTTCAAGATAGGAATACTTTAGGAAACAAGAGCTTCTTACTGTTTGTTTTCCAAGTTGTCCAGATTCTTAGCATAGTTAGGTTCAATGTATCTCAGGAGGTTCATCTTAGTTGTTCTCTTGTAAATTGTTTTGGCGTTAATATCTTTGTAATATGCCTTAGTATTGTGCTGGGTGGAGAAATATACTCAAGCATGTCACAATTTCCCGTCTCTCTTTCTGACATATTGTTACTATTGAAAAGTCGTCTTAATTGCAATCAACCCTAGCATGCCTTAGTTGCAGCCTCTTTGGAGTTTGCCAAAATTGCAGCCTCAATGCTAGTGTTTATTAAGACCATCGTCAAATAGAGATATGGCTTAAGTAGAACTTCTAAGCTTGGATCATCTTAACCTCAATTTTGTTATGTTAAATCCTATATGTCCAAATTCTAAAATGGTCTTGAAGTCTATCCTAGATCTATTGTTTCACTTGCATTTGACACACTTTTAGGGGCGAGAGGGAGTGTTGGAAAGCTTCCTTAGTTGCTGCCTCTTTTGGAGGTGCCTTAGTAGCAACTTAAAGGTTGTTTAGTCCTACAGCAACTAGAGATATACTTAAGTGAAGCTATAAATTTTGGACAGTGCTCACCTTCATGGCAACGGGGTGGGACGGGGGCGGGTTTTGCCTCCCGATCCCCACCCCCGACTTTTTTAATCATCCCCGTCCCCATCCCCGTTTCCGCTGGGTTTCGGGTTCCCCGTCCCCGCCCCGTCCCCGATCTATATTATTTTTAAAAAGATAATTACATTTATAATAAATTAATTTTACTATCTATTTTTTATATATAAATAAATATTTATAATTTTATAATTTATAATAATTATTAATTAAATATACATTTTAATTTATTATATTTATATTAAAATATGTATGTAAAAGAAATATTTAATCATTTTTTATTTATAACATTATTATTATTATTAATATAATACTGTATTCAAATATTTGAATACTTGTAACATTATCATTATTATTATAATACTGTATTCAAACATTTGATTATATATATATAAGTTAATTCATTTTTAAGTTGTAATTTAAAAATATGAAATATATAGTTTATAATGAAATATTTAATAAGTTAATTATTATTCAATTAATTCAAAGTAATAAAAGTTTAAATTATCAATTCCTTTAATCCTTTAAAATATAATTATTTTATTAAGATAAAATTTGATATATGATAAATAAGAATAATAAGATAAACAAATGACATAATAAAACCTAATAAATATAAATTATAAATAAAATAATATTAGTTATTATTAAGATTTATGTAAAATATTTAGAAAAAGATAAAGAATAAAAAAATTAGTTGTGTTCATCAAATTGATTGAAAATATTGAAAAAAAAAACAAATTGACGAGAGAGATTAAGAAAATATGAAAAACTACAAGGTATAAGAGAGAATAATATAATAAATTAATTGATATAAAAGATTAAAAAAGACAAAAAAATTAAAAAATAGGTAGAAGAAAAATAAAAATTGGTAAGATATAAAAAATGACCTTATATGTAATAGAAATAGAAAAGAAAATACTATTAAAATATTAATATTTTAAAATTTAAATTTAAATATAAAGTCTGGGCGGGATCGGGCCGGGGTCGGGATTGCATTACCCATCCCCGCCCCCGTCCTCGACCTTTTAAAGCGGGGAAAACCCGAACCCGCCCCCGGTCAACTCGGGTTTTCCCCGTCAAACTCGGGACGGGGACGGGTTTAATTGTCATCCCTACCTTACAAGTTAATCTTGTGGGGTTAAGTTAGACACTAAACCCAAATTCTAAGAGTAAATATTAAAAGGTATATCATAAGCTAAAAATATGGATGAAATACCCATTGCAGGGCTGGGGTAATCTTCCCTCATTGTGCTAGCTTTGATGGTTGAATTAGGCCTAGCTCACCAAGTATGCCTTGAGTTTATTCAGCTCTCCAACCCACAAAATCCTACTAAGTAAGCCTACAATTTCAATATATTTTCCTGCTCCTTTATCTATGTTAAGGTTCCAACATAAAATCAATTGGCAATATGTGGAGTAGCCTAACATGTATTTAAACCATACCAAATGACACGAGGTAGGCGATGTGGGACTTTCAACACACCCCCTCCAACGAAGTCTGCCGGACCAGGCAAAGGGTACTTTTGACCCAACTAAAGGACAACTTTTGGCCCATGACAATAACCGGAAAGATGTTAGACTTTGACTCTGATACCATGTTAAGGTTCCAACTTAAAACCAATTGACAATATGTGACGTAGCATAACATGTATTTAAATCATACCAAATGACATGAGGTAGACGATGTGGGACTTTCAACAATCTACTCATTATAACACTATACAGCTAAAATCCCAATTCCTTGCCACCACTACCAGAAGGTCAAAACATTCCTTATACCATAGATTTAAAAGGTGGCAAAATAAACTACCTAGGTTGAGGTTGTTCCATTCCAAAAATAACGAAAATCCAAATATAATTTACAAAAAATATATTGTTGTGCTTCAGTTAACTGAAAAGCACCAAAGAGATCCATACCAGCTTCAAGGGAGCCACATGAGATAGAATATTTTTAATGGATCTTCCATCTGAACGTCCTTCAAAATCCATGTAAACCAACGAACACTTAACTTGCACCTGGACAAAAATAATGTCAACATCTTAGACCATCATCATATTTAGATTTAGCAGATTTAAGATTCACACAAGTAGACAGATAAATACTAGATATTCTAAACATAAGAAATGCATCTATCACTACATCAATAATTACAAGAAGCTTCCATGTAATGCTCCTATCAGATGTGATTTGCAACCAAATTAAAAGGAATGGATCACAAGAGCCGAAAAGTATGATAAAATTTAAAATGCACACAACAAAATTTTGAATCATAAAAAAACATAAATGTGGTCCCAACTCAATATTATGCTTGATTTCTTTTAGGGAAAAAACATAACATGTCTGAGATGTGAACTTAGAACGAAGTCACGTACAACTAAAGAACAAAGAATAGATATGAAGAAAAATTCCGTAGCAGGATTCCAATGACTGCAGGAAAAACAGACATAATACCATCTTTTGTAAATATCAAGAACAGAAAGATTTAAAGCATTTGGGAAAGTCATAAAATTTAACAATATTTAAAGTAGAAAAGGCAAAATCAAAAAGATCCAATTTGGTTCATCTAATCAATTTCTGAATACAACTAACATGTCCAAATTCAAACACAACTATGGAAATTTACTATTCATAAGAAGCAGAAACACTAAAATATAATAGATAAACACTGCTGCTTACAGTCCTTTCATCAGCTACGACTTTTGATGGCTTTGTATCAAGTATCAAACTTGCAGCACCTTCATCAAGTTTTCCATTCATATCACCACCTCCCTGTTAGAAAATAGGAAAAATGAAAACAGATGATATTATTAATAACATGGTGAAGTAGAGATGTCAGCAAAACTCTCCAGTCCTCTATATCAGAACTCCTAAAACAGTACATACGAACATATTTTCCATTAAAAGCAGGATATGTTACTTGCCATCCAAATGTCTCCAGAAAAACCGTTGAAGACATAGAAGTAACCAAGCCAAATGCAAAATAGACCATAACAAGTTACTAAGCTTAAGATTTTTGTATCATAGTTTTTCCTTTATAAAGCTTCCTTATGTTTTGTGATCCAATAATGCAACTGACCTTATATTTCTCCAGTCTGAACTCTGTACATACTTCTGAATATGTAAATTTATTATATTCCATCCATTGAAACTTCTATGTTCTAATTCAGATATAAACAGTAAGGTAGATTTTTAAACATGAAAACTACATATTGAAACTGGGAAGTAGATATTTTAATAAAGAAACTCACATGCATTGCTGTCTGATCCATGTCTTCATCCTTAATTACATAATCATCTGGATTTATGACCTCACCAAAATCATCCCACTCTGATGTATTCTCATAACAGGGAAACATTGGAGCAACACTCGTGGAAGGGGGAACAAATCCATCAATAAATATATCCCGGTATCCTCCACCCCGAGGACCAGGCACTGCGAATGCAAATCAAATTAGTGAAGGAAATTCATAAAAATGTAAAGGCTAATAAAACATTAAAAGAAATATCCAAAAAATTTCAAAATATGAAAAATAACAGACAAATTCATACTCCTGATCTGTTTATTTAAAATAAATGACATAATTTATTTAAATACAAATTAAATAGTAAAATCACATTATAAAGTTTATTAAATGTTGAATAATTTTACAAACACAATTCAATGTTATTTGATGTGTTGAAATGGTAGTCTTTTATTATAAAACTCTGAATGTTCACTACTTATCAACACTCAACCAGTTGAAGACAAACGGTTAAGTTCTAAAACGATAGAAAATTTCAAATATACAAAACATGACTCTAAATGAGAAAGGTAAGCAGAAGAGGTAGTTATTACATAATCTGAAATGATAATGCTGATCATCTAATTACATTTAAACCATTATAGTGATGCAATATCATTCTTTCCTTATGATTAAAAATAATTTTACATTTCAGAAGAGAACAGAGCCAATATATTTTCTACTTAAAATGAAAAAATGTGAAACATTTCAAAAGAATAGCTCCAAAATAATTTATACTACTCTTACCTTCTGGCGGTGCATGATTATTGCCAGAATCGATGACCATTGGATCATTAGTATTATTATCAGACCCATGAGATGTTTTCAATTCTTCCTCTTTCAAAAGACTAGCTTTTAAAGCTTCTTTTTTTATTCGATTTTGCTCTTCTTCATAAGCAATGAGCTCTTCCCCAACTAAAGGAACACGCTTGGACACAACAACTTTGACAGCTTTTGGAGGAGGATCAGCTTGGAGCATACGAGCTAGTGTTGCAAACTACATATCCAAACACAGGAGGATCAGTTGAAACAAATGATGGCATAGCAAGCATCAGTTTTAAGTAGTTAAAGAAAATACATCACAGGAAATATTACTCGACCGATTGCTCTATTAAGAAACTACATTAAAAAGTGTCAATTAGCTTCCGTTTTCACAGCAGAAAAATCAATGCACGTGCCACATTACTCTAGAAATAAGTTGTGAACAATATTATTTTTATAATCACAGGGACCAGTGTCAAAGTAGGTCATTGGTAAATGCAAAAGAGAATATACAGCATTACAGTAACTAGCAGCTACAAACATAATCACAACTTTTCTCTCAATTAGTTAATCTTTGGTGCCTTGGGAAAAGCTAAAACAATGTTCATACTGAAATTTGAAATATAAATGCAACTGTCGCATCAACACTTAAGGAGAAGCTGTTAATAAATTAGCAGATAAACATAGAGAAACATCCTGCAATTTATAGTGGATTCACATGAATACTGAAACAGAAAGGAAAAATAAACTTTAAAAGAATATACCTGGCCTCTTTCAGTAAAAAGCACAAGATTTTTTGAATCATTGGCCCACTCAACAAATATATCATGAGAAAAACCTGCTTCTAAACTTGCCATGGATGCTAGAACAACCTATGAAGGTATATGTGTCAGATTCAGAAGTTGGTCTAATGAAAAATAAGCATACAAATTAGTCAACCTTTGGACCCTCTGGAGCATTCTCAAGCTCAGTCTTGTTAATCAGAAGGGTGACAAACCTACAGGTACAAGCATTGTAGTCTAGTTTTAGACACAAGATAACATTAACAATCATAACAAGAGTTCAATGATTTGATATCCTTAAACCAATACAACCATAGATTTTGAAAGCTCATTTTTCACTCATTGTTGAACAAAATCTTTCCTTTAGATAATAGATATCTCAAGAAACTCAAAATAAGCATAGGCTTAAATGCCAACCAGTAAGTAGGCGCTAAAAGTATTCCTGAGAACCAAAGACAGTATAAAATTAAACCTTGACATGAGAATATCTTATGCCAACTGTAAGTTAAGGATGAGGCCACTTACTTTAAAAGAAATATATTTTCACGAGTTTTTTCGAAAGACTTTGCTATGGAATCACTCATCCACTCAAGGAAACTCTTCACATAATCAATTGTGCTGGATGCAACATATGTAAGAAAGTATATAGGGTAGTTCAAGTTTTCATCGGCCCAGTACTGCAAAAACAAAGATCTGACATTAATTCACACATACAACATAAGGAAAAAAAGGGAGAAAGAGAGTAGAAGCACATGTCTTGTACTGACCGATTCCAACATCAGAATAAGTTCCAACACTCGTCCAGCAGTGTCAACAGGTAGTAATACATTGCCACCTGCCCTTAGAGTCTTCTTTAAGATATCTGTATAATCAACAAGATATATGATCAGAAATTTAGAAAAACCAAGGCATATTGATCCTAAACAGATTTTTTCATTTCTTGGTCAAGATTAAGTACATGTTTGCCTCACCAGTGAATGTACCAGACATATATATTGAGAAAACAAAATAAGAAATGGAAAACCCCATCTTAGTTTCGTCACATTGCAGCAGTAACAGGATTAAAAAAGTGGTTACCTCCAAATTCTTTGTCTTTTTGACGTCTGTAAGGCTGATTGTTTAAAGCATTGTAAGCATCAGTTATTAGAACAGCTGGCCGCACAAAAGAACCTAGAGCAGTTCCATTCAAATGCCTAGTAAAAATTAGATTGATAAGTAGATTGTTTATTGCTCCAAAAGGCATATAACATAAAGTTTAACCATGAGCAATTACCTTTCTTTCCTATGATTAAAATCAACAGCATATATGACATCCTCACCATCCTTTGTAATTTTCCAAACAGTACCGCCCAAAAGGTGTCCAGCAACATGAGGTGCAATCACAATTCCTTCTCCCTTGCCTTAAAGTGGTTAAAGATTAAAATGTCATTCAAGATAACGCAACCCAAATGAGGTAATATTACATAGTGAATTTGTTAACAAAAATCTTTTATTGCTTACGCAAATAATGCTAGACACTGGACACATGTGAATTTGTTATCATTCAGAGCTCATTCTATTTGTCAAATAACCATGAAAGGTAATAACATTTTAAAGGATCAAATGATCAATGTTGAAGGTGTTGTTAGCCTTTTTTTTTTTTATGTTTATCGTGCTATATTGTAAATATAAATATAAATATATATATATATATATATATATATATTTATATTTATATTTACAATATAGCACGATAAACATAAAAAAAAAAAAGGCTAACAACACCTTCAACATTGATCATTTGATCCTTTAAAATGTTATACTACGTAGCATCAATTTTCGCCATTCTCCCCACTATTCAACATGAGCACATAGATACTTTTAATTTGGCCTCACCAACAAATTGACTTTCATCTTTGTCTCCCCTGAGAGAAATATCCTATGCTTCAAGAGAGCTGCTCCCCAGATAAAGGGTTCCAGCTTGGAGGGAACTTTGTATTTCCCAATGGTCTTTAATTTGATTGCAACAAATACAGGTTTGAATAGGGTTATGGTCCAGAAATTAACCTATATTATATACAGAATCCATGCCACCACTCAATGCATCACATGCTAACATTAGTTCAAACACCTACCTGAGAGATGATGATTCTGAGAATAGGTTAGCCTCGTTACACTCTGGAAAGCAGAATCAATATCATCCAGCGTGAACAGATCAAACTCCGACACTTGCTACAAAAGAAAAAGATATCTCAATCGAACCATCCAGTTATATAGCACACATTTTCCAAATACTATCTAGTGATTATAAAGACAAGTGCACATATAAGAATGAGAGATCAAACATCATACAAACCAAGAAGCACAAAAAATCTTCCTCTGAACAGAAAAACCAAACAAAACAGAGCGGAATTTCACCTTTCTTGAGAGGTACTGATCATACATAGTGAGAAGGCCCAATCTGTAGACAGGCTCAGTTGAATAAACAGGGGCAGAGAGTCCAAGCTGCTTCATAGCATAAGGAAGGGCACCAAGGTGAAGTGTATCAGCATGTGAAAGCAAGACGGCATCAATGGTTGATGCTACCCTACATGCCAGCCACACAACCTCAATAAGAAATCAAAGGTAACAAAACATAAACATTCCCAAAAGGCAAAACATAGATTTCATTGTCATTCAAATATATAACCCCCACCCACCCCACCCCACACACACACACAAAAAAAAAGACTATTCTTTCTCCTTGTAGTTCTATACTCCAGTGTCCCGACGACAAACAAGGAATAAAGGAAAAGACCTCATACAAATCAATACTCTGGGGATGAAATTCAGATCATCTTGTGAAGCAGTGAAGGTGTAGGGGTTAAAACAGAGATACCGACTATTAAAAAATTCAATCTTGTTCACCACAAATATGCCTAAAACAATAATTTCATTGCCATTCATAATTTTAACCCCGCCCCACATGAAAAAAAAAAATTCCTTCTTCTTTTTAGTTCTAGAGCCTCTCAACATAAAAAAATAAAATAAAAATGAAGCAGAGAGAGAGAAAGACCTGGAGAGGGGTTGGAGGAGGGAAGGGTCGAAGTGGTCGTTCCAGCCACAGTCGACGAGGAAGTTGAAGCCATCAATGGAGACCAAATACGAGAGAGGGTTCTCATTGTACACTCCACACAGTGGCGTTACCTGCACTGATGTACCCATTTTCCTCTCTCAACTTCGTCCACTCACGCACAAGCACCTGAGTGTCTCAAACCAGAAGGTGTTTATGGAAAGATGGGTGAGAGACGGTGCGAGGGAGAAGGGGGAAAATGCAAATGAATTTCTTCGATTAAAAAAATGGTAATACTGGAACATGATTAATTTTATTATAATTAATTATTAATCGATAGTAACTGTAAATTAAGCAAAATGTGTCAATTAATTTAAAATAAATTGTTGATGAACTAATTTGATTTACCGCAATTTACAATGGTAATGAAAATAGAACTCCGCATCTCATTTGTCCTTTTAGCTAGGGTTGATTTATCACATTTTGAAGACCGGGTCTTGTAAGATCTTAATAAGACATTTTAGAGTTTAAATTATTTTTTCCTCACTTTTTAAATAATTAGCTTTTTTATTGAAAATATATTTCTATTTTATTTTTAATTATTATAAATAAATTTAATTCGATATTTTTTAAAATAAATATGTTTAAAAATTAAAATTAATAATAATTTATATATATTAAAATATTTTTTTAAGATAAAATTGTAATAAATAAAAAATTTTAAAGATTTATTTTAATAATTAAAAAAAAAACTCTTATTAAGTTAACATGTATAAATACTCTTACTTATTATCAATCAAAAACAACATTATAAAAATGGATTGGAGTCTTTTTTTCACAAATACTTGAAAGCTATATCTTTTGATTTTTTTTTGTCATAACTACAAAATATTGTAGAAAAAGACGATAACATATTTTAGAAAATAAAAAATTAAGAACTGATTGCAATACTTTTGAAAGAAATAGAATTAAAAAAAATCACGAGATTATAAACAATGTTCATAACTTTAGTGATAAGTACATAAAAATAAAAAAAGCGACTAACTAAATCTTATAACATGAGATTTTTACCTTTTATATCATAATTTACAAAATTTCAATCAATCTTTAATATCTAAAAATCTTTAATTTTTAACACAGATAAAGAAACACAATAAAATGAAAAAACAAAATACTTTAAAATTTTGTGCACAAAGTTTGTAATAAAATAATAAATTTAGAAAAATGTAATAAATATAAAAAAAAATCGATTTCCCTGGTTTTGATTTTATCATGGTGGTGGTCACATATTTTATTCTTTTTCCTCTTTCTATTATCAACAAACCATAGCGGGCCACTTATATTAACCACTGGCAACCACCAACCCCTTTTAAAAAAATATATATTCATTAATAGTATTGGAAAGGTCGATAATTATAAGATTAATTTATTAGTCTTCAATTAATAATATGAAAATTGTTATTTCTAAAAGAATTAATGTTTTATAGACTTAATATATTACCAAAGTGAAATTAATACATTTATTAAGTGTTACTGCAATGATTACTTGCTAACTCAGAAAACTAATCCAAGAAATAAAAATTCCCCTCGCTACACAACACAGCGAAGAGGATCAGAATCAAAAAATTCTAACACGGTTCTGTTTCACTCTCCACACCCTCCATTTATCCCTCTCTCTCTCTCTCTCTATAACAACTTTCTCTCTCTTCCCTCGCCGCAACGGAATGGCTTCCGTCACGTGCTCCCCCACCTCCCTCCAGCTTCGATTGGCCTTCGCCGCTCCCAAATTCCCCCTCGCCCCGCACGTGCGAATGCGCAACCTCAACAAGAATCGCGTTCGCCCTCTGCGCGCAGCGCGAGACGGCGCCGCCTCCGAGTGGACCGGGCCCGGGCCCAACCTCGATGACTTCTCCGGCTGGTCCAACACCGAGGCCGAGCAACAGCCCGACAAGAAGAATGAGTCCCATGGAGGTGAGTGCTTTCTCCAAATTGTACTCATTGTTTGCAATTGAACTGTTTAATTTAATTGTCTGTTTTTTATTTTTTATTTTGCTTAAGTAATGAAATAGCTTGAAGTATTCCAATTGATAATTGCTGAGTCAAGATGCATGGATGTTTCGATTACCGGTATGCATGTCTTAACGGCCTTATGTGAAAACCTGTAAACCTACTTTTTTTTTTTTTTTTTTAATTTTGAGTAATGAAGGGATGTTTGGCATAACTTGGATATAACAACTTTTATTTAAATTTGATTAAGATATACCTTTTTTTATCAAGTTTTCAAGACTTTAAAGGCCGGTGACAGTGATATGCAAACTAATATAAATATTTGCTATATTAAGGAAAGTAAGGAAATCATGTAAGAATAGATAAAAGCTGAAGAATTTATTGACGGTGTTACAAATTTGTACAATGTCTTCCAATCATGAATTGCTTCATGTGTGGTAAAATTATTGACTGTTTGTAACAATTAGTAAGTCCTGCAACATAGTTTGAATCTATTGTTATTAAAGTAGATAGTGTATGTGCGGACAATATAAAAGGTTTTTTTGGGACTTTACCACTGTCATATAATCACAAATAACTACGCATGGTAAATTTGTTGACTTCATAGTAATTATTTTAGAAGGCATACCAACATTGACAGTGTATTGAAATTAAATTTATTATTATTTAGAAGTTGTTGGTGAGGATAGTTGAAATTAGGTGTGGATTTTGCTACTTATTAAACATGATGGACTTTTCATTCATGCTTGCCCTTCATTTTGATTGCAAGTAAGTACTAATAAACATGATTGGGAGATTGGGACAGTGAGATGTGAATTTCTGAAAAGTCAAATGTATTTTGTAAAGTGTTAGCAATTTCACATTACTTAATAACACTTTTGAAGTAGCTTGCTTTCAGGAGTTGTGGGAGTAGGAGTGGCTGGAGTGCTTCTTCTTTCAGGGCTTACCTTTGCTGCCTTATCTCTTGGGAAACGAACTGGTTTCAGTAAGTAGTCTTGGCTTGCTTACCTCTTGTCATAATTGTCATAATCATTGACTTACGTATAATGCTTTCATGAGTTTGAGTGAATTTTTCTGTTTAACTAAACTTCTCTCTTGGAAATTGAAATGTGTGTGACTGGATACAGGACCAGAGCAACACATGCAGCCCTTCACTGCACAGCAGGAGGAAATTTTGTCTTCTGATGATCATAATAATGAAACAACAGAACAAGTGAATGTTAACAAAGTGGAGCAAGGAAAGGATAAAACCGAAGGTCAGATAGATATATCCAATGATTATTCATCTGCTGAGTCTGGTAATATTTACAGTGACTGTAGTATTGTTGATGATTCTGGTATAGGATCCCAGTTGATATATGATAGTAAAAACCCCTCCAATGATGTTGATGATGCCACTAAACATATATCTGTTCAGGGACAGCATGAGTCAGCTTTTGATAACAAGTTAGTTTTTGCCAGTGAAAGTCCAGTGCCACTTGAATTTGAAAATACTGCTGATTCTTTTAATACCTATGGATTTAGAGATTTTGATAGCAACCCTACTGTAGATACAGCAGAATCTGCTGCCAATCTTAAAGAAAACCTATTCAATGTTGATCCAGGAGATCTGCCCAACTATGATGATGCCAAGCCACCACACCATAATACTGACCAGCATGATGAAATAAACAGTTCAAATGGAAGTGTAAGTCTGGGTTTTACTGAAACCTATTCTAGTTCAGCTGCTGATAACGAGACTGAAATTGTTAGTGTTGTGGTCAATCCTGAGTCAAATAACACAATTTCAGATCCTAAGTTTTTCAATGAAGCTGTTCAAGAGAATATTCTCTCAGCTTCAACGAAGGAAAACATTGATCTGAACAAAATTCTGCAGTTCTCTGCTGAGGTAAATGAGCCATCCTTTGAAGAGCGGAGCATTCCTGGAAATGATGTGTTTGAAAAATCATCCGTTTCATCATCAGCCAATACACTGGTGAATGACCTGGGTATAAATGATACTTATGAGGTTGATGAAGTTAAATCTGAATCTCCAAATTCTGGATCCTTTTTCTCTGTTCCTGGTATTCCCGCTCCATCAGTAGTTTCTGCAACTGTACAAGTGCTTCCGGGAAAGGTTTTGGTTCCTGCAGCTGTTGATCAAGTTCAGGGGCAAGCACTAGCTGCACTGCAAGTTTTAAAGGTACTTATTTTTATTTTCATGTAGCAAGGTGACTATAATGCCCTGTGCATCTATAATTTAATTATAGTTATTATTATACACTAGTTGTTATTGCTCACTTGGATATTTTTACATTCTTAGGTCATTGAGCCTGATGTTCAACCTAGTGATTTATGTACACGTCGGGAATATGCCCGCTGGTTGGTGTCTGCTAGTAGTGCTCTTTCAAGGTAGTAGGTTATTTGTTCTTTCTACATGTGATGTGAATAACAAAATGTGTTACATATGTAATAATATTAGACATTACACGTGTTTCTGGTAACTTGTTAGGAGCACTGTTTCGAAAGTGTACCCTGCCATGTATATAGACAATGTTACTGAGCTTGCATTTGATGATGTCACCCCTGAGGACCCTGATTTTTCTTCCATTCAAGGTCAGTATGTGACAACATAATAATTTTTAGAATTACAACTTGTTGCTATATTCATATTCTGTCTAAGTAATATCACATATTGATTTTCAGGCTTGGCAGAAGCTGGACTTATTGAGAGCAGGCTTTCAAGACGTGATATACAGTTGTCTTCTGATGAAGATGATAGCCCATTTTACTTCTCCCCTGGAAGGTATGTTCTTTCTGAATTTGGATATCTAATTTGTGGTTACATTTTTCTTTACCCTCTGCAGCTGAAATTATTGCAATTGAACTTTTAAAAGAAATTAGACTTAATATTTCATCTCATTTTTTTTAGTTAGTAGTTGCGCAGCTTCTTCTGTTTGAGATGTGCTTTTAATTTGTATGGTGTAGGCTACAATTGTGATCTCCCTTCTCTCCCATCTTAATTTATGCAGTCCTTTATCACGTCAAGATCTTGTCAGTTGGAAAATGGCCCTGGAGAAAAGACAGCTTCCAGAAGCCGATAGAAGGGTTGCTCAACTTGTTTCTTTATCTGATATGTTTAAGCTATCTTCTTAATTCCAGCTGTATTGAACTAATGAATGTGTTGACCTAGTCCATTGTCTGCTGAGCAGATGCTGTACCAACTTTCTGGTTTTCTGGACACTGATAAGATACATCCTAATGCATGCCCTGCCCTAGTGGCTGATCTATCTGCTGGCGAGCATGGAATAATAGCTCTTGCATTTGGTAAGTCATATTCTCTTTGTAATTCTAAAAAACTTGATGGTGATTTTTCATTGTTTTCTTATAATTTATTCTTTGTTTCTTTTCTCCCTGTTATTTCTAATCTGATTTTGTTTTTAAATTTTCACTGATTCTTATATTTTTGTGGGTGGGATATTCCAGGTTATACAAGATTATTTCAGCCGGATAAACCAGTAACAAAAGCTCAAGCAGCTATGGCTCTGGCTACTGGAGAAGCTTCTGAAATAGTTAGTGAAGAGCTTGCACGCATTGAAGCAGAATCTATTGCTGAAAATGCTGTTGCTGCGCATAGTGCTTTAGTAGCTCAGGTAGAGAAGGATATCAATGCAAGTTTTGAGCAAGAGCTTTTCATAGAGAGGGAAAAGATTAATGCTATTGAAAAAATGGCTGAGGAGGCAAGACTTGAGTTGGAAAAGATAAGAGCTGAGAGAGAAGAAGATAACCTTGCATTGACAAAGGAGCGTGCTGCTATTGACTCAGAAATGGAGGTTTTTTCAAAGTTAAGACATGAGGTTGAGGATCAATTACAAAGCCTTATGAATGACAAGGTAGAAATAGCACATGAAAAAGAGAGGATTAACAAACTCCGGGAACAAGCAGAAGTTGAAAACAAGGAGATTTCCCGTTTACAATATGAACTAGAGGTAGAACGAAAAGCCCTGTCTATGGCCAGGTAAAATCATGAAACTTTTTATAGGCAACTAAATTATGTTAGATCAGCTTTCAATTTTGGTTTTGTAGAACTGGTAAAAGCAGATATGATATGGGTTGGGAAAACATTGGCAAATATATTTTATTTTCCCTTTATTTTTGCCTTGGGCTAGGATTAATTAAACAATTACTCTCCATCTCGTGTATCAAGTCACATTGAAGGGACTTAGATTTTATTTTAATCATATTACCTCTATTGAAGGGACAGATTCTTCGATCATTTCTAAAAATAAGCAAATCAAGCCAATGAACTAATAGCATACAGTAAGCGACTATGATTGTATTGTGATATGCTTGGCCCATTATTGTTCATAATGAAGTACAAACATTAAAGATTAAAATATATATTTTTGGTAATTCTATGTCACACGTCGATTTTGATATGAAACTGTATGTCATAATGACGTATGAAACGTCAATTGCTCTGTTCAGAATTTTTCATATAGTCTCCATAAGTATAATTGCTTTCAAATGTTTCCCTGCCATTTGTAAATCTTCTATTACTAGAAGTTTTGTATGGAGCTACTATGCAGCATAGAGACCAGATTGAAAATGGCTGACATGTATAGCGATACAAAATATTCACATTTTTAATTTAGTTTATATGCTTCAGTATGTTATAACTTCCAACATGTAGGTTGTATAGCATTAGCATATAGCAAGGATTCAATTGAAAACCGTTACACTGTTAGGTTCCTCTGTCTGAGATAAGTAAAATAGAACCTTCTAGGGAACCACACAAGGAAAAGAACTCTGAAAATCTTATTCTGAAGGGAAAGTAACCCACGGATCAAGTTATCAACGTACATACCTCTAGAGGATCCAAAAGAGCTTTCTCCTTTCAGGAAATAGCCCATTAAACACTATATATTTATTATACTCATTACCTCCTATTTTATTCATAATTAGAATTGTGCAGTAAAAAAAATCTTAGAATTTGACTTTTTTTTTTTAAAATGTAAACCTTTAGGGGGAATTTATTGAATTGTTTCCAGCTCTAAAAAAATTATATATAAGATTTCTCCCTACTGACCACCGTATCTCAATCTGTCCCTTTTACTTTAAACTGGGCTTATTTATAGGAGTTACAAGAGTTACAACTATTCAAATAAGAACCACTAACTATACTATCTCACCAACAGTTTGTTACAACAGTGCCCCTTTCCTTTTCCTATAATAAACATGTTAACCCTTTCCTCCTAAAGGTTGTTACTCTGATTCAGTTCTGACGTATACTTTACATGGACTAAACTGAAAAGCATCTTTTATACAAGACCAAATCGAAGATGCAGGCATCTGTGGGGATCAAGTATAGATTTTACTCCAAATACAACTAATTACACAACTTCCTTTTACTGATATCTTAATTAGACGATCACGATACATGCTCTCTTTTAACATTGCATTCCTTTGTGCAACTGAAATTTCTATGGTAACTATTTAACTGCTTCCAATTGTATTTGCAGTACGGAATTAATCTAGGTGTGGTTGAATTTGTAAAATGTTAGACTGCCGATATATTTATTTCTGTGAGGCAGATGCCTTATTGACAGTTGTTCATTGTAGTTAAATGAAACGGTTCCGAGAAATTCATTTTTTGTACAAAATGATAGTTCTTGCCCAATTAACCTGAATAAATGTTTATGTTAATTCTCGGATTCAGGGCTTGGGCAGAGGATGAGGCCAAACGAGTGAGAGAGCAAGCAATAGCATTAGAGGAGGCTAGGGATCGTTGGGAGAGGCATGGAATCAAAGTGGTAGTTGATGATGAGCTCCGCAAGGAGGCCTCGGCTGGAGTTACATGGCTCAACGCCTCAGAGCAGATCTCGGTTCAAGGAACAGTTGACAGGGCCAAGAACTTATTGGACAAGCTCAAACAAATGGCAGCAGATGTCAGAGGAAAATCCAGAGACACACTTGACAAAGTCATCCACATGATTTCCCAATTTATTTCAAAATTGAAGGAATGGGCATTCAGAACAGGAAAACAAGCTGAAGAATTTGGAGAAGCTGCCATCTCAAAGGTAGGTAAGTCAGCCAATGAATTGCAACAAAGTGCCATTGAAGTTGGATTTGGTTTCAAAGATGGTGCAAAGCGAGTTGCTGGTGATTGTAGAGAAGGTGTTGAGAAAATCACTCAAAAATTCACACAGAAGTTCAAGACCTGATATTTTCTACCCTCAACATTTTCCAAGCTTGTTGGCTGTTGAGTGGCCGGAGGTGTAGTTTGCTTTGATTTTACTTTTATTGCTTCGATAGAGATATGTACCAGACACAGATGCAGAAACATTGGCGGTTTATAACTTCTAATGACTGCCTTTCGAAGATCACAACATATTCATGTGACGCCATGTTTGTATAATTGATACTAGTAAGAATTGTAGTTGAGGAATAATCTGTTGTAATACAACATGTTTCCATGGCTGCCTCACATCTAGATTAAACAGATAAGCAGCATGGATATTTTTCATTTGAAGCATGCTGAGTACAAGTTGTCATGAATCATGATCAATGCACTCTCAAACGCCCTCTTTAACAACGAGCATTGCAATAATAAGTGATTCCATTTTTACACTATTTAAAGATATTTGATCGTGACTCATTATTAACTATTACGGTGGGTACAAGTACCAATTATATATGGCATAAAATAAAATGAATAAGTTTTGGAGATGAAGATATTAATGTTATATATAAGAGCAATAGTCATAGAGAAATGCTCACAGTGCTTTAAAGAATTGTCACTAGCATTTAGTTCCTTACCTTTTTATTAAAAAAAATCATGATTTTCAAGATAAGATAGTTTCTTTAATTTATGCATAATTGGAAATAATAAGTAAATGAAGAATTGTAATTTATACACTTCATTTTAATTTAACTTATTGCTTTTCACTAGCACTTGTGTTTTTTATGTTTTAATTTTGTTAATTAAAAGACTTGTTCGATATTTAGAATATGATTAAACAGAATTAAAATTAAAATTTTTAACAAGAGAGATATAAATGTTATTTTTATTTAATATTTGATGTACATAATAATAATAATAATAATAATATAATAGTAATAATAATAATAAATTATGAAAATGATAATAATGATGATAGTGAACAAATACTAAAATTAATAATTTGGAAATAGATAGAACATGATAACGAAAATGAAAATAACGATTATAAACTAATAACAATAACGATAATAATGTATAATAATAACAATGAGGGTAATAATGTATAATAACAATAACAAAAATGTTGAGGTTATTGGATTATTTTTAATTTAAGCTTTTAAAGATAAAAAAAATTAATAATATAGTACCATCAATAAAATAAGTAAATTATATCATATAAATGAATCAAACAATTTATTAAAACAAGATATATATTATACATCATTTTATTATATTATATCCATTACACATTCTCGTGATTTTCGAATGAATTAAAAAATGGACAATATTAATTATCTAAGTTTTAATTATGCTAACTAGATTGATACGACATTATATTATAACGAGTCTTTGTGTATTGACTAAACAAATTTAAATTATAATATAAAAGAAAATCATATAAAAAAACTTATCTAAGTTTCAACTATGAGAAGACATTTTCCTGTCAAATTGATCAAAGTGGTATAATTTATTTTATTTATTCTTAAAATAGGTAAATTTTTAAAAAATTATGTATAAGCCGCAGTTGATATATAACTTTGGTTGAACTCATATTTGAATGAACAACTTTTTTTCTTGTGATAAATTTTATTTTTTAAGTTGTGTTTTAATGAATGACTTTAGTATCATTTTTTTAACTAAAATCATTAATTGATTAACGATTTTAGTTATTTTTTTATTTTAAAATTGTCAAATAATTTTAATTTAACTTTTTTATATTTAAGTTGTGAATTGATTGACTATATTTAATTTATATATTTTTAAATCAAATTTTTATTTTTAAAGTTTTATTTAATATTTAAAAAATTAATAAATTAATTAATTAATTATTATTTAGATGTCTATAATATTAAATATTTTTTAAATATATTAAATTGTTAAAAAGAAAATATGGATATGTTAATGAGGAAAATATACATATATTATATAAGAAAATAAAAATTTATATTTTCATTGTCGAAATGGACAATTATAACGATAATGATCTTCATTTTGACAAAATGAACAATTTTTTGGCTTATTTTGAACAAGTTCATCCATCTCTTTGTGATTGTGATTTGTTGCTAATTTTCCTAATTGTTATTGGTCTTCTTAACCGTTGTCCACGTAGACTTCGATTAAGAACAAATTTTGAACTTAAATAAAGAGACTAATAATCTTCGTTCAAAATGGGATGAAACTGCACTTCATAAGTCTTGTAATTTGTACACCGGGTTAACGTATGTATCAATGTGTAAGTGACCATATAAACATACATTAATAATATGAGAGTAAGAAAGTCAGAGACATTAAAACTCTCTACAATCACACCACTAGTTATTTAATTTGACTATATAGTTCAACGACCACGACATTGGAAATTTGATCCCTCTTAGATATCAAAGTCAGAATTCTCTCGATTGTAGTTTTAAATAATACACTTTCCTACACATCGTTCATTTTATCTGAGTAAGTTAACAATCTCTTCTAGGTAATGATGTCATTTTCATAACATGCATTCTGCTTTGGTGTCATGTTCAACAAACCACCTACTGATATTGTTAAAGGAAATCCTGTAAAGCTTTCTTAGTTGAACAATACCTTCCAAATCCTTTCTAATAATGTTGACGAAAATATTATATGCAAGAACACATATATTGACAATTATAGACAGCCTCTGAATGCCATATACATTAGGTGCAAGAGTGCACTTTATGTATCTTTTACTTTTGCAAAATCATTTTATTATGTAAAATTATAGCCAAGGATTTATTTTTTAGTGTGTCTTTATTGAGTCTTGGATCATAATGTTGATCATAGACAAGAGAACATTGGTGGTTATATGTTACTCCTTCAATCAATCATGGGTGTGAAATCGAATAATATGCATGTGTCCATCAGTGTTAGATTTAACAAATAACAATATTGTTATAGGATTCTGATTTTCGTTAGCGAAAAGGTATTATGAATTATTATTTGATTTGTTATTATTATTAGTACTACGTCATTATTATTACTATTAATCTTTTTTCTCATTTTAGTTATATGATTTTTATTTTTATTATTTGATTTTTTATTATTATTATTACTACTATGTTATAATAATAATAATAATTATTATTATTATTTATCTAATTGATTTTATGTAATAGATGGTCTATCTAGAAATATGGTGGTGTCATGCACAATTTGCACATATTATATGCAACATATGATCATATACAACTAAAGGAGGTATTTTGCATAATTTATTAAACTTTTTTTATTACTATATCAAACATTGTTAACTTTTTTTTTTTAGTTTCTCTATACTCTTTATCATAAAAATACTCTCATAGGATTAATAAAGATTGAAATTTTATTTATAAGTCATATTGTTGTATCACTCATTTATTTTATAATCATTGAATATTATGAAGTTCATATGCTTTTTAACCACCTTCACTTTACGAATATGGGTTAATTCCGAAATATATCAGGTCAATTTCAGTTTTGACAAGTCCCTTAGATATATAATGTGTTTTCATCTTCTTCAAATATATTTGTCATCACTTTAATGATACTAGTCAAAACATAATCAAATACCTCCCACAAACATCATATAATAATGAAGATGAAGATAATAATAATAATAATAATGATGATGAACAACAATAGACAAATCATCACCAGAATAAGTATCTTTTCGAATAAAATAATTTTTATTAATAATAAGTATTAAAATACAAACTTTTACTAAATAAAAACAAAAAAAAGTAAATTTAAAATATATAAACTAAAGTCGTCGATCATCTGATATTAAAAAAAAAATCAACTAAAGTCATTATTTAAAAGACAACTTCAATAAATAAAAAAAATCTTATTAAAATCGTGGATTGAACTACGACTAAAAATGTAGAAATCGTATATATGTGCACGACTTTTGTTTAAAAAGCTAAAGTCGTCTTCCAGAGCACAACTTCTTCGTACCACATCTTATTTAAATACACCACTTACCCATGTAACAAAAAACTTTTAAAAATATACCATTTTAAAATAATAAAAGCAAATTACACCAATATAAAAAAATTAGCCCATTTTTCTGGTATACATTAGTACCCAAATCATAACACCTGTCATTACGGATGTTTTACATTACGGATGTGAAATAAACTCATACTCACGGGACCGATCCGTCTCCATTCGGAGTTTGACAAAGAAAAATCGAGTTGATTAGAGTTAGAGACGAGTTTCCCCTGCTTTAAAAATGTCATGGGCGGGGATGTGTAATGCAATTTCCACCCCAGTCTCCGTGCTCGCGCCGCTGCCTAACTTTATATTTAAATTTTAAAATATTAATAATTTAAAATTATATAATTTTCTTTTTCCATTACATGTAAGATCATTTTTTTTATATTTTACAAATTTTACTTTTTTTACTCATTTTTTATTTTTTTTGTATTTTTTAATCTTTTATATCAATTAGTTTATTACATTATTTTCTTTCTCCTATCTTTCAGCTTTTTCACATTTTATTAATCTCTCCAATCAATTTGTTCTTTTTAATCTTTTCAACCAATTTGATGAACACAAAGTTATTTTTTTCTTCTTTATCTTTTTTCTAAATATTTTACACAAATCTTAATAGTAACCGATATTATATTATTTATAATTTATATTTATTAGATTTAATTATGTCATATTTTTTAGATCTTATTATTTTTATTTGTCATATATCAAATTTTATCTTAATAAAATAATTATATTTTAAAGGATTAAAAAGAATTGATAATTTAAACTTTTATTACTTTAAACTAATTAAATAAGAATTAACTTATTAAATATTTTCTTATAAATTTTGTATTTTTAAACGACAACTTAAAAAAGAATTACTTATATATTATATGTAATCAAATGTTTAAATACAGTATTATAATAATAATAATGTTATAAATATTCAAATATTTAAATACAGTATTATAATAATAATAATATTATAAGTATTCTATAATTGTATAAAGAAAAAATTATTAAATGTTTATTTTACATACATATTTTAATATAAATATAATAAATTAAAAAATATATTTAATTATTAATAATTACAAATTGTAAAATTATAAATATTTATTTATATATAAAAAATACATAAAAATAATAAATTTAATTTATTATAAATATAATTATTTTTTAAAAATAATGTAAATCAAGAACGAGACGAGAAAATAAGAAAACTCCAAACCTAACGATGACAGTAGATGAAAATTTAATTTCTAACTCGAATTCACTTTGCCCCGCCATGGCAACCTATCATAATGATTTTAACTACTTTTCTTATTTTTAGATTCAACTACTTCTCATACCCTTAAATAAATAAATAAATACTTTTGATTTATTAGTATTATATGAATAACATACTGGTTTGTTTATAATTTTAAAAAATAAATTTTAGATTTAAATGATTAAATAAATTTTTTAACTTATTTTTTAAAATTTGTTTTTTTGAAATATTTTTTTAAATGAGTTTGAAACCTAAATAAATAAATCCTTGAATTAATCTAAACTCAATCATATCTTAAAAATAAATTATAAGTGTTTAATATATTCATCAATCTCACGTCACTAAAAAGAAATAAATGATAATTTATATATATCATCATTTTATTTATTTATTAAGAACTCAAAAAGGAACATGTGAATTGATTTAATGAAAATATGACATCAAGAGACTCTCTCTCTAATCGAACATTGACGCTAATCATAGAGAGCCATTTCTACCGCTATAACAGACGGGAAAGATCAAGACACTTTCTTTCTAACCATCCTCTACACATATTGTGACAGCTCATTTTTTAACCCACCATGACAGACGAGAAATGTCATGACACTCTCTGATTTTATAATTTATTAAAGAATAAAAGAATATTTACCCTTTGAGGCTTATGAAATACTTAAATACCTGTTTGATTTATATTACTATTTTAATTTTTTAAATATAAAATAAACCTATACTTCTTTATATAGAGAGAGAGATAAACAAATCTATAAAAAACATGCATACAACTAACTTTAATTTTCAAAAAATAATTACTTATTTATTTAAAAATTCTTTTTAAGAAATAAAAAAAAAACGTTTTTTCTCTCAAATAAAAATATTAAAAAATGAATTCAAATTATATAGACTATTAAAACTTGTCACAAACTCTGGATATTTTGAAATTTTGATTATTTTAGTTTATTTATTTATTACTAACACATCTATTTCGTATAATATTTTTTAATAACAATTTTAATTATAAATGTTGTACTAGAATTAAAATTTATACCGAATAATTATTTTTTAAAATATAAATGATATTTTAAATTGATAACGAGTAATATAAATTGTGGAACAAGATTTTGTTAACCATTGATAATTTCATTTGAAAACATTGAAATTTAATTTAAAAAAATAGATCTATTAAAAACTATTCTTAAAAACACTATTATAAAAAAACTTTTAAAAATAAAAATACATTAGTTAAAGAAAAGTAATAACTTAAAAAAACAAAATTTATATATAAAGAATGTTTCATGCTTTTTCAAAAGTTTTGGGAGACTCTCCATCTTTGTTATGTACTTACTACCAAAATAATATATATTTATTTAGGAAAAAAAGAAAGAGAGAATATCCTTTTATTCATTAATATGATGCTTCATTATATTTATAATTTGATGTGACAAAACATAATGGAAAGTCCCAGATTGTGAATTTGTGACCTTTCCTCACACCCACCTCATGGGTGCCAGCAAATGCAAAATCCACCCTTTTTCTGAGTTTGACTTGTAGGTTTGGCTGCCCTTTTACCCTTTGATTCAATACTTCTTCATCCTAAATTCTGCAGCAATAATATTATAGGACAAAGTTTACATCTTAAGCCACACACAACAACCAATAATAAACCTCAGAATCTCCTCCAATGTCTCCAGCGCCAGGACAACCTATGATTGAACCCTATTAATTAACGTTTCCTCTTTGGATTTCTGGGTCCTTTAATCCTTCATCCCCACTGATTTTTTGGGAACTGGGTGGCTTTCCTTGTCCCCTTTCCTTCCTTGCTCTCTGATGGGTCCTTTAAACTATGCAAAATTTGTGATATTGATCAATGATTAGCTTTGAGTTGTAATTTTGATGTGTTGGGAGTCTGTCTGTATGGCAGTTTTTTGTGGGTATACTCGATTCGGCATATTGTGTAATGATTTCTATTATCCCAATTTTGACGTGTGTCTCTTGTTATAGAAGATTCAATTGTCGGAGCTGGGAAGTACAGGTTTTTGTTTATTGTCTTCTAGTTTCTTTGTTGGTCATTGTGGTTGTGGTAGTTAGTTAATTGTGAATATCTGTTTGTATAGTAAGTGAACACTAGATCCATGATTGTTTACACTCTCTGTTTGTATAATTCTGATTTTTTTGCAAGAAAAAGATTGTGCCACTTTTGAAGTTTAAGCTTCAGATTCCATTTTTTTTTTTTTTGTGTGTTTATATTTGTTCTAGTATAAGAAAGTCATTGCCCTTGAGAGGAAATTTGTGGTTCTCAGCCTACAAAGCTTAGTTGCATAAGCTGTTGGCACAATGTCCTTCCTGTGTTTCTGTCCTCTTGTTGAGTGTGTGTACTGTCTGGCTTGTGCTCGTTGGGCTTGGAAAAGATGTCTTCATACTGCTGGCCATGACAGTGAGAATTGGGGCTTTGCCACGGCAGAAGAATTCGAGCCAATACCACGCCTTTGTCGCTATATTTTAGCTGTGTATGAAGATGATCTTCGCCAACCCCTTTGGGCACCTCCTGGTGGCTATGGAATTAGCCCTGATTGTTTACTTCTCAAAAAGACATATGAAGATACCTGTGGTAGGGCGCCGCCCTATATTGTGTATCTTGATCACGAGCATAATGATATAGTTCTTGCCATCAGGGGTCTAAATTTGGCAAAGGAGAGTGATTATGCGGTTCTGTTGGACAATGGATTGGGGAAGAGAAAGTTTGATGGGGGTTATGTTCACAATGGATTGTTGAAAGCTGCTGGTTGGGTTTTGGATGCAGAATGTGAAGTTTTGAAGGATTTGGTGGAAAAGCATCCAAACTACACTCTGACTTTTGTTGGACATTCCCTTGGATCTGGTGTAGCAGCTATGCTGACAATGGTGGTAGTGCAGAATCGACATAGACTTGGAAATATTGATAGGAAGAGGGTCAGGTGTTATGCCATTGCACCTGCTAGGTGCATGTCACTGAATTTGGCAGTCAGATATGCAGATGTCATCAACTCCGTTGTGCTCCAGGCAAGTTATCCTTTATTTTTTTCTATTTATTTGGTTGATAATGAGAGTTGAAACCTGTATTAATCCTTGATTAATTTCTCAACAAATCTTGAACACCTAAAGCATATAGAAAATAAACTGGACTGGGTTACTAATAACAAATAATCAGTCTTTGAGATTACAATACAACCAATTCTATATACCAAACTCCAATCAGTGGCAGCCCCACGAACAAAATTTTAATATTGTGAACCTTAATAGAAGGTAGTTTTGTTTATACATTACCTTCTTTTGATGTGTTTATACGAAGTTCTTGCCTTGTGTATATAAAGATAATATTCTGCAATAAGTAGAATTATAAATGTGATGAATTTATTACTTGAATGACTACAGACTTATAATGAAAAACAAATAGAGTCCAAATTCAATAACTAACTAGGATCCACAGCTTTCATTGTTTTTTCTCTTTTGGAGCATTTATTGTCAGTTTATCTCAGATTCAGGGCTACTGATATCTGGATATAAAATTTTCGATTTCTTGAATGATGGCTTATCCCTTTAATTTTCTTAGTTTAAGCATTCAACTAACTTAATGCTAGGGCTAATGGGTATCTTTGTATATTGAAAACCATTATATCCATAGTAACAACTTTCAGTGAGTGATATGAATGAACACATTTTAGTGCTTGGAGAAAAATAATTTACCGAGAGCTTGCTTTAGTAGTTGTCTACTCAACACTGGTCAAATATTTGGATAAAGTCTGTTTCATAATAAATTAGTAGATGATTTATTCTTAAGATAAATGATACATAAACAACCAACTTCTTTGCATACAACTACCCTACAACTCTGTTTAATAATATAATAATCATAAACATAAAATTTTAAAAATCTTGATATTCTTATATTATTAAAGTGAATTATTAAATGGATGTTTGAACATATAATTTTGCTTATTCTTATGAGCAGTAATTTCTTAAACTTCGAACATACGTAATGTTGCATTATAAATCTTGTCTTTCTTCATGCTTCATTATACTTGATGCCATGATTCATGAATCTATTATATTGAAGTTAATCACTCTTTTCCTTGATTAGGATGACTTCTTACCAAGGACAGCCACTCCATTGGAAGATATATTCAAGTCTCTTTTCTGGTATAACGACTTGTGTGATATGCCTTTTTTATTATCAATAATACATGGATGGAAGATGTTTTTGCATACTAAAATCTATGCTACATGTTCAATCTTCTTTGCATCCCCGCTTCAAATTTTAAACAAATTACCCCGAATACAACCAATAATTAGCATATATGCAAAGGTGATACCAGAAATTAGTGAAACAATTGTTTGTGTAATTTTTTAATTTGTTCATGGAGAGATAATTTCCAATTATAATAATGTTTTTTTGTGTCTGGCAGTTTGCCATGCCTATTGTGCTTGAGGTGCATGAGGGATACATGTATTCCAGAGGAGAAGATGCTCAAGGATCCAAGGAGACTCTATGCACCTGGTCGCCTTTATCACATTGTTGAGAGGAAGCCTTTTAGGTAAGGTTAAGAAAACAGAAGAGTTTATGCCTTATGCTGAATTCTAACTGTGTTTTTGGAAGTCTCGTTTTTACTTTCTTCTTATTTCTCTGACATGTGTTTCTTCTTGTTTCTTGCACAATAAAATATGTTAAACAATGATCATGCCAAAAGGATGTTTATGCTGCCTTTGCTTTTGTTCTTACCTGAACTTCAAAACATCTTATTTGCAGAATGGGAAGGTTTCCCCCTGTTGTTAGGACAGCAGTGCCTGTAGATGGAAGGTTTGAGCATATAGTCCTTTCATGTAATGCCACATCTGATCATGCCATCGTTTGGATAGAGAAAGAAGCCCAAAGGGCTCTGGATGTAAGTGTAAATGTTTACTGGGACAAGTAAAGTTTTAGTCTTTGTCTCTCTTCTTTGTATTAAACTATTTTTTTTCAAATGGGTCCTCCAGTTGAACATTTGAATCTTGAACTTATGTTTTCGCCGGTTAAGTATCCCATCTGGTTTTCATAATCTTGCATTTTAAAGAACAGAAAGTTAACCTTTTCCTTATGTTTTACGTCAACTGCAGTTGATGCTGGAGAAAGATAAACCAATGGAAGCCCCTGCCAAGCAAAAGATGGAGCGTCAGGAAACCCTAACAAGACACAAGGATGAGTATAAAGCAGCATTGCAGAGGGCGAAAACATTAGATGTTCCACATGCTTATACACCACCATCAGAGTATGGGACTTTTGATGAGGGAGATGAGGGCTCAACAAAATCTCTGGGTGAGTCTTCTAATAAAAGTTCAGTGGATGAAAGCTGGGATGCATTGATTGAGCGTCATTGTGACAAGGATGAACATGGCCACAAAGAATGATGAAGACTTTAGAATGAGTTATATTTAGTGTATAAAAAGCAAAATTCGTTCATTCTTTTTATGTCTCTTATGGTGAATAATAAATTTGTTAGATTTTAATGGTAGTCAGGATTCATGTGTACTTAACATTTAAAATTAAGATTGTGGATTGTCTAATAAATTCATGGAGAATTTATGCACTTGTAAATTGTAATTTTTGAAGGGTTTTCTCAATCTTAAACAAACTTAATTACAGTTCATCTTGTCTTTAATATTAATATTGGTAAAGTATATTTTTATATATAATTATGACAAATATTTGTATTTGGTATAATTAAAATTTTTTATCAGAGTTTTATATAATATTAATTATTTTGTAAAAATTTTAATTATCACCAATAAATAAATAATTAGTTTTATGTCAAACATAGATTATGAAATATTAAGTTAAGTGTATATTAGTGTTAGTGGTTTTAATAGTTAGAAGGTTCAATTTTATAAAAAAATATGATTAATTACATATGTATACTTTTTCGCATGGTTAGATTCATTTTTTTTTCTCAATAAAATTTAGAGGATATTATGATATATATATATATATATATATATATATATATATATATATGAATATACACATTATTTAACCCTTTATATAATATAAAATTAACTATTTTTTTAATAATTTAAAACTTAATAGAATAATTAATAATATATGAATTAAATAAACAAATTTATTTATAATAAACTCAAATATTTATTATAATTATTGTAAAAAAATATTTTAACTTATTAATATTAAGGTGAAATTAGAAAAAAATAACTTTTTTATAAATATTATATCTATTTTCATTCATTGTTTCTAATAATTATTATGAATATATGTGTTTCTATTAAAAAAATGATATAATTTTAAAAATCATTAGTGAGAGTATATTTGGTATATTGGAACATTATTTTCAAAATTCAACAAAAAAAATTATTTTTTTAGCATGTGTGATTATTAGCGTTGGTGTGGGAATTTGCAATCTCCACCAAAATATTTTTGTGGCCATATTCATGTAATTTTGAAGTCAAATCAAACAATAAAGAATAATTATTTCGCTAATAAAATTTTATTACAATTCTTTTTTCTTTTTTGGTAAAACTGCTACTTTTTCTTTTACAAGTTTTATCTATAACATGTTTAAGCTCTTAATTTATCTTCTAAAGTTCTTTAAATGTCACGTTTCTTTTCACTTGTTATGTCACGAATGACAAAAATATTTAGTAAATATAAAAGTAGATAAAAAAACAGTATAAGAAATAAAAAAATACAGCAACTAAAATTTTAAGGAAATAATAAAATTGAATTTTGATAACATTTATAAACAATGTTTGTTTTCATATTGAAACAAGTATTTATATTTAATGTCTGAGAATGTTTCAAACGGAATTACTTCAAGTGTGTCATATGGTAAATCATTTCATATCCATAATCCTAATTTATATGAATTGTGATTCTTAAAAGTGACTAAATTTGTTTGATTGGTAAAAAATATTCTTAGAAATATTTATATAAATTTTAAAAAATAATAACATGATATTTAATTTTAAGAAAAAAAAAGTTTGAAAATATAGATTTTTCTTCTTATGAAACAGTTTCATTAAAAAACTTAACTAAAAAAATTATTGACAAATATTTAGTCTTTTTAAATATAGAAAATAATTTTAAAAAAAATCTGATAACTATATTTATTTAAAAATATTATTTTAATTTTTTAAAACTTTAAAAACTAAAACTGATAAATGTGTATACCGTTCTATTCTCTGTGCGTTCTTATTAGTATTACATTCCTCGTTTTTGTTGTAAAAATGTTAAAATCATTTTTTTAATGGAGATTCATATCTATTTCCATCCACAATAATTTTTAAATTAATATTATTAAACAATTTTTTTTTATTCTAATTTTTTAAAAATAATTTCTAATTTTTTTAAATTAAAAAAATAAAACTAAATAAAACAAACCTTAATTCTTACAAATATAATCTTTTTAAACTACAAACCAATCATCGCAACTTAAAATTTTCCAAAAACTTTTTTTTAACTAAACACTCCTAATAAAAATATATTCGAAAAAACAAAATAACATTTATAAAATTAAAATTATATTCAAATTGTTAAGATAATATATATATATATATATATATATATATATATATATATATTAATTATTTATACTTTGATTGTAATTAATAAAAAATAAGACCAACAAACCCATTGTGATTAAACTAAAAAAATATTTAAAAGTTTATGTGAAAAATACATCAACTAATAACCCATTATATTAATATAAAAATGATTAATATTATTATATTAATTTAATAGGTTATCAATGTTATATTTTCCACACCCATTTATCAACCTATTTACTCTTAAAGTAATAAGCTTAAAATAATAAGATGTGAGATAATACTTATATTACTTCGAAATTCCAGTCAAATTGTAAGAAGTTTAATAAACATATATTCTTATTATTACTTTTAGCATAATATTTAATAAATTTATAACTGTAGGTGATATATAAACATTTTATACAAGTGAAAAATAAGAAGAAAAATAAAATAAAATTACTGTATATATGAATTAATTTATACAAGTCACTTACATAATTTTTTAAGAGAATTATTTTTAACTTAAACATAAATTAGTTTTAGAAGTTTTTTCTTCTTCTTTCTATTAGCTTAAAAAACCTCGGTCATAGAAAGTGTAAAAGGCCTTTTTATATAGTTTATTTCATTTATAAATATTATTTTTAGGAACTTAATAAACATTTATCTAATACACTTTCATATCGACTGAAAAACGTTGGAAACCCCATTATGAATTTATTCCTACTTTAAACAACAAATTAAATTTTAGACACAAGTTGAAATAAAAAAAAAAAAACTTAGATTTGAGCTACTCTAATTAAAAAAGTATGAAAAAAAAAGTTTCACAAAGTTTATTAAATTTTTAAAAATGTATTTTTCATAAAATATAGAAAATGTCTTAATAAAAAACTAAACATGAATTAATATTAAAATACTGTACGAAAAGTATTATTAAATAAATTGAGAATAGTTAAAATTGAATTAAATGTGGTTTTTGTTTAAATAAAAGAGAGTAATGAAAGTGACTTAATTAGGTGAAAAATTACTGAAAAGAAAAGCAAACTGCGAAGAAAAGCAAAATCATGATGAACCGCATCGTATCTCACCACTGCCAATTCGAAATTTCCAATTACCCACCATCGATGCACACAGAACTCGCGTTTGTATAAGCGCTTTCCTTGCGTTCTTCATCTCCGATTCTGGTTCTCAACGCTTGTTTCTATTCAATGGCTTCTGTCTCCCTTCTTCTCGCCATGCTCTTGTTCTTCGTAATTGGCACATCTCTGTCGGACAGGTACATTGCTGAAATGCCCATGATCCCGTCTCTATCTTTTCATCGTTTTTGCTGTAATTTTGTCACAACTTAGTCCTTTTAAAGTTGAAGGACAATTTTTATGATTTGGGTTTTTTTCTGATTCAATCCTATAAAATTTGTCTTGTAAAGTATTTCAAACACAGCATGTCACCGTTTTTTGCTATAGCTTTGTTACAATTCAGTCCTTTTAAAGTTTGATGATAATTATTATGATACGTGATCTGGTCTAATTTTTTATTTTTTTTAAAAGACGGGGTTTGTGGAGGTTTGTTTCTTACCTGTTTACTTTAATTTAACTATTTCACTAGTAGATGTTTTAGATGTAATCTACACATCTCCTTCGCATTGAGAACTAGACATTTGCATCTATTATGATAATAGTCCAAAGATGGTTCGACAATAATAGTAAAGATAAATTCTGATATAAATTTAGAATTTAGATTTAGCCTTAACCCTTACACTATTGGTTTTTAAACAATGGATGCCTCCCTCTAATATACTTTAATCTTCTCCTTATTAGCTGTCAATGCGGGATGTCCAATAATGAGAATAAGAAATCGGAGATCTGGGTTGACAAAAAGGCTATTCAATTTTATATTGATATAGAAATTAAGAATTTGAATATGGTGAAGAAAAGGAGGGAAATAGAGTAAAATTCAATTAAATCTCATGTGAGTGTAGTTTGCTCTATTATTAATAATAGTTAGTAACATTATTGTAGGGGCTAATTAGCAGTGGAAATTATGCCAAAGGTTTCTGAAACTGCTGCAAGGTGACTAGTTCGAGAGAAACTTTCTTTACCCTTTTCATTTTTGTTTGTTTTTGTGAATAATTAAGTAAATGCGACCTTTTTTTCCCCTATTTTTAAGAGTTTAACTTTACAAATCATTCATACCCTTTTAAAGTATGTGATCAGGAGTTCGATTTCCAGGTGTGTGCGAATGCAAATACATCCTTCCGAGAAATGAACTCTTTACTCATTACCTTGACTGGTATGTCCGAAACAAAGTAAAAATAAAGTAACAAATTGTTTGTAGAATATCAAAATAAAAGAAGATATTTTATCAAATAACTGGCCTTGATGTTTTGTTCGTGTTACTTTTCCCGTAATAGATCTTGTGGACTTATTTTTGAAAACTAAATAACCAGGGGAAGGATTAAATTCCCATTATTCATGACTGGTGTTGTATTTGACTATTAATCAGGATGTTTATGTTGTTCACATTGTTAATTTGCATTAGCAGTAGGAAGGAATTAAGGAACAAGGAGAAAACTGCATTACAGATGTCAGAGCACTCGGTCCATTATCCCAACAGTATTAACCCATCGCGTGTTGTCCAAATCTCTTGGCAACCAAGGTCAGGTACTTTTTGAAACTTTCCCTTATATCATTAGTGAGTATGTTACTGCTGAAGATATTTGAAATATTCTTGGTATTTGTGTGCTTATTATTAGCCTCGTTTTCTTGCTTTCAATTTTTCAAAATCTGATGTAATTTTGCCCCTCTTGCTGTAGGGTTTTTCTATATAAAGGTTTTCTGTCTGACAAGGAGTGTGAATACCTTATTTCTTTGGTAAGATGTATTTCTGTTTGCGATGATTTTTGTGTCGGTTTCAATTACTTGGGTTAATTTCTTATTTTAACTCTCCTGTTTTTATTTTCTTAGGCATATGCTGAGAAAGAAAAATCCTCAGGGAATGGTGGGACCTCCTTGGATAAGGAAGTGAGTTTGAACTTTTTCTGGACTTACTAATACAAACTAGCATTTAGCAAATTATGTTCTGTTCATAGTTGCTTTATATTTTGAACTTTTTTTGGTTTAAGGCCTAATTGTTTTTCTAACAATTGTTACTACTACTCTGCCTCACAGAATAAAAACCATTCCCTTTTTTATTTCTTATTTTGTTTTTTCTAAATTAGATTGATTTAGTTGAATACCAAAAGCTTTTTGATCAAGTGGTCCCAAGTCTTATATGTTATCACATTACTTTGTTCTTGAACAATTTCCTCCAATAATTTTTAACCTTCAAAACTCAATGAATCATAACATGTATTGAATTGTGGTTTTGTCTCAATAATATCGATTTTTCACCTTTTTCTCAAAATAATAATATCAGTTTTGGGTAAAATCCTGTACACTCTTTCTCAGCAAGAGTTTATTCCGAAGTTGGGGACTCATAGAGCGCATCTATTCCTATATACTTCAATGTTCTAATTGCTTACAGTTCTGCTGTTTGTAACTGTTAGTTTAAAAGTGTATAAAAATATCATCATTGATATAAAAGAATTGTGATCTTTTTACATATCACTAGTACTGCTGAACTGGAAAGCTTGAAGCCATTTTAATTTTTTTTTTCCCATTATGAGGAGATCAGCCAATGCACTCGTTTTAAGCTTGTTGCTTGACCTGAACAGTTTTTTACTATATGGACATGGTGTTCTAGACATCGTTATGACTTATGATGATGTTTTACATTATGTATTAGGATGAAATTCTTGCGAGGATTGAAGAAAGACTTTCAGTTTGGACTTTCCTTCCTAAAGGTAGCTATTTGGACAGTTCAGGCCATTATTGTAAACTTATGATACACAGTCTAATAATATTATTGTCTTGCTTGATGATAATCTTTTCCACCAGAGAACAGCAAGCCTTTACAGGTCATGCAATATGGGCCTGAGCAGGATGGTCAGACCTTAGATTATTTTACAAACAAAACCTATTTGGAATTAAGTGGACCTTTAATGGCAACAGTTGTTTTATATCTCTCAGACTCTTCTCAAGGGGGTCAAATTCTCTTTCCTGAATCAGTGGTAAGGCCATATGAGTGTTTATTCTATGTGCTGTTCACTTTTCACCTCTTTCTGAATCTGTCTTCACCATTTAATCATGTCAAATCTATTCTCAGCCAAGTAGTGGCGGCTGGTCAAGTTGCAGTAACAGTAACAAGACTCTCCAACCAGTAAAAGGGAATGCAATTCTGTTTTTCTCTCTTCACCTAAGTGCTTCTCCTGACAAGAGTAGCTTCCATTCTAGATGCCCTGTCCTTGAAGGAGACATGTGGTCTGCAATTAAATACTTCTATGCAAAACCAATCAGAGGCAAGGTCTCAACCATGTCAGAAGATGGTGAATGCACTGATGAAGATGACGGTTGTCCTGCTTGGGCAGCCATGGGAGAATGTCAAAGAAACCCTGTGTTCATGATTGGATCTCCTGATTATTATGGTACATGTAGGAAAAGTTGTAATGCATGCTGATCACAAATTGATTTTTGCACTTTCTGATAGCAATGTTCACCCTTATGTTCTTTACCCTTCCTACCCATTATTTTAGTAGAGAAAATACATGTGGAATTATCAATTTTTTTCTTACAAATTTTGCCATGTTCTTCTGAGTTGCATGATGCTCAAAAGAGTGTATAGGAAATTAGGAGTAGAGACGGATTAGATTTCAATTTTGATGTATCTTTTTAGAATATCCTTAGTGATGATTGAGTGTTGACGTATGTTGATAAAAAAAGAAAAAATAGACTTCGTAATAATAAATAGTAGAAGTTTTTATTGTTTAATGAATTGGTAATGTGTGATTATGTCTAATATTTTGTTTACAAAATTTAAACTGATACAACCCAAATTCCAATCATTAATATGGTGACATGAAAACTATTCATTGTCCCAACGATGGATAGTTGTAGAGAAATTCATGAATAATAACACTAATTTACAACAACAGAAACTAAGCACCAAGTTAATTGGAAAAAATTGAAAATAAAATATGACATGATTTAGAATTAGTTGTCACATTAAATATAACAATTTGAGATTTTATTTTACCGAAATTATGCTTTGATTATCAAATTAAAAATTATTTATTTTAAATCTGATATTAACATATAAACTAAAACTTCTGGAGAAGCTCTCATATCAAGGATCATCTCTAAATAATTTTCCCTTCAAATGTTCAATTCCTTACAATTTTCAAAAATATATTGACGACTGATAATTTCATCTGACTGAGTGTAATATAAGTATCTGTCTCTAATGTTATATATATATATATATATATATATATATATATATATATATATATATATATATATATATATATATATATATTATTTTATCAATTAAATATAATGTATTTAAATTTAATAGTTAATCAATATCTGTCTATAAGATGTATTATTAAATCAAATTAATTATTTTAAATATTTAAATAACACTTTATTTTACATTGATGATATATTTATTAAATTTAATAATTAAGGTATAATTTATTAAATCAATAACATTCAATGCTAATCTCGCGTAAAGTATATTGTAACTAAAAATAAATGATTTTAAACTAGACACATTTATATAATATATGCCGATGTGAATAATTTTTAAAACAAAAAATTAAGATAAAAAATAAATACTAAGTATTATATTTATAATGTAACAATAATATTAAATATTATATTCATACTTTGCATTATACTTTTTATTTTAAATTAACTATTTTAAAACTTATTTGACGAATTATTTTCATCATACATATACTTTTGTTTGAAATTATTCAATTTTATGTTATATTAGATTACACTAACATTATATATTATAATTTTATAAACAAAATTTTAAATATTAATATCTCCCAACCAAGGTAATGCATAGTTGTTGACAACCATGATCATATTAGTAATTAAACTTTACTATTAGTACAAATACATATAAAATGGTAATATATATGAAAAAAACTTGGAAAATTTGTACCTTACTTTTCTTCATTTTTATATGAAAAAACATTTATAAATTTTTATTAGTGATTACTTTTTATCATTTTAAATACTTTTTATTAGTTTGTTAATCGGTACCTCATCAATAAAAAACACATATTTAATATTAATTAGTTAATTTTATTTAAATCTAATGTATTACTATAGATTTTTTTTTCATAATCATAATTAATATTATATATGATTAGTTTTTACTGGTAAATAATTTTAGAAGAAAAATTATATTTAATGATCATTATTTTATTTTTAATTTAATAATTATAATTTATTTATTTATAATTTCAGTCATAATTTTTCTTTTTTTAAGAGTAAAGTATTAAAATGAAATTTTATTAGTAATTGGATTAAAAAACTCAATCAATAGACCAAATTATTTAAAAATATTTGTTTGTTGAATACAACAATTGCATAATATTCATAGACAAAAGACATAAATTAATTAATTAATTTTATAATCTCTTGTATAACAGATGTTGGCAAAATTTAGAGACTTGATATTTGGTTTTAACAAAGAATTAAATGGATAAATATAGGGCATTTAAAATAAAGAATAAATATTATTGTAAGTTATCAAACTCATATAGGTTAATTTTAACATTATAATTGCAGAAATATTTTATTGCATTGGTAAAAAAATGTAATCCATTATTCAACTCTATCTTTAAATTTATTAGAAATATTATTTAAAAAAATAAAAAAATATAACAAGCTATATTTCTAACATATTTTATTCATTTAAAAATATAATTTGTCACTTCATTCAATGTTAATGTATTATACCAATTACATTTTAAATATTTAAAAAAGTAATAATTTTTTTATATTTATAAAAAATAAAATATATAATTCAAACAAGGGTTTTTATGATTTATTAAAAGTTAAATTAAATTATATAAAATCAGAAAGAATTATATTATATTCACTTACTAGAAGGTTTGTTTGGGAAGTTCCATAATGTTGTAAATAAAGAGTCCTTATCTGAAGGAGCCTTGAGAGAGAAAATTTGAAATCTGTATTCTAATCTCCAACGGCTACTTCCTATTCTGCTTCTATTTCTTCCTTTTATTTCTTTCTGGCATTTCGAACTCAAAATACTGTCTTCCCTCTCACAATTTCCAGTGTTTTCTCCGTGAACCTCTTTTATTCTTTCCCTTTCACTTTAATGGATTCCAAACAATTCGATAGTGCTGGTAAAGTTCGTGTAGTGGCCAGGATCCGTGGGTTTTCGAGCTGCGAGGCTAAATCTGAGCCTGGCGCTTCCAGGACTGGGGACTGGGTTTCGGTGAATCGCGGAAGTCTGGACGATGTCTCCATCTCCTTTGGGGACCAATCTAGGTACTGTTTACGGTTTGAGCTCCGCGGTTTCTGCATTTGTGAATTTTATTGATGGATGAAAACTGTTGTGGAAAGAAATTGATTGAATTCTGAGTTTTGAGGATTATTTGTATTGGGTTAATGAAAATATTACGTCTTGAAAAGTCACACATAACATTGTATAATCAAGGGAGAGGGCTCATTTGACTTTTAATGTGAAGTTTAGTTTAAATTCTTGCGAGAGTTAGGATGTACTTGGGGTCAAGGATGAGAGAGTTGATTTTACATATCCGGTTTTTGGAGGTTATATATTGTTTTTCTCTTATTTCTTTATTAGTAGGGTAATTCTTAGGAATAAATGATAATATTCTAACGTTTTTTTCCATCAATTTGCTATTGGATTATGTGATGTTTGGTTGATTAGAGTCTACATTTATCATGGCTGAATAGTAATACATCTCCTAAATCTTTTGAGGGGTTATTGAATTGTGTGATGTTTGGATAATTATAATTTCTTTAGTCATGGCTGAATAGCAATACGTACCCTAGAGAATTGGACTTTCCCCATGTGCTCATGAGGACTTGTGGTTTTTCATGAGTGTGATGTTTGAGCAATTTGAGTTTTCATGAGTCGTAGCTTAATAGTGATACTTTAACCTTACTATGTGAAGGTGAATTGGGGGAGCATGCGTCTTATCCTCACATAGCAACCCTTTTACGTACGTATGCAAAGACGCTCTTTTAGGATTTGAACTCATGACCAACTGGTGACCAAGATGCAACTTTATCATTGTGCTCTGTAGTGTTTGTGGTTTTTAAGTTGTGTGGTGCTTTGGCATTTAGAGTTTGTATAAGCCATAACCGAATTGTAATACTCCCCTAAAATCTCAAGGTTTGTGGTTCTTGAATAATGTGGGAAAATTAGAGCTTTTATGAGTCGTAGCTGAATAGTAGTACAACCCAAAGGGTTTGTGGTTCGATTGTGTAATATTTGGAGAATTAATTTTTTATGATTCTATGCTGAATGGTAACCGCAATGCATATTTTAAATATTATAATTACAATGAAGAATAAAAAAATAACATAAAAAGAGTATTTACAATCTTGAAATTAAAGGTCTTTTGGTTTTGGAATGTTGAACTTTCTTTATTTTCTTTTCTTTTTTTCCACATTATTATGAATAATATTCTTGTTGACTTATTTGACTTGATTTGATGAACATGGGATCATGGCACCCATTTGATTTAATTTTTGTTGTGTAGTCGGTATTTGGTGGACTATTGCTATAAGGTAGATGAAGACAGTGAAATGATATATTCAAGGGAGGTGAAGCCTCTTGTATCTGCAGCTTTTGAAGGTCATAACAGCACTGTTATTGCACATGGCGCTAGGGGTAGTGGAAAGACCCACACAATTCAGGTTTGATACACTAAGTCATAATTTTCATTTTTATTTTACTGGTTGGAGGATTGTTTTTGAAGAATTTTGATAGCTGATTTCTGTGAAATTGCATTTTTTATTCTAACGATTACTTCTTTGTTGTTCAGGGCTCTGCTGAGAGGCCAGGTTTGGCAGGGCTTGCTATTGTTGAGTTTCTTTCATTGGCCGAGAAAAACGGAAAATCCATAGCTGTTTCTTTCTATGAGGTTGATCATCAGGAGCGGGCCATGGATTTATTAAATCAAGAGAAGCCACCAATTTTAGTTTTAGAAGATCATGGTAGAATTCAGTTTAAAGGACTGACTCAGGTAGAAATCTATTTGACTCTTACTATTTCTGCTGCCTAAGTTTAGTTTAGACTAGCACCGGGAAATGGAAATTTTAAAGATGGATCATAGACATATAACATGAGGCTTTATATAATCGTTTCACCTGCAGATTCCTGTTAAATCCATAGCTGAATTTCAGAATTTGTACACCACAGCGTGTTTTACCTTGAAGGGCGCTCCCAAAAAAGGAGGCTCTGAACGTGTTCAGAGAAGCCACATGGGATTGATTGTGCATGTCTTTTCCCGGAATGAAAGTGTAGGAAGTACTGTGAGCAAAATGAATTTTGTTGACTTGGCAGGTTATATAATCATGCCAAATAATCTTTTATTCTTCTGGTTTCGAGAAAGCACATTTAAAATTTGACTAACAGTGTTATACTACTATTATCAGGTTACGAAGATGCTAGAAAGAAAAGTAGCGATGGCTCCTACCTTACTGAGATTAACAAAATTAATAAGTCAATTTATGCCATACTGACTATTTGTCATGCTTTGAGTACAAATGAAAGTCGTGTTCCCTATCGGGAAAGCAAACTCACACGCATACTGCAGGATTCTTTGAGGGGGACTAGCAAAATTTTATTGGTTTCTTGCTTGGTAACTATGACTGATTTTGAGTTAAAAATTTCATGAGTTAAAAAATTTATTGCTCAAGTTTTATAAGTAATTTTACAAAATTAACTTTGATTTAACTTTTGGTCTTTTTCTTTTCTGTATTTTAAATTTTAGAACCCATCATTTTGTCAAGACACTATTTATATGGTAAGCTTAGCATCAAGGTCATGTCATTGGATTCATCGGGCATCCTTAGATTCCACCAAGAAAAGTGTAAGTTCAACAAAACAGATGGTGAACTCTCATATGAAACAGATACCTAAAAGTGTTTCCCGAACGGCAAAGAAATTACATGGTTCTTCTAAATTACTTGAGAAAAATGTTGTTGCTAAGAAGTCTGCAATGAAAGGAAGGTTTGTACCGAGGTTCTGTACATATTTTATTAGGTTTGGTTATTTGTGTTTTTATCAAATTGTAGATATTGACTTTTTCTTTTTAAAGGACTTTGTTTGATGAAGCTGGTCATTGTGCTTCTGAGGTTGATAAGGTAACTTTCTTCTTTTCTATTTACTATATTGTTCGTTTCAAGAGGACATGAAAGAAACTTGTTTGATTCAAAGGAGGAGGGATTGGCATGGGAAAAATACTAGTCTGTCTGACTCATTTTGAAATAAAACTTGGAAGTCATAATAACAAAATACTTTTCAGCATAACTCTTTCTATGTGAGTAATATATTATTTGTGAGGAATTAAAAACTAAATTAATATTTTAATTCCATTTATTCAATCATAAATGGTTTTGATATTGGCAAGGTAAAATTAAAAGTTCATTACTTATTGAGTTTTATGGTGGACGAAAAAAAATTACATAACCATTCATTTGTATGCTCTATATGAGGTGTTATTAATAGATAATTTTTTTTTTCAGGAAATTTCCGTTCATGTTACTCAAGCATCAAAGCCTTTGATGGTAATAATACATCTTTCATATTTTTTTATAGTGTTGACAAAAAGATTAGGAAGCTCCAATGCATGATTTGGTGTGTAACACAGGACAATTCATCATCGGACACTGGAAATCATGTCTTGCTCAACTCTGGAATGGAAAAGGTAATGAATGAATTACCTTAAATCCTAGCATGAACATCAAGATATGTACAATTGAATTAAGTTTAAATTTTCTTTCTAGTAGAGTTAGTATATGACATCTCAGTACTCTATTATACAGGATGACTCATCATCCTTGAATGTTAGCAGGGGAGGGGACAATGTCCTAGCAGCTCAGGTAGTTTTATCAATGCTATCTTCTTTCTTGAATTAGACATTCTTAAAATATATAGGAATCATTTTTAGACTTCAATGTTATATTAATATATTAGTTGATAAAAGTGCATTTAATAATGTTTGTTCGTGTGGTCACAGCATATTTTGGTGGATGAAGAGAAGGAGCATACCCTTGTCAGTAATTGCTCTGAAGCATTGTCAATAATAGTTCAGGAGGAAGGTTGGTCGGTTCACAAGTTACTACAAATTTGACTAATAGATACATGTCTATCTTAATTTTTAATTTTCATTTTTTTGTCATTTACAGACTATGATATGAACAAAGAGAACAGTTCAAAGGCAATTGGAGATGTTTTATCACCTATTAGTTCACCACCTATAAGTTCACAGTTGCGCGATCTTTCTAATAGTCTTAAAATGCTATGCTCTTCAAATTCGTCATGTAGGCAAATATCAGAAAACGAACCCATTCCACTTGATATTGTAGAACCAAAAACTCCTATTATTGAACAAAACATGAGCATTAACAGAGGGGATGGAATAAATGTCAAAAGTCCCTGGGAGACATTCAGTATGCGAGGTTCTGGAATGAAGGTTTGAATTATTCACAACAGTGTCAAATGACCGTATTTTAGTGTCTTTTATGTTTTTAATTTACTTATTTTTAATTACAGACTTCTCTTGTTCAAGAATATCTTAGGTTTTTAAACACAGCTGACAAGTAAGTTTTTTTAATGTTTGTATATTGATCTCTTTCATTCATAATTGACTATTTAGTTTATGTTTTCATACCTCACTGGTTTACCTTTTTGCTCTTTCAACTTATGTTCTGAATACAAAAAAACAGGGAAGAATTAAAAAGATTGAAGGTGAGTAATTCATTAATCCTTTATCAACAGGATATTCTTTAACTCTCGTATTATAATTAATTCATTTTTTTTTTCTCGTAGGGAATTGGAGAGAAGAGAGCTACCTTCATACTTGAACTTCGAGAAGAATCTCCCGAACCTTTTAAAAGTGTATGTTTTTAAAATTTACTAAAAAGTGTATGTTTTTGTTATTTTACATTATATTAGTTTTACCTATTACATCACTTTTCACATCTATGATTGTGAATCAGTTGGATGATTTAAAAGATATTGGACTTTCAGCAAAGCAGGTAATATTCTCCGTCAAACTATTATGTTTTCTGAGTTTTTTTCATTATGATTATTAATGTAAAAACAATAATAATAATTATACGTTGTTTCTTATACAGATCAAGGGAATGATGAAGAAAGAAGTTGGAGAGCTTTTTAGGGAATTATAAGGCCCTTGTTGAATTTATATAAGTTTTTATATCATGTATTCAAAGAGATTATTGGCAATTTAAAGTTGCCCTTTAATTAGGTAATGTTTGAACGAGTCTAGATATTTGAATTTTAGAGAATGATATATGAAAAATAAGAAATCATTATTTTGAAAAAAAAAAATGTTATGCAGTTTTTTGTATATGCTTATAAACAAAATCAAATTTTCAGGTGAAATATGAAATGATTCAAATGATTTTCGTAAAATACCAAACAATAAAATCAGGCATGTGTCTTTATTATTAAAAGTTTTTACTTTTAAATTGTCAACCAATTCAGGAAATTACTACAAAAGTTAATAAAGATTTGTTGTATATAAAATTTGTCACTGGAAAACAATATAAATGCAATACATTATTATTATTGTTAAAGTGCATTTGTTTAAAAAAAAATTATTTGACAATTGTTTAACATTTTGGAGAAACTTTTCTATGAAAAAATATCACAAATAAAATATTATATAATTAATATCACTAATAAAATATATTTCTCATAAAGTATTACCCAAGATATAATTATTTATTATTTTTTTATGTCAACACTTTTGTAGATTATAAAAAAATATATAACGACAGTGTTTAACTTTTAATCTTGGAATGAATAAATTATATATATATATATATATATATATATATATATATATTTAGAATTATGAATTTTGAAATTTTTTACTACTTAAATATATGTAATTTAATATTCTCAATTTTGACATGTTTGAGGATTAAAGAAAAAAAAATAGCATACACTTTCCGAGAATAAGAAAAAAATATTTAGTCATTTAAATTTCAAAAAATAATTTTAGTTGAGTATTAGATTCTAAAGTCATATTTTTCAAAATTGAAAAATTAAAATAACCTCTCTTTTAAAAAAAATTGAAGAAGAAACATATTCATTATCATTTTAAAATAATTATCCGTTTATATAAAAACAATGTCAATTGATTACAATAAAATATATATATATATATATATATATATATATATATATATATATATATATATATATATATATATTATGGCATTAATGATAATAATTTTTTTTAATTATGTTATTGATACAAATTATTTATGGTTAATTGGGAATTTTGAATATACAACTTGGTATTTCCCTTCAACATAACTTTTGATAATTATTTTCTATTTATTAGATTAAAATTGAATGTAACGTGTTATTTTTTCATAAAATTTAATTTATGATGTCTCTTGCATTAAATATTTTTAGTCTAAATTACTCCTAAAGAAAGAAACAATATTTGTACTAAATATTATTTGATATATAAATCATTAAAAATATTAACTTTTATAATTTATAATAATTTTTCAATAATATTCTTTTTTTTCTTTCCTAAAATTACTGATAGTAACTTATATTTTCTCTATACAAAAATATGAATGATTCAAAAATCTAAAATTCAAAGTTTATATTACAAAATTCTCAATAAAATTTTGGAAGATAAATTATAAACATATTTTTATCATTGGTTGGAAAATTTCTTTCTGAAGAGTTATTCTTTTATAATCAGTGGCTTTATCTATCAAATTCACAATTAACTTTTATATTTAAGTTAAGAGCACTTGTTTTATGTTTTTTTCTTTTTCATGAAACATTTTATACAAACCAACATCGAGATCAATATCGATTTTTCAACTTTGTTTATATTGTCTTCTTGTAAGTGTGTTAATGTTATCTGGTATACTATCGAATGAATTTTCAACCCACTCTATGGAGTCTTTAACTCTCTATAGATTGTTTACTTATTTTTTTTCATTTCTATTTATAATTTCACTTAATCATATTTCTTTATAATTAGATTAATTGCTTTTTCATAGTAAATGTTATTTTTTTTAAATAAAACAAAGTTTACATCTAACGTAGAGTTAGTTGAAGAGATGAAAAATAATAAATTCTATTTTATATCATTGGTTCATATAAATTCTAATCCACCTTTATACACCAATATAAAGAAGTTTTACCATTCATTTAAAGTTTTTTTTATTTTATTTTCAAAAGTAAGAATATACATGATAAGAAATAATTAATGCTACATTAAATTTTACAATCATCATATATTTAAAAACAAAAATTTATCTATACAAATATCATTGAAATCGAGGAAATACTTTTCAAGAGTGAGAAAATAGTATTTAATGACATTTATTATTTTTGAGAAAAAAAAACAGTACGTATTGTTAGCAACTAAATTAACCATGTGTTTTTTTTTCTGAATTAAATAATCGATTATAAATAAAAAGCGAGGAGTATATATATTAAAAAGTCTTTGAACCATTTTCAAATGTAACATAAATGAAACAATAATAATTAACCAGAAGAAATGAAATAATAATTATAGATTAATATTTTGTTAGTTATAATTTTTTTTCACGTGCAATTTTGTTACTTTTAAAAATAAAATTTATAAGTGTCATAAATGAATACATAATGACTACTAAATTAGTGTACAAATTCTACTCTTGATGATACTGTTAAAATATTATGTTATTTCCCATAGTATGTTTAATAAAAAGTGGGAAATAAATTATTTTATAGAATGGGTATTAAAGAAAAACTAACTTTTCGAATAAATGTCACACTCATTAATATGATTTAATAAATAAGTCAGTGTACAAATTCAAATACTTATCAATGATACTAATAAAATCTATTATCATTCCATGATGTTTAATGAAAAAGGAAAAATAAATTATGTATTAAAATGGTATTATAACGGACTTCTAAAAAAATAAAAGAATATAAATTATCGTAAAAACATATATAATTAGAAAAAAAAGGAATTTTACTGAAATTGTACACTTCTCAAATCAACCTTTATTAACCCTGCAATAGAAATGATTTGATTTTGCTTAATTAAGAAAGAAAATGCGAAGCAATAAAAAAAATAATAAAGAGGAAATAAAAGATGAAATATAGTGGAAAGTATATATATATATATATATATATATATATATATATATATATATATATATATATAAATAAAAAAGATATCTAAACAAAATACTAATAGCTTTCGTTTGCCTAACACTACTAATAGTATGAGATAATTGAAGTTTTTTCCCATATTCATCATTCATTTTTAATTCTTTAACTTGTATTGAATGAAATATTTATTATCTCATATTAGTAGTGACTTTTTGGTTCTCAAACTTTAAAATTAAGTTATTTAGATTAAGGTAAATATTATTTTTTATTATTTTTAATAAATTTATCATTGTTTTATTAAAATTTTTATTTTCTTAATTTCATTAATTTAAAATCATTTTTAATAGCTTATCGTCTTTTTTTCTCTACAATAAATATAATTAAATAGATAAATACAATATTAATTTTAAGTAACAAGATTTTCATTAATTTTTAGAAACAATTTTTTCTTAATAAAATGTTATATATTAAGAAAGACACGGAATAATAAGATTAATTAATTTTAAAAAATTACAAATGACAAGAAAAAGAAAAAACTCGTTATTTTAATGAAACAAGGCTTAATGGTTGAATTAAGTTTTAATTAAAATTAAAAAATTGAGATTTTCTCTTGATAAAGCAAGCCAGCTTGGCACAGTAATTTTACAACTCAGTGTCCAAATTCCAAGCCTGTGATATATTATAGACACTCTCTTTCATCATTATTTTCAGCAATTTCACATACTCTCTCTAAGTATGTTTCGCTGACTGTCTTCTTGCATTTTCTCGCCGATTCTTCTTCCCGCCAAACAATCTCTGTTCCCTTCCCCGCCGCTTCCCCGATCCTCGCCCTTCCCCTCCGCGTTGGAGCTCTCTCCACCTCCTCATTTCCATCGGTATGTGATCCATTCTCACTCCACTCAACTTTCTCTAATTCCCTCGCAGTTCATTTTCGTTCTTTCCATTTATTGATTTTCTCGGAAATATTCAGTGTATTGGTAGTCTTGAAAGAACGAGAGCCTTCAGTTTTTGAACTAATTTGGTAACTTCATAATGTGCTTTTGTAATGTCGGTCTGTGGAAGATCGTCGATGCATGCGTTTGGTTAAGTTAATCTTTGCTTAATTCTTGAGGGAGAGGAATATCAGTCACCACTGTTTTGCATTTCCTTTTTACTTTTTTTTAGTAGAAATTGAAAAAAGAAAATAATAATAATAATAATAACAGCGGGTCGTGCGGTGTTGACATCGATAAGTTGTAGTTAGATTCAGTGGATAATTTTTATACGGCATGTGGAACATCTTTTTAGCCTTGAATATTTAAATTAAATTTAATGCTTTTGGGAGAGAAATTATAAGAATGAATTGAAGAATGTAGAAGTGAGTAGTATTACCAGTGTGTGTTTTGAACTCTGTAAATGAGTAGCTTGTATTTTTTAGTGAAGTGACTTTGTTTTGGTGTTATTGGTTCTGGCTATGGGATGTTGCTTTTGGTTTAATTCATTGCATCTACTGTTGTGCACCAATTTACATGTCCAATTTGTCACAATCCTTGATGACGTTACGGGAAATTGTGGGCAAATGCAGCTGCAATTGCGGTTGCTGCATTTTTTTTAAAACAATGAAGGAAAAATTAGATTCTTTTTTGCTGAATTCCTTTTCTTTCTCCTTTACGTTCATGTCCGAGAAGGCAAGAACTAATAAATGTTGAGGTATTGTTTTGGTAATGTTTTCCTTTTCTTGTAATGTAGCCTATCTTGTTTCTTGTGATATTTGAATAAGATATTGTAAAATGGGCATAGCTGTGTCACCCAACTTTAACAGCGGGGCAGACCTATGTTTCTTTATTTACCCTAGTCAAGTCCCATTATATCTGTTTTGTTTGTTCAGTAGTTGTGGTTGGTAATGGCTCAGGAAGCCCTTTCAGAGTCTTGAGGTATACGAATTTTGAGTTAGCAAATATAACGCTATTTGTCAAATTTCAACTCTTAAACACTAAATTAATGGTTTCCTTTACTGGGAGATTTATCACTTAATAAAAGTGTACACTCAATCATGACCTGCACTGATATGTTTGATTGCATTTACAATGCGTTTTTAAGATTATAATTTAGAGCTAAAGTGATTCTTGAAAGTAAACTATTATTTAGGCTGCTATAGACTATTTTTATTGTGCTTAGATTCACAACTTGATATTTAGTCGCAATTTCCCCCTAAATTTGGCAAAGCACAAATAATTATATTAATGAATGAACAACAAGATTATGTTCATGTCGTGTGTTGTATATTGACCTGTTAATTTGTTTGACTGCATAGTCTTCAGGTCTTATTATTATGATTTCATACATAGTAGTCAATCCTAAGTAGTGGTGTGGTCCTGAACAGGTGACCCAAAATTTGCCATAGAAGGACAGTTGGTAGTGGGATGACTGCTATTTTAAACTTTTAAGATACACATAACATGTGTTATACTGCAAGCACCCATACTATGCTGAAAATTAACAAAAGTATATACAATTAAAGATATATTAATAATTAATGATTTAAAAAGAATTTGAGAAGTGTGTAAAACAGAGAAAATCTAAAATGGTAATGAACTGACAGGAAAAGTGATGAGCATGCCGATAACTGGTTGGAACAAGATATATACTAGTGGAAAAGGGCCAGAAGTGTCTAAAATTAAAGATTTAATAATAAATAATGATTTAAAAAGAATTGGAGAAGTGTCTAAAACAGAAAAAATCTAAAATGGTAATGGGACCAATGTTAACAAATTCACACAATGTTAGTGGATAGCTTTAATGGACCTGGGCTGAAATTTGGCATTGCACAGCAAACAATACCAACATGATCACCTTATCTGATTCGATGCATGGTATCTTGGACTATGCTATTTAGTCTGATCTAGATATCAGATTTCAACTTTTCAATCAAGGATCTGGTCTTGAGGTAGTGCAATAATGTTTTTACTCAGGCATTGATCAATCAATTTGCAGGATCATGTCATTTTTTTTTCGTAAACAATATGGTAAAAACCCAGCTTTGAACAATCATAAGTGTTATCTCTTTCTTCCCCTCTTTAAGCACGTCTTGGCAAAATTAACATGTTCATTATAATTTCAATTTTATCAAAGAAGTAAATTTTCACCTTCTTTCCTTGTGATATTATGTTCAATCCATTTACATGTATTTCTTTAGACTTTATGCAGGTAGTCTAGTGCAATTGCTTGATAGGCTTTTGAGGGAATAGATGCCAAGTGCAAAACTTAAAGCCTCTAGCACTCCTGATGTCATGAAAACAGAAGACAGTATAGATGCCCTAATCAAACAGACGATTGGCAAAGATCCTTTCGATTATTTTCCATGGGTTGAAGGCAGCTCTTTACCATGGCTTCGATTAATCCATGCTTTAGATCCGCAAGGTGTTAATAATTCTTTCTTTCTCAGGTTTGAATGTTCAAGAGCATTTAGGTGATAGCAATTTGTATGCATTATTGCATGTTAATGAATTGATATTTATAGGAAGCTTGAAATAGAAAAATTAAAAGAAAATTAATCAGGTGATATGTATTGCATAAGTAGCTTAGGCTTGTCATAACACGCATATTTAATTGTATGACAAAATCAGGTAAAATCAATTAAGCTACTCCGATAACTACAGTCAAGCTATTCATTTAACTTTAATAGAAACTCTTTTCATTTAGCTTCTCCTGAGACTAAGGTGCATTAATTGATTTTTAACTTAGGGAGAAACTCAATACATTTGACCTTCTTACTATCTCCTCTTGTAAGGATGTATGGAGAAATTTGTCCAAACAAAGCCTTATTTGATATCACTTTCATTCATTTGACAGAACATCCAGGGTGGACTTTTCTCCCTCCTATGGAGATTCAGTTGCAGAAGTGTGACAAATGTTCCCGACAGTTTTGCTCCCCCATTAATTATAGAAGACATATTCGTGTACATCATCGGTTGAAAAAGCTTGACAAGGTATTCCTTTTAGATCTAACAAATAGTTATATTTATCATATCATTTCTTTGTTTACACATTTAGCCTTTTATATTTTCTAATTGATAGAAGCTTGTTTGTGTCTTTTTCTTAAGTTTTCCTATGCTTGTTTACATATTGCAGGATTTTACAAAAACTAGGGATCTTTTAGGAGCATATTGGGATAAGGTGATATTTCATCATTGTGAATTGACATATATTAATAAGACAACTTATTTTAATGTTTTGATTTTATTCATGGTTTGAATAGCTCTCAGTAGCAGAGTTAAAGGAAGTTGTATCATTCGAAAATGTGATGTTGGAGGTAAAATCTTCTTGCATCTTATATGAATAAGTTATTTGAACATGAAGTTATTTTAATGTTAAATCACCTTGTATGGACATTGTTATACACTAAATATGAAATATATTGGGCTGAGAATAGAGGTGAGACCATGGGGAGTGTAGTGAAATTAAATCAGACATCTCTGATGCAATTCTTCATATTTTCACTTCTGCCATAAATATACTATTTTTAGTTAGATCTGTTAGACTGATAACATACCTCACCATGCAATTTGAAATTTTTGATGCCTTTTCAATTTCAAATGTGATTTGAGTTTTACAACTCCATCCTTTTGACTAGACTTAAGACTGAAAATAAGAAAAATTGCTTTTGAGATTCATTGAACCTCTTAGTTGATTCATATATTTATAGTAAAAGATACTTCTGAATTATAAAGAGTACAAATGAAAAAGGCTATTCATAGGTGCCAAAAGCTAATCAGTAAAATAACTTTTAAGATAAGTTAACCTATTTGAACAAGTTATCAAATACAATAATTATTCTAACATTCTCCCTCAAGGTGAGCATATAAATAGTATGTACACAGTGACAGTCAATCTCTTTATTTAATTCTCTCATGAAATATAAGATTGGAGACAATGAATAGTTGTTTGATTATCACAGTACATTATAATTTCTTAATCCTTATAAGTTCACAAGTAGGCATGCTACGGGGCGGGTTTAGGTTTTTCCTTCCTGAACTCCGCCCCCAACTTTCTTAATCATCCTTGATTCTACTCCCAAATACTGTCTGGGTTAGAAATTAAATCCTCGCCTCCATTGGATTTTGGATTTCCCTGCCTTTAACTCATTCCATGCTATTTAAAAAAAAAATGCTTATAATAAATTAATTTTAATGTCTTTCTTTTTATGTATTTTTTTTATACATAAATAAATGTTTGTAATTTTACAACTTTTGAATTATTATTCTTGATTGAGTATATATTTTAATTTATTATATTTATATTAGAATATGTGTGTAAAAAAAAAGATCATTCTTTTTCTTCATGTGGGTATAAAATACTTAAAACAATATTATTATTATTATTATTATTATTATTATTATTATAGCACTATAATCAAACCTTTGATTGTATGTATAGTTTAATTATTTTTAGGATTGCCATTTTAAAATATTAATAAATATGAAATATATAGTTTATAAGAAAATATTTAATAATTTAATTCTTATTTAATTAGTGCAAAGTAATAAAATTTTAACTATCAATCCTTCATAATACAACTATTTAATTAAGATAAAATTTGATTTATGATAAATAAAAATAATAAAATCTAGGAAACATGACATAATAAAGCCTAATAAAGATAAACTAGAAATAAAATAGTACTTATTGTTACTAAGATTGATGCGCAATATTTTAGGGAGATAAAAAAGCAAAAATTTAACTTCATGTGCTTGAAAAACTGAATGAAGAGATTGGGAAAATCAATTTGGTTGAAGAGATCTAGAAAACCAAACTAGTTGAAGAAATTAAAAAAATGTGAATGAGTGAATGTTGAGAAAGATAAGAATGTCTTGAACTGAATAGTTGAAAAGATTGGGAAAGACAAAGAGTGAAGAGTGGGTGGCAGAAAAGTGAAGAGTGTGGAATAGAGAAAAAACAACCATATATGTAATGTGAGAAAGAGAGACACTTGAGAGGGTTTAGGTTTAATTATAAAGTCAGAATGAGGATTAGGTCGGGATTGGGTTCAGGGTGGGGATTGCATTACCCATCCCTACCCCGCCCCCGTCCCCCGATTTCTTAAAGAGGGAAAACTCAAACATGCACCCACATCCTATTAACTCGGTTTTTCTCAATCAACCTTTGGGTGAGGCAGGTGGATCAGTCCCCGTGGGTGCAGATTTAATTGTCATTTATATTCATAAGTGAGAGAGACAATTGCTTAATCCATATAATTTGATGGGAGATGTCATTGCTGTATACTTTAGCACTAGGTCAATCAACTATATTTTGTTTCTTACCTTTCTAACATATAATGTTATCAATCATGAAAACACAATACCAAGTAGTGGAGCATCTATTTATAGGAGATTATACCAAATTAGTGTCACAATACCTAGAAATTGAGTATCTCATGTCTCTTATCTTCATATAACAATCCTTGTCTTGGAATCTTCTTGAGGTATTTAAAAATACGAAAAAATGCATTTCAATGATCAATACAAGGGAGCTTGTATAAATTAACTAACCACTTCAACAGCAAAAGACAAGTCAAGTCTAGTAATAGCTAGCCATAAACATAGCTCAATTTTGAAGGAAAATGAGGGCTGAAAAAACTCCCTTAAAAGATGTATAACCAGTTAAGGAACCACATAACATGTAAACTTTGTAAAATTTGTCTCCTTACTTTTTAACAAAAGCTTTGTAATGAATTATTTGACCTTCCCATTAGAAATTAGGGACACAGTGCTCCCCATAACCCTGAAAGGGTTGCTCAAGGAAATTAATCACCTTATTTTTTCAAGAATAAGCGATGTAGATTTTCATTTAGTACATTGGAGGAAAGACTAGCATCATTTGTGCCAAATGCTGCAAGATGTTTTTATAAATCTTGTTATCTACTGTCAAAACAAAAGAGTTTTCCTTAGAGAGGAGTAAGCTAGGAACAAAGCGAAACATATATGACTCCAGGATCCTTAAACCCCTACTTATGTTGGCTGAAAGGGCCATGTTAGGTAATAAACTGCTGAATGCAGAGAGGCAGAGCATCATCTCATTTTTTCATCTTTTACTGTTTTTGACATAAACTGCAGAATGCACAATCCTTATGGTTTCTCATTTTTCATCTATGATTGTTTTCCCATTTCCTGTTTTCCATAAATTAATCTAAATATCTTGTTTTTCCTCATGGACAATGCTTTCTAGGAAGTTCCGGGTTCTTCAATTTTAAAATCTCTGACAACTCTTGTTCAAAACCAAAGATTATATTCATTTCCTCCATACTATGTGATGGCTGGTGCTGCTCTTTTGGTAAGCAGCTTTACGGTCTGCCTTTTTAATTAGTTTTTCTTGTTAACTTTTGGCAAATATGTATATCTTTGATATATTAATGCAATATACTTTAATTGTTTGCAGGATATTGTTCAATATGAATCTTCTGTCTTTCCTATATCTTCCCAGCAGTTGTTCAACATTCTTGATGACGCCAGTGAAAAAACATGTTTATGTGGAACAGTAGAGTCAGTGCAAAGATATGTTTTTGATGGAGAGGCTGGAAAAGTTAGTCTTGAACCGAAAAACATAGTTGCTTGCACAAGTTTCTTGCTAGAACAGATTTTGGTAATTGTCTTAACATTCAAAATTTGTTCATATAACCACCCCGTCCTTCTTTCTTCATGCAATGTGCGTTTTGCATTTGGTTTCAAACTGTATTTTCTTCAGCATCAAATACTGCTGAAAAACCAATGCAATTCAAATGTATTTTCTCCTTTAATAACTGACTCATGAGATCCAGCAATCATTTCATAATATTTGAATTTGTAGAGGTGGCACTGGAACATATGATCATGGTATAACTTGCACATAAAATATGTAAAATACATTATATGAAACCCTAATTGTATTGTTTTTATAACAAACTAATAATCTCACTTTCTCCAATTAGTTCTTTTTGTCTGTCATGATGAAGTATGAGCTTTTGTTCACTAAGGTGAAGGCGTGCCTTATTGACAAAGAGGCTGAAGCACTGAGGTGTCAGAAGCAATTGGTGGAGGAGGAAGAAGCTGCTCAGAGAAGGTACCTGCTTAAGAACAACACAATAGAAATCTAGTTTTTATAAATATATATATATATATATATATATATATATATATATATAAATCATCTTATTTAAATGTAATTTAGAATTTAGAATGGAGTCTGAACAAAACAATTTTTTGTTGTTGATTTGTTTTGTGAAATAAGGGATCCATTCCCACAATAAACCTATATACAGATAAGAAACCCCAACCAGAGCCTAGTGCTATTTGGGTTGATAGGCACTTCCATCAAGATGATATATATCTTCATAAGTCAGCATGAATTTGTGTTTTAAAAAACCAAGGACAGGATCAACCGCACTAAACTCTCATGCATACTTTAAGTAAATTTGGTCAGTTCATCTGTTGTGTAAACTAGTGCATAAGGCAATAATTTAGCCGTTCCTGCTACATAGATTTTATGAGTACTTCTTGAATGTGCTTAAATTGATTTATGAACATATGATGCCTCTGCTATGATTTTTTATTTTTTATTTTTTTTTCTTATATTTCATTGAAGTATATATGGTTTTAGTACCATGAACTTTCATAAATAAATCGTGTAATACATTATGTCAAGTTAATCTTTATGCTTCTGTTCAGCAAAGTTACAAGAGATGCAGCTGAAAATATACTCTTGAAAACTGGTCATGGATGGATAATAGGACTAATTATTTAATAATCCTGGATAATAGGACTCTAATTATTTAATAATCCACTGTAAATTTATAGACAAGCTGAGATTTTGGAGAGGAAACGCCAGAAGAAGCTTAGACAAAAGGAACAAAAAGCTAGGGAACAAAGACACAAAGCTGAGGCAGAAATTAGCGGTATTGACAGTACTGCAAAGGCTTTATCACTGGCTGAAGCATCTTTAGATACGTACAATTCTGAAGCTCATAATACAAATACATTTTCAGATAACGTTGCTTCATCTGTACCTCTCCAATATCCTGACACCAATGAGGAAATAAATAAGGATACTCATTTAGAGTATGACACCGTCACTGATCAGAATCTTGAGAGACAGTCTGCACATGGAGATATACACCATTGCTTAGCAGTTTCCCGACAACAGGGGATGTCAAAATCACAACGGGCTGAAAGCAATGATTTGCATACAAACCAGAATTCTCCTTTAACAAAACTTGAAGTCAATCAGAAATATGGGTCCCAAGGTGATAAAAAAGTATCAGCTGTTGGTGGTAGTAAAACACGGAGTGGGAAGTCTAAAACAAAAATTAACAAGGTGGTTTTAAAAACCACACAAGAGAAAGAACCAGACCAAGTTAAAAATGAAGAAGTTTTTATAGGATCTGTACCTGTTAATGTTGGCAATTGCACTCAATCAGAGGGTAATACGGTGGCTTCTCAAAAGGACTCCATCGTTGAGAATGTGGGCAAGCAGAAGAGTTCACCGGGAAAGCCAATGAAAACTGATCTTGCCACAGGTGGCAACAATCGCTCAACAGATAAGGTTTGGAAGCCAATCAGCCAGCTTGAAAGTAAAAATGTACTTCCAGTTCAAAGTGGTGGGACAGAAGCTGATGCATTTCATGGAAATAGTCAAAATTGGTCTGGTCCAAGTTGTTCAAGGGTGGGTAGTACAGATGGGGGTGATATTGGTTGTGAAAAGCATTTATCACATGCAGAGGGTAGTGTGGATGCAGGAAGCTTCCAGTCCATCGTTCAGGCTGCAAAAGCTTTCTTTCGACAAAGTAAGCTTTGTCACTTCATCCCTTTGTCATGGTTCTTCTATTTTGCTGATAGTGTGATGTGATCAAATGCTAGGCTTGGCCTTTAATCTATTTTCCCAAATCAAAACTATTTTCATGCAGGATGGATAGAAGCTATGTCATCAGAACATGAGACATTGGTTATTACCTCTGACTCAGAATCTTCTGGGAGCCAATAGGCCCAGGATTCTAAAACAGTATCTTCTGATGAGGATAGATGCGACATTGTGGCAAAATGCAGATAACAAATTGCCTGCAACCCCAGGAGTCGCTACATCCAAACCCAGATTGAAGACATCTGAAAAGGGAACCAAGATAAAGTATGTTCCTAAACAGAATACAGATTCCTGATGTGAAAGAGAATAAGTTGGATTAGTTTAGTTATACAGATATAAAGAGTTTGACTTTGTTGCCAATTAATATGTTAGGAGAGGTCCAAGTTTTACCGGATGGTCTTCTGCCAAAATGTTAAAAGTAGGTTTTGCCGGAAAATCTTTCTGCCACCCTTTTCCTCCTAAAGATTTCATATGGGATTTTCGCTAGTTTTTTTTTTTTTTTTTTTTTTTTTCACTTAGCCCAATTATTACCATTTTTTTAAATAAACTTGTTTAATTTCCGTATGGTTATCTTCTATTCTGTTTATGCATTGGTGTCATCATTATTAGGCTAGATTTGTAATTCCTTTTTTATGGCATAATTGTCTAAATTTTGCTTGTAGTAGTAATTCTATTATTTTAGTCAACTCGGAAAAGCCTATGTTTTTTAGCCTATCTCTTCCTTGCACTACTGTTCAGGCATCGAGTAAAGAATGTTTCGATCTTTAGATCTCAGTTTACTTATTCCTTGTAGTGCTGTTCTTGTAGTGCTGATCTTATAGTGCTGTTCTTGTAGATGAAAAATTGCAAGAATTTAAGCAGCAGTACATGCTTAAAATATAAAGTTTATTTTTACATTGTACTTCAATCATGAATTGGATTTTGGAGTAATTAATTTAATTGTATATAAATTGATTACTAATTATTTGGTAGTAAAAAGTTTACACTCATTGGATCAAAATTAAGTTCAAAGGTAAAATAAGTGCTGACGATGTCATTAATTGACGAAATATTTTTATAAGCCAGGACTACGATGGATGCCCCAACCAATAAGCCACCTCACTTGTTGTGTTCATATTTTACTATTTTATGTAGGATTTTCGTTTGGATTAATATAAGCATTATTATGTAAAGAGTTTGCATTATTTTTTACTTGGGAGAAAGTCACCTCACATTCTTAATGACTAGATATAATGGGAGAAAGTCGCAGAACTCTTTTTTTTCGTTAAAATTTTGATTGACTCATCAGTTATGTAATTTTCGTTAAGAATGTGTAACATTACAGATTTCCTAAATGAGAATCACTAAAAAATGTCTATCTAATATTATTTGAGTAAATTCTGACCTATCTAATCTGTGACACCGTCAAGAAACTGGTTGTTTTTGCCGAGAAGGACTATTTATATATGTTCTGAATCTTTGATCTGAAATCAACGCAGAAATTGTGATACTGTTTGAGGTTACAAGCTCGGCCTGACCTTGCAGGATTCGGCTTATATAGAAAAGTCTAAACTACCACACACACACACACACAAACACACACACACACACACACACACACACATATATATATATATATATATATATATATATATATATATATATGTATTAAATATTATAAACAAAATTTTGAGAAACAAAACTTGATTTTGCTGCTCAACCTAGTTGCAAACCTTAATATCAATTAGATAGACTAATAAATGAGATTTACTTTTTTTTTCTTTAATTGTTCTAACGTTAATTTCATCACATTTGTTATTAGTATTTTTAATTGTTTGGACCATTATTATATTGTTATATTTTCAATTATTGAATTATATTATCTCGTACATTGTTTTAATGAGAAATATGATTAATTATCATAAAAAAAAATTGTGTTGCTATAAAACTATTTTATAGTTTAATTTTACATTTTGTTGTTTAAATGGGATCTAGTTATAATTGTCATTCTAGTTAAATGTTCGTTAATTTGATTATTCACTCGTCCTAATAATGTTAAATTAACATACTTTCAAAAAAGTTACCAGTAAAGAAAAACAGTCTCTTATAGTTAACAAATTGATTTAAACATTAATTGTTACCCTATGCTTAGCCCTATTCTCTTGAAACAAATTCACTTTGTATTATAAATAATTTGCTTATTTATTTGTAATATTTATTATGTTGTTTATACAATTTAATCATTTTCTTTAAAGCACTTTCTACGTATTTCATGCCCTAATGGAATACAGTGATAACAAAACGTTAGTTTCAAATTTTGTTGTAGAACATAGTAGTTCATTGTAATTGCAATGTTGCAGGTCGAAGTTTTAGTTTAGTTATTAAAATTATAATGTCAATTGTACAAATTATGAATTTTTGAATTTTTTAATAAAAAAATTGATGCAAAAGTGTATATAGTTTTTAATAAAAAAATAGATGCTAAAGTTTTTTTTTAATAAAAAATATCCTAAAAATGAGCTAAATTTTTCAATCATTTTTAGAAAAAAAAAAAAAGTGTTCACAACTTAGACTAACCTAGTTAACGTCTCCCTTGAACTGGTGCGAACCTGCCATTTGTCAACTACCTTCCCCATCATCAAACTTCTCTTCTTTCCACGTTCCATCATTCTCGTATTTGTCTCACGCTTTCATTCCCAAGGTCCCACCTTTCCGCTACATCGGGAAACCAACCCAACATTAAATGCCCCAAAACCCATTCACTTTCTTTCTTTACATGCATTTACCACCACAAAGGGAAATAACCAATTCAACAAACCCCATCTATATCTCTACAAGGAAAAAAAAAAGAAAACTGAATTTTCATTTTCATCCTGAACACAGCCGAAGAGAAACAAATCCACCCCATGCATTGGTCCTTCAATCCACCAAAAAGACATTCTCACTCACTAGTTGCGCAAACATGTCAGGTGGTGTTGGTCCAACAGGCTGTGACATTGCCCTCCCAAAAGAAGCAGAAGTTGATTTCAAAGAAAAAGAAGACCTACCACTCAAGAATTTGAACAAATCCACCACATCAAACAAACAGGGATTTCTCTCATTCAACCAGCTCAATTCCCTGGCTGTGGTAATTATCTTGTCTGCTAGCGGCATGGTCAGCCCTGAAGACTTTGCCTTTGTGTTCTTCTCCCTATTTTACATGTACTTCATATCCAAGGTGGCTTTCCCCCCACTTAACCCTTCAAGGGATCCTCAAGGTTTCAACTCGCAAAACAAGCTCCTTCAAATTTATGGGTTCATAGGGGTCACCATTGGCCTTTACACTCCAATAGCCTATATATTAGAGGGTGTTTTTGAGGGTGACAAGGAAGGGATCAAAGCAGCAGCACCCCATGTTTTTCTCTTGGCCAGCCAAGTTTTCATGGAAGGGGTGGCATTATCACAAAGGTTCTCAGATCCAATTAGAGCATTTGTTCCTGCTTTCTACAACGCAAGGAGGATTTTCACCATTGTGGATTGGCTTAGGAGTGAGGTGTACAAGGTCAACAATGAGCACAGTGGATCTGCATGGAGGGTTAATGTTGGGAGAGCACTGGCAATGGCTAACATGGCCTTCTGGTGTTTCAATCTATTTGGGTTCATGTTGCCAATGTATATTCCAAAAGTTTTGAAGGCGTATTACTCAGGGTACAATGAGAAAGATCAATGAAGGAACTTTGTATGATTACAAAGAATAGACATGCATTTAATTTTGATAAGGTCTAGAACCACAATTTACCTGTTTTTTATCTATAGCATTTGCACACTGAAAAATATATTTGACTGAATGAATGTAGACATATACTATGTATACTCCCTTAGTATTATCTTTGCTTCTTCCCTCATGGTATGCAAAAAGGGATTAGGGTGGAATAAAAATTAAATTAAAAAAAATTATTCATTCCCTACATCACACAAACACAAATACAAATTAATAAATATATTAAAGAATGTTTGTTAAAACTTTTATGAAAGCCAAGTCATGACTTCGACAACCACTAAATTTTCACTTACCACGGCCGAAAAGGTTGAGGAAAATAATTTAAAATTTGATTCATTATATGAGACTGAACAAAATATGCAAAATATTCAAAATCTGTTTTAAGTATTCAAGCATGAGACCGAACAAAATTTGTATCACTTAACGTTAATCATCTTTTATTTATATTGAAAAGTCTAATCCAAGAAAGCATCGAAGATCTAAAGTCGCACTAGACACCTAGTTACAAAACTAGGTACAGCATTAGGACAACTAGTAAATGTTTCCATCACATTACCCCCTACTCAGACTTAATAATTACACATAGATTTAATAATTATTCTAGCACTCCCCCTCAAACTGGAGCATACAAATTGTATGTACCAAGTTTGGAACAAATGAACTCAATCCGAGGTCTTATTAAGGACTTGGTCAACATATCTGCAAGTTGGTCATTTGATCCAACAAACTTAGTACAAATTTCTTTGGACAATAATTTTTCCAAAACAAAATGGCAGTCAATTTTTATGTCTTTGGTTCTTTCATGAAATACTGAATTTGACGCGATGTAGAGAGCAGTTTGGTTATCACAATACATTTTTATGGTCTGGATTCACAAAAATTAAGCCCTCTAAGAAATTGTTTTACCCATATAAGTTCACAAGTAAAAGACGTCATTATCCTGTATTCAGCTTCAGCAGTTGATCTGGCCATTACATTTTGCTTCTTACTTTTCCATGAGATAATATTTTCCTCCAAAAAAACACAATATCCCGTAGTAGAGCATTTATTAGCTGAGGAGCCTACCCAATCAACCTCACAGTATCCAGAGACTTGGACATTTCCTTTATCTTCAAATAGCAAACCTTGGCCCGGAACCTTTTTGAGATACCTTAAAATACGAATAATGGCATTCCAATGACCAATACATGGGGCCTGCATGAACTGACTAACCACTCCAACTGCAAAAAATAGATCAGGCCTCGTAATAGTAAGATAAATTAACTTTTCAACTAACTGTCTATATCTTTCTAGATTAGGGAATGATTCACCTTCTTCCATCATTAGTTTTTTATTTTGGTCTATAGGACTATCTACTGACCTATAGTCAAGCATACTTGTCTCTTGTAGGATGTCAAGAACGTACTTCCTTTGGAAGATAAAAACCTTATCTTTTGACTGAGCTACCTCAATGCCCAACAAATATTTAATACTCCCAAGATCCTTAGTTTGAAAATGTTTCCACAAATACTCCTTCAATTGAGATATTCTGGCTACATCATTTCCTGTAATGACTATACCATCAACATAGACTATCATGTAAATACATTTCTTAAGATGGGTATTACAATAAAAAACTGAATGATCTACTTCACTGCGTTTTAGCCCAAATTTTTAAACAACTAAGCATAATTTACAAAACCAAGCACATGGTGATTGTTTGAGGCCATAGAAAGAGCAGCACAACTTACAAACCTTACCAGACTCCCCCTAAGCAACGAACCCAGGAGATTGCTCAATATACTTCCTCTGCAAGGTCACCATGTAGAAAGGCATTTTTGATCCATCAATGACCAATGACTAATTACTGTCATGATAAAAAAGAGGCGAATAGTAGTCATCTTGGCCACTGGAGAGAAAGTATCACTATAATCGATACCATAAATTAGAGTGTACCCTTTTGTAACTAATCGTGCCTTGAGACGATCGACTTTACCATTATGACCATCTTTAACGATATAAACACATCGACACCCAACTACCTTTTTTTCAAGTGGGAGGGATACTAACTCCCAAGTATTACTCTGGTCAAGAGCCTGCATTTTTGCAGTCATGGCTTGTCGTCATCTAGGATGATCAAGTGCTTCCGTCACATTTTTGAGAATGATAATAGAAGACAATGAGGATAGAAAAGAACAATAGGAGGGCGATAATCAATGATAACTAAGAAAATTATAAGTAGGATGTGGAATGAGTACTTTTTCTAAGCCAACCTAAATCTTCTTCATCAAGAGTTGTGGTATTGGGTGACGATGGAGAAGAATTTGAAGTAAAGGATTCACCTTGTTTTGGTGAGTCCCATAGATATCAACAGGAGGACTTTGACCAGGACTAGGAGTAGCTGAGATACTGGAATTAGTAGGCTCGACTAATGGTATAGGGAGGACCTATTGAATGACATGCACATCTTGAATGGATGAAGAAAAATAAGGAGTCTGTTCAAAAAATGTAACATTAGCAGACATATAGTACTTCTTGGTTTCAAGAGAGTAACACTGCTACCCCTTTTGAAGTCGAGAATAGCCCAAGAAGACACATTTGATCGCACGAGCAGACAACTTGTCCAACCTGGAGACATGTCATGAACAAAGCATACACAACCAAACACACGAGAAGAAATGTGAAAGAGAGGATTATTTGGAAAAAGAATGGAGAAAGGGACCTTATTATTGAGAGAGGAGGATAACATCTTATTAATAATAAAGCATGCAGTTAGGATGACATCACCCCAATGATGGACAGGAATATTTGCACCAAGCAATAGGATACAAGGAGTCTTAATAATGTGTCTATTTTTCCTTTCTGCTATACCATTTTGTTATGGTGTGTGAGGACAAGTAGACTGATGTAATATACCATGCAAACTCAAAACTGTAGAAAAATTGGATGAGAAGTACTCTTTGGCATTCTCACTTCTTAAAATTTTGATTACTTGACTAAATTGGTTCTTGATTTCATTCAAAAAGGATGTGAAGATAGACAACAATTCAGTACAATCTTTCATAAGATAAACCAAGTACATCTCGAGTATTCATCAATGAATGTGACAAATATATAAAACTAAAAGAAGAAACATGACTAGGTCCCCAAATATCACAGTGGATAATAGAGAAACTAGAATTACACCTTGTTTCAAACCTTTTAGAGAAGGTAGATCTAACATGTTTTCCTAATTGACAAGACTCATATTCTAAGATCTGGAGACTACTAAACTTAGGGACCAATTTTTTAACTTTGACAAATGAAGATGACCTAACCGTTCATGTAACAATTTAGGACTTGGGGCTGCAACATAGGAAACATGTGGACTAGATCCAAAATAGTATAAACCTCCAACTTCATATCCTTCTCCAATTTGTCTCCCTAAACCACGCTCCTATATAATAAAAGACTTGTTATCAAAGGTTATTGAACAATTTAACGTTTTGGTTAACTGACTTAATGAAATTAAATTGAAGAGACAATTAGGGGCAAAAAGGACAAATTTTAGATTTAGGGAAGGAGATAAGGAGACTTGACCGACTCGCGTTGAGGAAACTTTAGAACCATTTGTCACTGGTATGAAATGATGTTTTTCTTGAAAAGTAAGAGATGAGAACAAAGAGGTATTATCGGAGATGTGATCAGAAACACTTGAGTCAATTATCCATGAATTTTGACCTTCCATGGATTGGGAAATACAGGCTGTTGATGTACTCGGAATTTCAGATGTTTGTGCCAAGTTGTTAGATTTTAACCTAGCATACTCTTAATATTCTTCCTCAATGAATCAAGAGTTGACAGTTTCAGCCTTAAAGGCATTGTTTAAGGCTGTCTTGGCAGGAAAACCATGCAAGCAGAAGCAATTTTCTTGGGTGTGACCCATCCTTTTATAGTATGTACACTAAGGACGCCCTTGACCACCATGTCCTCCCCTAAATTCTCGTGTGGCAACCATGACAAATGGTTCTACCGGTTCATGAACTTCCTTGCTTTGAGGTGTTGGGACTTGAAGGAGGCGTGTGGTCAAGCTATCCATGGAAGGGACCCCATGACTAGTAAGAAGTTGATCTCAGAGATGATCAAAGTCTGGGTATAAAGCACAGAGGATCATCACCATATAATATTTATCAAGTTTCTTCTTGATTTCATCAAAAGATTCAACTTCCAAGAACATATTTAGCTCGTCAACTATAGATTGCGCTTCGGTCATAAAGGATACCATATCATGGTCAGTTTGTTTAAGAGATGCAAGTCTATTAGCAAAATCATAGAGACGATGAATATCATTTGCATAAATGTCTTGATTTTTCTTCTAAAAAAGGTGGTAAGTTTTAAAGGCTCTAAGGGAAATCAAAAGCCTCGGTTCCACAGTTTGCCATAGTAGGGCACACAGCTAGAAATCAACTTGTTTCCACTGATCAGCCTTTTCAGGAGGCGCATGGTTTTCATCTTTCTCAAGGTGGCCATGATGACTTTGGTCAAGGAACCATATTTCGACAGATGCAACCCACGAAAGGTAATTTTTTTCATTTAGTTTCTCAAAAGTAATGGAAGGACTTCCAGATAATGAAACAACACAAGTAGCCATTTTTGTTGATAGAGAGCCAGAAAACAACTAGGACAGAGAGACCCCTTAGGTGACTTTCGCTAGGATGACTTTTGGACTTCGCCAAAATGAAGTTTTGAGGTTAGAATAGGAAGGGCTGTGGCAATACCCACGGAGGTGGCGCGACAACTTTTAGACCGGGAGAGGACGATGCATGGGTGACACACACCTGATTGCAGCCGATTTTGACTAGGTGCGTGGGAGGGAACTGGATTTTGAGACCGGCAGGGTTGGCCGTTGCTCGGAGAGGCGATCCATATTCGATGGTCGCTGGAAGAAACTGTGACAGTGGACGACGGTTTCGAAAATGACTGAGACAGGCAGAGCGGGATCAACCCACTCTGATACCAACTTAATCTTAAGAAACAGGAAAATATGGTTTGGAGGGCTTAATCACCCCTCTTAATCATCTTCTATTTATATTGAAAAGTCTGATACAAGAGAACACAGAAGATCTAAGGTCACACTAGACACCTAGATACAAAACTAGGTACAAGAGTAGGACACTGGTAGATGTTTCCAACATATTACCCCCTAGTCAAACTTAATGATTACACATAAATTTAATAATTATTCTAACAATATCATCAAATGAGAACATGTTAACAAAATATTCAAGCAATTGCCTCATTTATTTTAATTATTTTAATTTAATATGCAAAATCTGTCAATGCCCATTTGTTTTAACGCTAAAAAATAAATTCACACTTTCCTAACAAGAATACACGTTCTATTGTAAATCCATAGATAACTAATTTAAACATGCGTCTCTATACACTTAATGATCCAAAATTAATTCTATAAAAAATTCTATCCTACTTGCCTAATTTATCATTATCTATGTTCATATTTTACTACAGTGATGATGACTAGCAGTCTGTATAATAAAAATTTGAGAACCATGTAATTCTCCAATGATTCTCGTCCCTGTCACAGTACGCTTACATAAGAAGTTTTTGAGTTCGTTTATGCTTAACGTTAAAAAACATATACCTGTATACAATAAGTTTCTTTCTTATTTCAGAAACACTTATTCTAAGTTTAAATAAACTTGTCTATAATTTCCCACTTATTTCTTTCCACTTTTTCCTTATTTTTTACCTTCCCAAACAAAGGCTAAAAGCACTTCAAAAAGATAGCAGAGAGAATTGAATAGCAGACAAATGGAAAAAAAAAAAATGCAACAGTTTATAGAGCTTACAAACCAATGAGGCAATTTCCTTCAAATCGCTTGAGTCTGCTTATATAAATTTCTCAACAAGTCACAAAAGAAGAAATAAAATGAATAAGAGGTAAAATAGATCAAATTTCTCATATAAGTTAATAAACTTGTATATCTCAACTTTTATAAAAACTCCCTCGTTTCTCTCCTGTCTGCAATATTAAAATTTATACTATTTCCTTGGTCACCACGCCATTACACAGGAAGAAACAAGTGCGCAATCAATCTTCTATCTTGCAATCAACCCAACAGACCACTAAAGGTACAAGAAAATTCAACTAAACAATAATAGTAAAATTCAATCTATATAATTAGTAATGCCAACAAGGCAATAATATTATTCATCTATGAACTAACTACCATAAAATTAACAATGAAGTTAATATTAAAAAATTGAAAGACCTGGCAAAATTATGGAGATTGGAATAAATACAAGGTAACGAGGTCAAGGTAGATGAGCCAATTATGCTCAAATTACTTTTCAAGATTCTTTGTTTATCTTTCCTTCACACATTTTCTCTCTCTATCTCTCTCCTCTATCAGGCCCTCTCCCCTTGCTTGCAGAATTCAAAATGTTCAAATTTAAACAACAAAGCTACAATTTGAAAGTTATAAGGAACAAATAAAGATTACTCACATGGTGTTCACAAAGACTTGCAAACCCTAAGCTGACATCCTTTCAGATCACTTCAACTTCCACTCACCTTGGAAGTTGAATTATCTGCCACTGCTTCACTATCTCTGATCAAAAGCCTATATCCATAAATTACACGCTCAATGATAGGCTTGCAATCATTTACTCAGCTGCAACTCCTCAACCTCAACAAAGACCTAGTCAATTATCAGTTACCAATTAAAATTATTTTCAGATTCAAAACTTAGTCAGCATGTGATATACAATGATCAAGCTCTATGAAATAACACAAGTCCTTGAAAAATTAACATATGCAACAATACCATTACTGCTTGTTTAGCCCTCAGTCCAGAATCATATCTTAGAACGACTAACAGACCCTGAGTAAAATATTTAGATCCTTCTGATAGAAAAAAAGGCAGCAATAGGAATATATTGAGAATAAAGAAAGAAAGCCATACTTGTGTACAGGTGTGTTGAACCACTGCTATTTATAGAAATTGGTACCAGTCTTCTGTCTTGACTTAAAGATAAAATTTGCATCCTTTCAGGCCAATCTGAATTTAATCTTCGCGCAAAATCTTCCACTTCCCTACAAGAAAAGAAACAAAGTCAATAAATGCAAGATAAAAGTGAATGATAAAATGAACCACTCAACAATTAACTTTTCATAGGTTATAATTGATATGGCCATTCCAGCGGTTGTCTACCCAATAAAGTAAATGAGTGAACTATGTAAGACAACAGCACATTCCACACCGAATTCAATTGGGCAGGAATCCTCGAGTAATTATAATTTTAAAAATTGGAATCCATGAAAATAAGCACTAATTGTGAGGAGGAAAAAGATATTCTATACCCAACTGATGTTGGTAACTTGAAGATAAAGAAATCTAAGGAATAAATAAATTAACTACTGGAAGACTAGTTTGAGACGAGTCATGTAAAGTATGTGGACGTAATAGTTTTGAACTTATTCCTCATCAATTAAAGAACTAGCAGAAGCATGTATCTAACCTGTCAAGCTCCTCCTTCATTGCAGGATCTAAATCATCATCAACATCACCGTCAATAAATTCAAATTTTGGAGAAAAATTAACGGTTGGAAAGGTTTGCATCCTTGATGGTTTACTTGCAGAGGCCTCCAAGGAATTGTCAAAGTTGACATTGTGAAATGCAGAAGGAAGAAGATTCAACCCCTAATATAAAAGGATATAGAATGAGAGAGAATAATCTTTCCAAAACAGGTATTGTCAATATGAGCAATACATACGAATATACAAGTCTAATGTGTTGTGGTAATAGTCTAACCTTATTGTTTTCATTTGCATTTTTTGAAGAAAGATCCTTTGCCTGGTCTTTCCTTCTTCTATTCTTCTTTTTATTTTTATTTGCTCTAGTTCCCTTCATATCTGCCAAATCATATGTATCCCCGAAGTAAGCTATTGCAAGCAAAAACAAGTTCGGGTGCATTAAAACTATGATTCTCTAAAGCAAACTTAACCACATGATATATGATTGAAAAAATGTAGAAAATTTTGTAACTAGTGATGACAAGAAATCAACCTAGTCGTTCTAGCATTCACAAACAAGAGAGCAACTCCGCGTATGTAAAAAATAACAGCAACACGAAAAATAATATCAGTAGTAACAGAAAGTAGCTGGTCTTTGTCCCATTTGCAATCTCCCAGTCTTAAACCCATCTCCAGTCCCAGACATGATCTGGTCCAGGCTTGTGTCCCATATCGGTCTGGCTCTACCAATTATTGTCCTAAATGCAGTCTCCTAGAAAATCTAAAAATGTTTTCATCATATGCTAGAATAAATTATAGGATAAAATAAATTTTAGATATTCTAAAATAATGATGGTATTATAATTAATAATAATAATCATAAAATAAAAAAACAACAACAGCAATAATAGCAGCCGACAAGTAATAATCTATATTCATGAAAACTTTCAAATTACAAACTAGTCAAGCATTATATTTAAATAATTTATGGTGTATAATAAAGCTTACACCAATAGAAGTCAAAAAGCTGCAGAAAAAAGTCTCATGGCAGTATTGTAGAGAAGAACAAAATAAAATAAAAGTGATATACTTTTTCTTTAACAACAAGATAAGATTGCCATCTTTCCCCCTCCCGGAATAAAATAAATATCTGATAAGATAACCACAAGGAAACAAAAGTAATGATTAATGAAATTTATAGAAGAGGTCAGGATGAAAGACATGACATACCTCCATCTGCGCCATTAATAAATGATAGAAGATCTTCAAGTGAACGCTCATCCTTTGGTTCCTCCTCAATCTCAACATCCTGAAACAGATGAAATATTTTAGTGTGCTTGCAACACAATCTGACAAGGAGTTTTCCATAAACAAGAATCATATTAACATTCAATATGCAAGGACTAAGAACATTAATGAAATTAGAAGGGTAGAAAATACCTTCAGTTTCTTCCTCTCTTTGAGTTCTTTCCTCTTTCTAGCATATAATCTGTTTAGAAGTCGAATTCGTGGATCATCAGTTATGTTTCTCAGTGGTTCCAGCTTCTCTTCCTGTAAAACATCAATGTAAGTCAAGAAAAACGATTGCAGAGGCCATCACTGCAACTGAACACATATGACCTCACTTTTGCTTTCATCACACACCTCGGTGAGGTCATCAGGCAAATGAAATGTTTCCCGAATCTCCTCAGGAGTTTTTCCTTCAATAATTCGAGCAAGAGCTCGGCTGGTCAGGTCAACCAAAGGCTTCAGTTGAAGGCTGTCAGCAGCAGATGTCAACTCACATAACTTCTTTGTATCCATCCGAATAAACTTCTCATCAAAAGTTTTGCGCTCCTTCAATCGTAGCACACTCAAATACTCATTAATCTATAAATTGTGCTATTTCCCCAGTATTTCAACTTCTAAAAGCAAAAATAAAGATAATACTTTGATGAAGAAACAATACACGGAGAAGTTACAAAATATTGCCCAGATGGGATCAAATAGTAGTTTAAAATTATCAACTATGCTTCAAGAGCACCACATCTTTAAATTATGAAGGAATTCCAAAAAATATGTATTCTTAAGATCAAGGTAAAATGAATCACATGAAAGTCAGATTATTCCATACCTTGTTAGAATGTCCTGGTACTTGGTGAAACCGACAGTAATCAAGTATCAAACCCAAGATTGCAGGATTGACACGATGTGGAAGAGATATAGCATAAGTCTTGGAAGATCCCATGCCTGTTTGAAGTACTTCCTGGCAGATCATGGGGCAAAACATGGCTACCTCTTCCTCTACTTGCTGAATAGAACCATCCACAGTTTGAAGCCAGATGTAGGATTTCATCTATGTTGGATAAAATTAAATAGAAAATAATAGGTTTAAACATTAGTTGGAATATTTTGATTTTACAGATATCTTGAGCAGTTAATATTACAATTCTATACTTTTGTTATTTTGATTCGAGGGAATTAATGTTAGGATTTCAGAAAACCCATTTTGAATCTATAAATATCCAGTTGTACCATTCATTTTTCACACCACAAAAAGTAATAACATTTTGCTTCCTCAATCTCTTTGTTATCAAATTGGTATAAGAGCTAGTGTTTGAGTGTGAGAGAGTTTGAAGTGAGTGATGACTAACTAACAAATGGTGTGACCCTGTCCCAGTTGACTAATGGAGTCTACAAATGAAGGCCCTTTTGAGATCCCAAAGTAATTGGATGATAGTTGAGGATGGTTTTGCGGAACCTACCTAAAGTTTTGAGATCATAGATCTGGTTACCTGCATTTTTGTGGTCTAACTGAGTTGATTCATGATAATAATGATGATGTTGATCATAATGTCCGAGTTGATGAAGTTGAGCATTAGAATGTTAGAGGAAGTCGAGCTACTACAATAGAGGAGGAAGGAACAACAAAGTCGGTAGATTGTTGATCTCTCACTCTTTTCAGTCCAAAGTCAAACTTAGTCGAGCTAAGTCCGAGTAGTAGATTTCGAAGTGACCTTATCCGAGCTGTTGTAGACGAGAAGATCAAATCTATTGTACACAAGAGGATCCGAGTTGTTATAAATGAGAAGGTTCATGCCGCTATGGACGAGAAAGGTTCATGCCGCTATGGACGAGAAGGTCGGAGCTGTTATGGACAAGAAGGTTCGAGCTATTGTAGACGATAAGGTTCGAGTTGTTATAAACAAGGAGATCCGAGCTATTATGGACGAGAAGATCTGAGTTGTTCTGAACTAGAAGATTTGAGCTATTATAGACGAGAAGCTCCGAGTTGTAGAATGCAATGACACTGGGCAATGACTGAATTGTTGAGCTATGCCCGACCTATTGGTGTGAGGTGAGTATTCAAGAATAAGAGAGATGATAAACTTTTAGGTTGGTCTTTGACTGAGCTCTGTCAGAAGAAAAGAGATGAAGAGTTTAAGAGCACACCAACAGTTGAATTTGAGATGACTGATTTGTGTATGATGAAGTTTTCCCTTGGCCTAGAGGTTAGACAGGAGGAGTCAGGGATACTTATATCTCAAGAGGCATATGCAGAGGAGATTTTGAATAAATTCAAGATGGCTGGTTGTAATCCGATCTCAACCACCATGGAACTGGGAATGAAGCTTCCAAAGTTTGATGGAAGAGACCGAGTTGATCCGAACAGATATTATAGCTTAATGGGAAGTCTCTGTTACCTTACAAGCATAAGACCCGACTTATTGCTGAGCATTGAGATTGTTAGTTGGTTTAGGAAATGTCCGAGCTATTCTCACTAGAAGGTGCTGAAGCGAATACTACGGTATATCAAAGGTACAATATCACTCGATCTGTTGTATACTTAGTTAGAAGGAGCTCAATCGATTGAAGAGGGATTTAATTTTACATGGTTGTTTTGTTGGAAAAAATTAAATAGATAATAATAGGTTTAAATGTTAGTTCGAATATTTTGATTTTGTAGATATCTTAGGTAGTTAATATTACGATTCTATACATTTATTATTTTGATTATGGGGAGTTAATGTTAGGATTTCAGAAAGCCTATTTTGAACCTATAAATATCCCGGTATATCATCAAGTCTTTCACACCACAGAAAACAATAACATTTAGTGTCTTCAATCTCTTTGTTAAGCATGCCATAGGCCAAGTGAAATCAACAAACTACTTAGGGAACAACAATAAACCTCACATGTTCTAAATTTCAAAGAACAACATTAACCTCTTCATTATTGTCTAGAAGTATATAATTTGGAGCAAATAAGGGAATGTACACACAATACACTAAATAGTTATACTTGGAGAAGAAAAGAAAATTATTTTCTCGAGCTGAATAAAATTCCTACATTTGAACCTGTCTGACATGTCACAGAATATCTAATATTAAAAAAATCCAACATTGTTAAGGTGATCTTATTCACAAATTCAAAGATCCAATACAAACAATTCTTCCCATCTCAATATTGTACAGCTTCATCATCAAATAGTTTTCCTTCTTTTGTCCTCATTTGATCATCCTATTCTTCAAGAATTAATGGCCCTTAAGTGCTACATATGGGCCTAAAACATAGAAAATATTGATTAAAGGATATATCCCTTGTGATATCCCAGAAAAACTTATCTGCAAAAAATTATAAAGGCAGAAAATTTGAATAGAACAAATAATCTTTATTTACATAAAGAGAGAAGGAAGTACAGAAGGGAAATAAAAATAATAATGGGTATTCTCATAATTAAACTCCAGTTAAAGGAAAATCAGATCATTAAAAGAAAGGTATAAAGAAAAATTTTAGGAGACCAAGCTTTATATCTGAGGAATCCTTTAACTTAGATAATCTAAAATATTAAAGACAGGTCAAAAAGAAAACGAACTAGTACTTCATAATGCATCATAGTTTATACAGTGTTAATTAGAAGTATAGGCCCAAGTCCAATACCCACTCATTAAGACCTGCTGTTATGAGATGAAAATGCAATGTTCAAATTCAATAGTATAATATGCATTACCAAACCACAAGGCCATAACAACAAATATCCCTCTAAATGAATTAAAGAAACAAATAGATAAAATATAATAACACCATACCTCAGGTTTCACAACTGCCATAGCAACCTCAGACATTGAAAACAGACACAGGTTGTAAGTACTAGGTCCTTGGCACGAGTGTGACAAGTTTATTATTTTTCACAATTCAGTAGCAAGAAAATTACAACACAAAGGAAACTTTCACTTCTTCAAAGCCTTTGGTTTGCAAGATAAGTATAGACACTTCAAATATTCTTCACAAAAAGATATCGCTCTGGACTCCAATGACAGGTCTAACAGCATTCTCATGAGAACTGTTTCCACAAGTCCTGTACTAAATGATAAAGCAGGAGGTGCTATAGCAATAAACCATGTGATGTTCAACCTAAACATATCAAAAAAGGGTCACAATGTTAAACATTAACAAATCTCTTATCAGTTCCAGTTTCTTTATCACAATAATAATTTTTGTGTATGTTTGAGTCAAGAAACAAAGAAGTGAACAACTTAAATTTTGAGAAATATTTATTGACCACATTCATAAATCAACAATTGAGAATGCAATAATATTCAATATTCAATAACTGCACTTCCGGATTGTACCAATCATATCCTTAGGCAAACTGATTCTACAGTCAATATTGTAAAGTAACAAGTTTCATCTCAAGAACCGCTATATAGTTTTACTCATGCACAAAAAAACCTGAATCAATCTATTTCAAAGGTGATTAAAGTAAAAGGATTTTTTTTACTGCATTTTAAACTTCCTCATAACTGATGAATTGCAACTTAATTTTACATTACTGAAAGAAAATTGCAAATCCTTTTTAAAATTCTCTACTATAAATGGTGAAGCAGGAACCCTTGCCCTGGGATCTGTGTGCCATATATTTATAGTCTAGTCCATGCAATTAAGCTAATCATGATTTCAAAACACGTAGTTGTGGCATATTTTTCCATAATAGGATTAAATATGGGTGCAGACAAATCTTCCGCTGTGGGTGGGATCCTTCAAGACAATGGGGCAGCAGGGGCAAGAAAATCGTTGCTGTCCACAAGCTTGCAACAGAGGATACTTTGGGGGCTGTTGTGTAGTTAATTATCTCCCTTTTTCATACCCTCTTTTAGCAGACACTGACACACCTTGTGTTTGTTTGGGTTGCTTATAATAATACTTATTTGCTAATAAAAAAACAAAATCAGACCTGAGATTGAAACAGTTTATTCTGTGTATATAATGTGTTGTTTAATGTTTCTTGTTGAGTATACCTTGCAACAACTTCTTCCATTCCCTTAACATAAAGACCACAATCGAATTATAAACTCTTGCTTTATTGTAAGTGATAAAATTAAAAAAAAAAAAAAAAAAACTACTTGTATATCTTATTTTCTTGCCACCACACTATTATATATCAATGAATAATACTATTACAGAAGCCCTAGTAAACATTAAAAAATGAGACTTTATTACGGGTTTGTGATCAAGAAAATTGGGTTTTATCATTTGGACCAATGTGTAATTATATACAATTATTATAGCCTCACAAACTGGAAGTCCAAATGTCAATGAGTTCAAGCTTGGATAGATTAACTTTAAATAGTGTTAGAGACAAGGTTTTGGTAAAAATGTTAGTCAATTGGTTAGAGAAGTAAATGGAAAGAAAATGCATTAGACTATGTTGAGATTACTCAATATGATAATCAATATTAAGATGTTTAGTTCGCACATAAAAAAGGGATTAGCAGCTACATGCAACATCCTTTAATTATCACAAAACAAAACTCATTGTCACTCACAAAAAACATGAAAGTCTTGCAATAAATAAGTAATTTATTGTAACACATAAAAGGTAGAAGCAAATGTTTTGTACTCCACCTCTGATGATGATGATGATCTTGAAACAATATCTTGTTTCTTGGTCTTCCAAGAAACCAAAGATGTCTCTATGAAGAAACAATACCTTATAATAGATTTGTGAAAATCAACCCAGGTAGCCTAGTCTACACCACTGGATCCTTGAATTTAAATTATTGATTCCCTATTGAAGAATAGACCCTTACCAAGACAATTCTTTACGTATCAAAGTACTCTCTAGTAATAGTCTTGAAATGGACTTGAGTGGATCTTGACATAAATTGACTCAATTATTGACTAGCATAGACAATATCTAGACGTGTATTGGTAAGGTAATTAGACGACCCACCAAGCATATATAGGGAAGGCGGTTCAAAAGCTCTTCTCTAGAACTTTGGCTAAAAAGAAAATATTTTCGATTAGTCTAGACATTGGTTTTGAACCTTATAAACAAGAATCATGTAATAATCCAAGACAATATTTTTACTAACATAATGAGATATCTATGGATGAATGGACTATCTTTAATCCAAGGAAGTACCTCAACACCTAAGATCTTTGATTTGAAAGTGTGAGTGGAGGATATATTCTATATGTTTGATATTTCCTCAATTTTGTTTTCAATGAATATAATGTCATCGAGGATCTATTTGATGTTTGATATTTCCTCAATTTTGTTTTCAATGAATATAATGTCATCAACATATACCACTGATGCAGTAAAATTGGTTCCCTCCACCTTGGTAAAGAGATTATGATCTAAGTGAGTTCGTCCATACAGTAAAAGCACTAACAATTTCTCATGCCAGAACAACTGGTTTTCTTCAATCCATATATGAAGAGTTTGCAACTAAGAAGATTGAAAGTTGTCAATTCCAGTAGAAGGAATCATGTACACCGCTTTGTTTAAGTCTCCATGAAAAAATGCATTACCAACATCAAATTAATGAAAATCTCATTGCTTAATGGAAGACATAGCAAAACTTATTAGTATGATAGTCATCTTATCTATAGATGAAAAAGTTTCAAGATAATCAATCCCCTCTATTTGAGCATATTTTTGCAACCAATCGAGCTTTGTATTGCTCCACACTCTCATCAAGACCCATTTGCATCGAATGCGGCAAATGTTTGGGGGGTCTTCATAATATCCCACATTTTGTTCAATTTACACACTTCCATCTCATATTGCATTACCTCATATCAACATTCATGCTAGAGAACCTATTGATAACTCATTGGCTCGAATTTAGATGACAAAGTCATTAAATAATGATGATATGAAGAAGAAACATGAGAAGAAGACATGACAAAATCAGGAGAATACAAACATCTTGTTGACGATTGGATAGGAAGCTACAATGATAGTCACAAAAGTAAACAGGTGGCTTGTGCGTCTAAGTTGAACCGTGTAGTGGCCATTGAGGCTGAGGAAGATTATCAGGTAAGGTAGGTGAGGGAGTGTCAAAGATTGAATCATAATTAAGTTTGTCAGATGAGTGTTGGAGAATGGACTCACTAGGATGTAGTTGAGGTGGTGTAAGCAACAATTAAATGGATTCTCTAATGAGAGGCCTAGTAGAGAAACCTTCGATTTGAATATTTGAAAAAGAATTTTCTACATTGTCATGAAAAGGTATTAGCTTCAAAATGTCTAGAAACAAAAAACTATTTTTGTATTTAAGTCTAGAACAATGAAATTGACTGTCATTTTGAAACCAAGGAATTCCCACATCTAGATCATGCATCAAATTTATGACGATTTATAATTGATGTAGAAATTAAACAACCAAAAACTTTAAGCACTTTAAAATTTGGAATTGGATTACGTAAAAATTCAGAGACTTTTGTTTCAATTGATAGGTGGAACCTGATTAACTAAGTAAACAACTAAGAATATGATATTGAAACATGAGAGTTCTCGCCACATTAAGTACAAGGGGTCTCAACACAACTTATTTAGTGTAAGATGTCTTTTAATGCAAAAAATTCCTTAGAAAAATTTTGAGCCATTGTCCAAATGAATATTCTTAACCTTTGAATCAAATTGAATGTTAATAAGATGTACAAAATTTTGCACATGTGACTTGACTTCTCCCTTTGATTTCAACAAAACAACTCACATGTAGCAATTATAATCATCTAATAATAGTTATAAAATATTTGTCACCATGTATGGAAGCTTTAGGAAAATGTCCTCATATACATTTGAATAAGCTAAAAAATTTTGGACACACTACTAGTACTTTAGGAATAAGACAACCTTCTAATTTTAGATAAATGACAAATATCACATCTTCAACAAACTTAGAACTAAAGAAAAATGTTGATGTAAAATAATCAATCTCTCTTTAGACAAGTGACCTAATTTGTAGTATCAAATGTTTGAGGTAATGATGCTAGTGGAGGTATTATTCACAAGGGAAAACTTGGGTTGTGGAAACAATGTATCTTTGCTAATGTTAAGATGATAGAGGCTTCCTTGCAACTTACCCAAACTAGTCGTCTTCAATGAGTTCATATCCTAAATTTTGCAAGTCATTGAAGAAAATGAGAATGTAAGGTAAGTTGAAAATTAACTTAGAAACAGAAACAAGACTAAAATTAAAATATGGTACATAAAAAATATTATGAGTAATAAAATTTGAAGAATGAATAGTACTTGAAACACAAGATGTGACAAAATCACGATTGGATAATTTGATGTGAATGGATTTCATTTAAATTGAATTTGAAAATGACTTAAAAATAAAGTAATATGATTTGTGATCTCTAAATCAATTATCCAAAAAGTGGAATTACTATTAACGGAATTTGGACTCAAGAATATTTGGACCAATTTATAAAATATGAGAGATATTGACATGACATTTATGAGACTTATCATTTGGGTTTGAGCTTCTTGAATGTTCAAGCTAATCAATGAGGACAATTAATCCTTGATATTAGACTAGAATCAAACCAAAACCTATCTTGGTGTTATTCTCTGAATTAAGGACTTGGTTATATGGAAGTGAGCCCTAGTTAGATCTCCTCTTGCAACTTAGCCATCCTGGGAGAAACATTCTTTCAAATTGTTACATACATTGTTTGCAAGATCCAAGTAAACAATGCTTTGTGCAATTGACTGGGAGCTCAATAGTCACGACATTATCACAGTGTTGCAGCATTCCCACACAACAAACAGAGAGGATTAGCCGAATCTGGTTTAGGAACAATGCACAAAGGGGAACTCATCTTATTTTTGGAAATAAGAGTCATGCCAAAGGATCTAAATCATGTGTGATCGTTGTTTTCGATGAGAATTGGTGTTCCAACAACTGAGGAGGGACTCTCATTTAAGTGAATGTAATAAGGATTCAACGGATTTTGATCAAGAATGACAACTCTATTTTTAGACATGAGTAGAGTTCCAACTGGATTTGAGCTCTTATACCATAACAAAAGTTGGGATTATCTAATATAAAAGATAAATCTCTACTTTACAACCAAATAGCAAAACACTAATTAAAAAAAACCTAAAGATTGCATTACAAAACTATATAGTAGGATGACAACTATGTCATCTTATGTATAATTATTTAGAAAATTCTAGAATACTATCACATTACCATAAAGGAAATTGGACTTTGTCATTTTGGTCAATCTGTAATTATGTGCATTTTATCATTATTATTTTCTCTTATAGTTTATTTTTGTCACAATAATTACAAAAATGACATTATTTTTTAATTTGTAAACTATTTTAATGATTTTGTGCAAAATGCTTAGAGCCATGCAGCCTTTTTGAAACATCTCCTTCACAAAAACATAAAACCAAATACCGAGGCGCAAACAATGTGCCGCTTCGGTTACTGTTATAAAACAGCTTGCTGCCATTAAATGACTTTAGATCAATGGTTAAGAATCGAAACTAGAAAGTTTTTATTCAAAATATCTAAACATTTAGTGTTGAATGAAAATATATCTATAAATGATTTCCAATTGAAAAATCTAACAATAGCATCTCAACTATAATTTCCAACTTCCAATAATAGATTTGCATTTACTAGTTGTCAAACTGTTAATTGGAAATATACCACTTGAAAATAAACACACAAAAAATAAAAATCAAAACAACCCCTAAATTTCGCAATAGTACAGCCATAGAAATTCGAAACCCGCAAGTGTGTTCCGTACATCAAATGGTCAAACACACAAGAAGTCACCAAGCTATGCAATATTAAACACTAATTTACACAAAGTGAAGTTTAAACCATTCATTTTCAGTAACAAAAGAAGAAAGCAAACAAAAGTCACTCCAACTACTCAAGCTACCGTAGGCAACACCGGCACGAAATTAAAAAAAAAAAAAAAAAAAACTCAGTCTCGTCAAATTAAGTTCAAATCACAGCGACAAACCACTATCAACTCCGGAATCAACGCCATAACTAGTAGAGTTCAAATTCAACGTTGAAGCCGCAAATGGAAATGAACAGAGAGATATAGAGAGAGACAAGTACCTTGAAGAAGACGAACAAGAAGAAGAAGAGGAGGAGGAGAATATGGAGGAAGGCATGCACAAAGAGAAAGATGGAAGTGAAGATTGAGGATGGAAACGGAGAATGTGACTGGTTAGGGTTTTCCGTTTTTTCTCGCTTCGTGTGCCTTTGGGTGGAGGCACGTGACTCTACCAATTCGAGGAGACATGCCACGTGTAGGTAAGTAGCATAATATTAGGAGGATAAGTGAAAGGAAAGGGACACTGTGAAATGTGAGTCACTCCACAAAACCAATACATAACGATGGATACAGTAATATAATTGAAACAATGAAATTCAAAATAAATAAATAAATGTTGTAAAAATTCCATAATCTATTATAATATTTGAAATAATTATATTTTTATATTTTTGTTCAAGTTGTTAGCTTTGTTTAGAATAAAGAAAAAATACTTACTAAAAGTTATTATAATTTATTTTATTTTAGCTTTGTTTAGAATAAAGAAAAATACCTACTAAAAGTTATTATAATTTATTTTATTTAAAAATAAAAGAACTTTAAATTCAATTTTATTAAGATAAAATTGTTATGTAAGTTTTAAAATTCTAGTATTTAAAAATATTTTGATAAATTAAAAATCACATTTATAAATTCCTCTTCGGCTTCACAAGTAAATTATATTTTTTTATTATTATTATCACTTACAGAATAATACATTGAATAAAATTTTTGATTTTTTCACGTTTATATATAAACTCTTCTACTAGAAGGTATAGTCAATACTTAAATAAATTATACACGCGTATAAAAAAAATTTATATCATTGTTTAGTTATAAAATATTATATATATATATATATATATATATATTTTAAAAGTTAAAATAACAATAATTTTTTATTTACTACTAAATGAAACATTTTAGAGGGTGTATGAGTTAAACCTTATGAACCTTATGTTTAAATCCATAATTTATAAAAATATATTTTATTTTAATAAAAAAATTAAAATATTTTCATCACAAAATATATTATTCAAATAAAAATATGATATATAATTTAATTATTTAAAATAAATTAATTTTAATTTAAAAATAAAATAAAATAATTATATTTTTTAATCTTTTCATTATCTAATTTAATTAGATTTGCTCCAATTAAATTTACTTTAATCTAATCTAATCCAATACATATTATGTATATTATGTATTCTCATTTATGTTCGTTCATATACAGTTAAATCGAGTTAGTTCAAATTAATTTAATAATAATTAAATTGCCTTATTTAAATAAAATAATTTATAATTAAGAACTTCTGCGTTACATATTAATTACTCTTTGCCTTATGCTTATATTGAGAATTTGTAAAATATAATTTATTTTGATAAAATAATTTGATATTATCAAATAAAAAATTTTCAAATAAATAAAAATATGATAATGAATTAATTATTTAAGATTAGTGAATTTAAATAAAAAAGAAAGAAAGAATTTAAAATTGATTATAATTTTTATTTCTGAAATTTATATCTTTTTTATTTAGATTGTCTTTTTTAACTCGATTCCGTCTTGATTTAGTTTGATCTGTTTTATTTGGGTGATACTCATTTTAATTTAATCCATCTAACTAATCATGATTTGTCTCAATATGGCTTAGTCTATTAGAATAACCAGAAGTATAAGTTAAGTTAAATTAAGTGGTGTAATGATAGTTTTTGTATTTGGTGATAATTGAATTATATTATTAAATAAAAGAAATTAAAATAAAAATAATTTAAAGATTATAAAATTTTCTATCCAGTGATAAACTTTTAATTTCGAAAAATTTGAAAGATTAGTTTAATTAATCCTAAACTGTTTAACTTTGTAAGAACAAAAATTATGAAATTATGAGGGGAAAAAAAAAAGACTGGAGAGCGAGTGGTATTAGCCGGCCATAAAGCGGACAAAAACTGCTGAAGCCTACTAAACCTAAACAAAACGATGAAGACAAATGTTACCCAACAAATCTTCTAATTTCTCTAACCCTAGTTTAATACACTCTTTTATTAGTAGTTAACATTTATTAAAATTATAAGAAATCTATGATTGCTACTCTTTATATAAAATAATCTTGTTCATAAATTGTAATTTTGAATATTTGTGGCTTTTACTTTTTAAATGGCAACGGTTTGGAATTTTTCTATTGTTTAAGATAACTTTAATTACTATTTATCAATTATATTTTTACTCCTCCTTTAATATTTGACTAATTTAAACATTTACAAGCAACAAATACAAACTAATATACATTTATAATGGAGTAAAAAAAGAAAGAATCAAATTAAAAACTTCATAATTAAATTACATGATTAAGTAAGTTCAATTAATTCACCTTAATTTTAGACAACTCTTTCATTATTTCTAAATAACTATGATAAAATATACATTCTTATATTCATATTTTATTTAATAACAAATAATATTATTTTATTAGTAATTGATAAAAAATATTAAGAATAAAATTAATAATAATATAAAAATATTATTTGTATTAATAAATATTTTTTAAGGGACCAGCATATTCTTATAAATAAACTATAAATTAATTATATAAGAGTATAGGTACCTCTTTGACCCAAAATCTTATAACAGTTTATAATTTTTTATTTATTTTATAAATTAGTAAATTTTTTATTTTTATTAATATAAACCTTCAACTCATACTTAAATTTCTAAATATTTTAAAATCAAGCATCTACTAAATTTAACATAAAAAATGATACTATTGAATTTGTTTTTACCTAAACACATTGAAGAACTAAAAATATAGATAAAAAAGTGGAGAAATATTCCTTGAAAACTTCAAGAAGGAGACAAAAATGAGGTGGGTTGGATTAATTGGAATGGTTGGAACCAATAGGACGGCAACTAAAGCATTTAAAATCAACTTTTCATCCACCAACCGTCACACAACACAAGCTGAGAGAAAAAGAGAAAGAAAGAGTGAGTTGGTGATGTGTCCTTCTGGGTTTTCATCATCTTCTACAGCAGAAGAAGTTACTCATGGAATCCATGGCACTGGTCTCACTGCAATTGTCACAGGTCACATATATTACTATTACTACATGTTTTTCCATTTCAAACACAATCTTTATTTGGCAAATATTATTCTATTTTTGTGTCAAAGAATTTGGTCCACTCAATCATAGAAGCTTATCCTTTTTCTTCTTATCATATTATATTTATTGAATATCGGACCGGTGATTTAACTTAATGAAAAACCAGTCTAAATTTTAATTTATTATTTTAAATAATTAAATTTTAGTTAAATGAGCATAAAATTAATTTATTCTTTTTAAATAATTAAATAGTATAAATTAAAAAATAAATATAAAATACTTTTTAAATGTAATTAAATATTTAATAAAAAAATTAAATATTAATTTTTTTTAATTTTTAAATGTAATTTTTGTATAAAAATATAACTTTTTTAATTTGTTTTTCTTATATTAATCACATAAACTTTAAATAATGATAATTATATTATTTTAATTATTTTTTAATTTATATTTACACTTTTTTTTATAAATTAATTATGATCAAAATTTATATTTTTCTTTTTAAATTATTATTGTTAATAAAGATTTATTATATTCACTTTGACTGCATATGCTCATTCCACAAAGCTATGGTTTACTTGTTGCCCATCATAGCTTCATCTAACTCAAATGATTTAGTTTTAATTCATGCATCTTCGGAATTTAAAAAAAATATATTATAAATAATAAATAAATATGAAAAGATAAAATAATATAAAAAAATAAAAGATAAATTTTATAAATATATATAAATATACATATTTAATAATTATTAAATTTAGAGAATGTATTATAAAATTTGGAATCATACACTCAGAATTTAAGGGCGTAAGTAATAAAAAAAATATTTAATGACATATTAAATCTTCTGTTTATCATTTTGTTTGTTTTAAAAAAAAATTACCAGGAATTTTAGTTTTTAATTTTTGGATTCTACCTAATATCATCTTGGTAGCAACGGAATAAGTTTGATGAATTTTCAAGAGTCCATAGTCTAATTTACATATTAAAACTGTAAACTTTTAGTCCTTGAAAAAGTTTATTAAACTTTTGGAGAAACAATGCAATGAAAAATTCAAAGGCTGAACTTTTCTTTTATGTTTTTATATTTTTCTCTATCCCAGACATTTTCTATTTCTTTTATATATATAAAGGTGATTATTTTACAATTCATTTTTCTACACCTTTACCATTAACGCTGAGATAATTACTTTTTATCATAATAACTACTTGGTAATACATTAGATACGTGTCTTACAAATATTAATTGCATATTTATCTTGGTGGACATAATAATAACAGGAACAACCCATGGTATTGGCATTGAGACAGCAAGAGTTCTTGCTTTGCGTGGTGTCCATGTGATTATGGCAGTGAGAAATGTGACTGCTGCAAAAGCTGTCAAAGAAGCAATAGTCAAAGAGATTCCCACAGCCAAAGTTGATGTCATGGAGTTAGATCTTAGCTCAATGGCATCTGTTAGAAAATTTGCATCAGAGTTCAGTTCATCTGGTTTTCCATTGAACATCTTGATGTAAGAAAACTGCATGGCTTACAGTGTTAATGCTTCAACATGTGTTCTTTTTAACAAGGAAGTTATATAGTACACAATTACCATGGCTCAAACTGGTTTTTATATAATATATAACTAAATATTTTTTGTAAAATGAAAATCTTAAAATTATATACTGCATAATTGGTTGGTACCATTATGAAAATCTTCGTTCAAAATCTATTTATTCTTATTGATTGAAATTTGTTTGAGATCTTAGCATTTGTTTCACATGTATATTCTGACTTAATCATTCAAAGGAATACAGAAGAAGCAATAGAGAAATTTTACATCCATTAGAGGTGAAATAATATTATAGTATGTAGTTGTGGATAATCCAACCCATTATAGGATTGAGTGGGTATCTCACTATTTTTAAAATAATAAATAATTCTAAAATTGTTGAGAAAATAACGATGGCTGACTTTATAAAATTAAATTAGTATCTTTATTTTAGAGTTGCATTAGGTATTTCTTCTATTCTAAGAGTTTATTTGTTGTAATTCTAGAAACAACGCAGGGATAACTGCAACCCCATTCTCACTGTCCAAAGACAACATCGAACTACAATTTGCCACAAATCACTTGGGTGAGTATGAAGACAATGTCTGATATTTCATAACAGTAAAAAGCTTTTCACACAGTGAATTTTACCATTATATTCAAACTATAGAAGTGACCTTGATTCTTCTTCCACAGGTCATTTTCTCTTAACACATCTTTTATTGGATACTATGAAGAAAACTGCAAGTGTAAGCAAGAAAGAAGGAAGAATTGTAAATGTTTCCTCTGATGGTCACCAATATACATATCCTGAAGGAATCCGTTTGGATAAAATTAATGATGAATCAAGGTAAGATACCCTCAAGACATATTATTCTGGAGAATAAATTCTATAAACATATTGGAATTCAGAACAAAAGAAATAATATTGTCAATTTAAAGTTTCTTTTATTAATTTCTTGGGTCCAAATATTTGCTTGGCATACATTTGTGATCTTTCATTTGTAGAAGGAATCATATAAAAGTCTCAGCAGAAAATCCGCTGATATGATTTAGAATTTGATACACTGTTGTGAACTTTAGTTATATGTAGAAATTAGAACTAAGCATGCAAACATGATGATTCATATGGTATCTGTGGTAAGGAGAAATATAATGAAAATTTTGATAAATCTTGCTTCCTTATGTACAGTTTCCAGCTGTGGCATGCATATGGGCAATCAAAGCTAGCTAACATTTTACATGCCAACGAACTTGCAAGACGTCTTAAAGTATGCTGACATTTATTGTTTTGCAAAATGATTAATATATGAAGTGTTGTTTTTACCATTATGTGATCGATGGCCATTACGAGTTGGTTAGAATTATTATCTTGATTCTGAACTTGCATTACATCATGATGATCAGGAAGATGGGGTAGATATTACTGCAAATTCTCTTCATCCAGGAGCCATTCTAACCAATATTTATAAGCCAGAGATTAGTGGCGCTGTGCCAGCAGGTAATTACGACATTGCACCATTCATCTATGAATTTATGGTTTGCCTAGAAATCATGCAGATCCCCAAATTTGGGACACCATATTCCTTTTACTGTCCTTTCAACTCTTCAGTAAATTCACAATGATATGAGATCCAGATCCTCTTTCATAGTTTATGTTGAAAAAGCTTAACCCTTTTACAGCATCAAACACTAAAAAGGACCTATAAACAATTTATATGTTGATAAGATTATCTTGGTTGGGATTTTTCCTTGCAAATGGTGGCAATTGCTGAGTTGTATTGTGTTATGTTGTCTGATTCATGCAGATTTACTTAATATGCTTGGCGAATATACGTTGAAAAGTATTCAGCAGGTAATTCAAACCCAGTTGGACTTATTGAACATAAACGTTAGGGAAATTTTCATTCCTTATTCATTACTTAGGAATTCGAAAATTCAATATTTGATTTAGAAAGTAATTCTTTGTAATCTCACTGTAGGGAGCAGCAACAACATGCTATGTAGCGTTGCATCCACAACTGAAGGGAATTAGTGGCGAGTACTTCTCAGATAATAATGTGGCTGAAGCAAGCTCACTGGCAAAGGACACTGATTTGGCTAAGAAACTGTGGGATTTCAGCATGAAAATAATTTATTAGAATGCCATGAGAAATTGTGAATGCAGATGGCATATAGTTCCTATGAAACTTAAAAAATAACTATTGTTCTGACGTTTGTATTTTTCTATGAATTTCCCCTTTGCATTCTATACCCCACTAACACGCGCAATGTTTTTTGTTTATATTGGACAAATCGACCAAAAATCTGACTATAATAAGTGTTTGAGAAATTGTGAACTGACTGATTTTTGGGAATGTTGAAATGACAATGACTGATCTCATGACATAAGAAATCACACCATTATGGATTGTTTGAGAAGGGTGACAAAATCCACAGCACCAAAAACACCCCCTTCCAAGCCACAAACCACCACCTCCATAACAACAATAACTCTTGCCTCCTAACCAATCCAAACACCACCTGCTCGCCTCTCGGCGTTCCCTTTTTCCGTAGCGTTTTTTTTTTCTACACCCTCCTATTTATCTAAAATGATCCTATTACCTTTAATATAAACATGTCTTAAAAAGGCCCATTTCGAAAATAACTCTGAATTGTAATATCGGATTATATTTTCTAAAGAAATATTTCGAAAAACTGATTTAAAAAAAATTTCACAATACCTGTCCAGAAAATAGAATTTGGATCTAGATGGGGTGTTTCCAGAACGCATTTTCGAATTATATTTTTTGAAAATATATTCTGAATTCAATAATTTAGAATTTATTTTTAAAAAATACAATCCAAAAATACCTTCTTAATTATTCTATCTAAAACTTAATTTTAGATTATAATTTTTAAAAATATATTTTGAATATAACAATTCAGGACACTACAAATACAAATAAAATATATTTTTTTATGAAATTTTTTTATACAACATGTTATATCATTTAAAAGCATAAATCATCAACAAATTTTAAATTTTAAAATAAAAATATGGTTTAACGAAGATGGCGCGGAAGGTATAAGTATGCTACTACGAAGGTGTGGCGCGGAAGAAGAAATCTTGCATCAGGACATATTTCATATTTTACATATATTATGATGATGTAAAAGACTTGTTGGGTGCAAGGAAAAAAGTAGCCTGCAATAATTATATTGTAGCGAGTATGGGGGAACAGAACATAATGAACTCCTAGCTTTGATTAGTTTACTTGTTTGTAAATGTGAATATTTTGGATTTTGAAGTATTTAAAACAATTTAATCAAAAGGGAATTGTAATTATTTTCTAAAGTTTTTTATGAGGTGTGTCTAATATAATATAAGTAGTGTAATGTAATGCATGAAGTTGAATCTAATGAAAATTATAATTTTATTTTAACAAGTTTTTTATACTAAAAAATATTTTTTAAATTAGAAGAGTTATATATAGTATGAAAAAAAACGGATAAAGTATACAAAGGAAAAAAATACCTTTTTGATATTTGTTAGTGATCGGATCTTGACTATTGATCTTGGAGGGTCAAATAATATATTATTAATAAATAATAAATAAATATAAAAGGAAGTAAGAAGATGAAAGGGTGAAAGGATAAAATTATAAATATATACTTAAATATATTAAATTATCATTAAATTTGAGAGAGACAAAATCATAAATTATAAGAGAGTTACAAAACTGAAGAGGGGTTGAGAGGATCAAATTATAAATATACAAGTAAATATATTAAATGTTCATTAAGTTTGGGAGGACCAAAATCATAAATTACATGAGAGTTACAAAATTTTAGAGGGTCATGACCCCACTCAACTACCAAGAAGATCCGCCCATAATACTCTAACTTCACGAGTAAAGACTATTAATGTCTTATGCTTTAGTTTGTAAAATTATTGAAATGTAGTTATTTTTAAACTTTATTAAATCATTGATGAGGTTGTACGTTCAATTTTCATACTCATATTACACATATTTGTTTTTTCTTTATTATTATTATTTGTACATGGATTTTTATTTTAAAAACTATTTAGAAAATGATAATTTTTGAAACATGAACTGTCGCTATAATATGCTTATATGTGTCTCACTTTATTTTAGGAGAATTACTTTAGTATGACCTTAAAATTTAGGTAAAATGGGAATTTAAAAAGAAACTAATGATAAAAATGAATTAGTTAATGCATATTGAATTTCGTTATCAAGTGCCTGTGTTCACCATATTTTTTTAATAATCTAAAACAAAACATATCATCTTATATCTGTATTCAAAATTTAAGATGCAATTGTTAAGTGGAAGTCTTCAACTTAGTGGTAGATCTCATTTTCACTTTCTATGTTGTTTCTTTTAAATGTTATTTCTTTTAAATTTAATAATAGATCTTCTTCTAAGATTTTAACTAATTTTAAAAATTAAAAATAGAGTTTAAGAATTAATTTTTTATTATTATTTTATAAATATTAAAAAAAATTATATAAAAACTTAATTTCTATATATCTTAATATTGTTTTTATAAAAATTTTAAAATAATAGATCTTATATTCAAAATTCGATAAATAAAATTCCTCTAAGATGTTACGCTTTTAGGTGAAGCTATTAACAACTATGAAATTTAAAATATACTCTTTCATTGGTTTAAAATCATTAATAATTTATACAGCAAACAATTTTGAACATGATATAAAAAAATATTAATATTAACTAAAAGCTTGTAATGTATGTATTGACATATATTTCAAATCATTAATAATTTATAGAACAAACAATTTTGAACATAATATGAAAATAATATTAATATTAACTAAAAGCATATGTTTTGTAATATATGTATTGACATATATTTCATCATGTTAAATCTAATGTTTAATAACCGATCGAATGGATTAATATTGATTCTTAGTTTTATTTTGTATTTAATGTATGTTATTTTTCTTCTATCCGAAGAAAAATAAAAAAAGTGTTTGAAATAAGACATAGAAAGTCACAAAAATGTTTTATTTTATTATTTATATGGGAGCGTAAAATGGGTCACATCATTCTATATATAAATAATTTTTTATCAAAGAATAAAAAATATGGTAAAGGTGGTGTTTCTGCAATCTTGTTTTGTTGTAGATTCATAAATCTTATATTTCACTAAGAAGTGGACAGACAACGGGAGATTTATAAATATTTTGAAACAAATTTCATCCATGATTGTGACATGTGATTAGTGTTTAACCAGTATCTTTGGTAAGGGTTGACCTTCGGTAATTTACAAGAAACAAAAGTTCTTTTACGATAAAAAATAGTGTTACGCTGTAGTGCACCATAGCGTATGATCCTCCCCTCCGTATCCATCACAAAAATGGATGAAACCAAAAGACAACATAAAAAAACTCAACACCACCCTTGTCGTTGATAATGATGATTATGTGATTTAAAAAAAAATTAATAAAATTTGTTATAATAGAAACTAGAGATATGCATGCCTTTAAATAATACGATTTTATTATGTTAGTTATTTGTAAGAATTCTAAATATTGTCATGCACGAGATTATAGTTACTAAATATATTCATGATACTCATGTGCAATGATATATTTATCTAAAAGATTTAACATTTTATTTTTTGTCACTACATCGATTCAAATTTCTACAATAGACATAGGGTATTCATCTTTTGGTGTTACTTTGCTTAAATCTCCAAAATCAATGCAAAATCTCTTTTCTTTTTCATTTTTTATAATAACTAGTACGATATTAAAAGTCCATTTAACATCATTGTGTTGTGATAAATTTATCCTTCAATAACCTTTTTATTTCCTTTTTAATTTTGTCAATTACTTTTGGTACAAATCTTTGTAAAGCTTGTTTGGTTGGATTTTTTTCTACGATAATAGACAATCGATGATCCACTAGACTTTTATCCAATCTTGACGTTTTTTTGCACTCACATGCAAAGCAATATTTGTATTTCTTAACATTTTCATTAATTCCTCTTTCATTTCAACACTCAACCGTTTGCTAACATAAGTTGGTCTTCTTTGTCTCTCATTCCCTTAACTTGACTTCTTCTAAAAGATCATATGATTCAACTTTCTTATGCCTCGATGTGATTGCCTCCTTGAAACCTAAGGGTGAATAATCATAAATACAATGTAACTTAACTTCATTGCTTACACTACTAAAACTTATTCTTATAAGTGACTTATTGGCTTTCTCCCTACAACTACTGATAATTTCTTGACTCTTTTTTTACCCAAATCGATCAATACTTGTTTGCAATCGAGTCAAGAAATTTGAGTAATAAGACTCAGTCATTATCCTTGACCATTTTGAGGTTGCCCTCCTCTTTTAGCAAAAATCCTCTTTTAGGATCCATCTTTAAATACCACGACTTATGCTTTTTTGAATTAAAGTTTATCATGGTCTCGAATGTAAATGACTTTGTTAGTGTTAAACTCTTCAAAGGTTGATCTGCATAAGAAACATATACTATGTAATCACTCAGGTCACCTTGAACCTTCCAAATGTCTGTCTCGATTCCAGATGAAAAATTCTAATGAGTCATACTGCCCCAACCCCGTGAATCCACTCTCTCCCAAGTAGCACATTGAACTTGGTATAAGATTTCACTACTATAAATATCATTGCTCTTATGTATGTTCCCACTATCACATTTAGAGCAATCATTATCTCTGAATTTGATGATTTCCTATTAAAATTGGAAATCATTTTATTATTCTCCACTAAATCCTCTTATTTCTTTCTGAATGTATTTAACATTGATTTGGCAAAATATTTATTGTCACCCCTCCATTGACAAGGACTTTGTTTGTTTTAATTCCTTCGATTTCTATTTGTAACATGAGAAGTTTGAAGTGAATCCTTATTTCCTCGGTAAGTGGATTGATAAAAACAACATTTCGATCAGGTAACCTACACATCCTTTGGCTCGAACCTCGATTCATAATAATCTTCTCGATATAAATCATGTCTCCTCTTATGTTTCTCATATTGGCTCACATATTCATTAGGCAATATTGAGATGACCCCGACATTCATATTCCCTCGATGCAAACTATTACTCGTACCTTCTCCTTGATTAACCAAAGTTTTA